ATAATTATCATAATGAGGATAATTATTTTGATCAATACATGTGCCTGAGAAAAAGTGGCAGTTTTCAGTTAGTATTGTCTTAGGCTGTAATCATAATATGCCTATATACCTATGATTTCCTTATCAACAATCAACTTTCTTTCAAGTTTATTTTCCTAGGAAATTGCTATTAGTAGTTGCTATGGAAACATTAAATAAACTTATAATCTGAAAATGCTTCGTTACATTTCTTTGAAGAACCCTTTCATATCAAATCACTCTAATGGAGCAATTGTCATCCTGTAACAGTTTTTGCTAAAGGCGATACTATGTTGATGAAGACAAGTGACAAACCGATTAATGTAAAAATGTTTTTGAAAAAACAGAAAATAAGAATTGTCACAGAAGACTGCAGAAAAAATGAAATTCTCTCTTATCAGATCAAATTGTGTAAGTTCAATAAACCATTTATTTTGCAATAATATTGATATGTACTATTCAATGGTTCCAATATTTTAGCACCTTATCCTGAACTCTTTAGCAAACTATATATGATTATTTATAGTAGCCTATAGTGCCAATTAAATATTTCCTTTGCCAAAATACAAGCATGTAATCCAAAAACATGACATATTCAATGTGTATTTTCAAGTTCCTTGTTGGTTCTTATTATACAAATCACATGCAAGATTTGCGTAAATATGTTTGAATATATTGAAATGTCATGTTCTTGCTTAGCAATACGTGTCAGGTTTCTAGAGAGTTTATTGATAATTTGTTTTAATTTAACATAATAATTGAGTATTTCAATTTCATATTTCTTTGCCTTTGAAACTGAGGAAATACTTTGTTGATTATTCAAGAACAAAGGGGCCCAATTGTACTTTTAGTTGTATGCTTGATTCGCCCACAAGTCCAATGTACATCCCCCGAAATGGTGATTTTCCATTTTAAATGAGGTAATTTTATTTTGTAATTGGGAATGGTCTTTTGTTATGGTTGGTCATTAGACTGAGATTTATTTTGAGAGGTGTTCAGATTGCCCTATATTGCTAGATCCATATATTTCCTCAGTCATAATATACCTCAATTAATCTGTAGGTGACAATAATAGGACTTGAATCCTCCTTGAATGACTGTCTTAGTGTAGTATTCAATGATGTAGTTCTATCTTTGAACCCTACAAATTTATATAAATATTAATCACCTATTTTAATGACATTGAAAAGTTTAGCCATAAGCAAATTGCCCATTTTTCATGAACAAAACAAAGGAACCATCAATATTTTACTCCAAGCTATAGAGTAATACGGTCATCTATAGTTACCAATTAAAAGAGGTATGATTTTGAGAGAACCTAAAATATAATGATTCAAAATAATTGCTACATAACAATTGAAACATTGAATCGGTTGTTAATGTGATAATTTATCTATATGTTGCCTTCATTTAATGTCACGCCAAGGTGCATGGGTCAGTTTTGCAGAGAATAGGAAATTTAAAGGATTGGTATAGGCCATGGGGTTTCATGAATTAAACAAGATCGATATAATCAGGGTCGAAAATAATCAGTTTTTTATTTGGGGGGGGGGGGGGGTTGTGGGTCACAGGGGCTTGAAGGAGCAAGACTAGAATTTATGAATCTTAAGCAAAGAAAGAATTTTGAAATGGCATATAGAGATTTCTCCAACTGACAAACAAACAAACAACAAACAAACAAGCAAGTAAACTACAAACAAGCAAGCAATCATGCTTCATATTTTGTACATGTAGCATCTACAAACAAACAACTAACTATCCTGATCATAAAATGAGATGATACTAACATTTAAAACAGTAAAGTGAGGCACTTAGGCTCTGTGCCAAAAAAGTATTCCTCCCTTACCCATAAACTCGAAAAATGATCAGTTCCAGGCCTATTAAATATATACACAAACATTATGAAGTCTTATGGCAAAAACCAGGTGTTCCAGATATGATTTCAGTTAATTTTTTACAAAATTGAATATTTCGGGATATGTAGACTTTAGTAGAATTGTGGAAATTTTCCAAGGATAACAGAGTAGCACTCTAAACTACTTGACTGTGTTGATACATTTACAACTTTTTGAATCATTTACAACTTTTTGAAACATTAATCAACCCTTTCATGAATTCAACCCAGTGAAAGTTATGTATTCCATAATTTACTCACTTTTGAAAATATTCTAAGGTGCTCGTCATGGTGTACTTAAGATTGTTCATCTTATGTCTGTCTGTAAGTCTGCTTGAGTTATTTTGTTTTTGCTAATTTCTATCATGATGAAGGCTGGAGATGAATCTTCAGGTAATGGAAGGTTAACTCTTATATAGCCAGAATTCCGATAGTAAAGAGTGGGATCCTGGATATTTACTAAAAAGGAACACATACTATATGAATTCATGAAGACTTTATTTTATTTTTTATATGTATTATATATTTACAGGTTTTGGTGGCTTGGCAATAGCATTATCACCCATTTAAATTTATTTCAATGTGCATAGTTTTGGTATTTCAAGGGGCAGTCATTGCCCAATTGGGCATTTCTGCTGAAAATGCCATCAATGGGCATTCTTCTATTAAATGGAATTAACCAGATGATATTAATGCTCGTGATGTCATATCTTCTAAAAATCAACAAATCAGTTGTTTGTTTTACATTTTTAAGATTGATGGGTTAATGAACTTTTGCCCCATTTGACATGACAGCTACAATGTTCCATCAGTTATAACAAATAAACAAAGCTAACAGACTTTTCATGAGAAATTATGTTCAAATATTTCTTATTTCTTCTAACTAAATGTCTTGGCCTTAGAGAATATGGTTACTTTGAATATTATTATAGTATTTTGATTGCCATAGTGATGATTTATACTAGCTCTATGAACTGATTTGTGTTACTAAGGTAACTCGAACAAGTAACAGAATTACATAACTGGTAATATCAACTGTGGTAACTTGTAGCAAGCAAGGTTACCCTACTATCACACCAAACTAGTTCTCACTACGTTCTCGAAAACGGGCTTCAACTGTGTACGAACGGACTGGACGTACTAAGAACCGTTTGGGATCTATTTACAAACTTCATCGAACGTACTCGAACGGGTAGGTCCTCTAGAACTTAGACAATGCTCAAAATGTTCTCGTGGTCGTCACGTTCTACAATTAGAACGAGTGCCAACGTACTAACGACGAGCTGGACGTACTACGAACGGAACCGTCGTACTTCAATCCTACTAGGGACGTTTTAACAACGAGTTGAACTGTCTGAGGACGTGTTGAGAACGAGGTAGAACTCATTGCAAACGGGTTTAAACTGATTAAGAACGTATTTAACACTGCTTATGAACGAGTTAGCAAAGATATAGCTATCACACCAAACAAGTTGCCACTGCGTTCTTCAGAACTGGTTCTAAACTGTGTGCGAACGGAATGAACGTAGCTGCAACTTTCTAAGGTCTATTTGCGAACTTTATGAACGTTCTCAGACGGGAATGTGATTTTAGAATTTTGAATCGATTCAAAATTCGATTGCGACCATACCGTTCTGTTATCAGGTCATGATGACCTTCTAGACTAAGGGACGCGTTCTACGGCGTTGCATACCGACGTGGTGCGACCTGAACGAACTGCGAACGAGATGGACGTATTGAAGACTGTTTTAGAACGAAGAAGCGAATTATTTCACACATATTTCCCGACCACAGCCAGATTGAGCCCGTTTTACGACGTTTTCGTAGGACTGGCAAGAACGGGTAAGAACGAGTTTGGTGTGATAGGGGGGTAATTGATCATGTATAGTTACCATAGTATTTGTCATCATGTAGTAACAGTTGGCATGGTAACTATAGTTACTAGGAACCACTTGACTTACAAATTAATGACAGGACAGAGGCTGTTTAGCCTATACCAGAGGACCTCTTGTAATCCTGTTATTCAGACTCCTAAATCTAGGGTAACAAAGTTGAATAGTAGCTGATAAGTAAATTATTGACTAACTTTTATATACTCTCACTTTTAATCATATATTTGTATCACCATTTATCAGGTTATGTACACATATACTCTGTTAATCCCTCAAATGGCAAACAACCAATGAAGTGTTTGCCTAAAACTTAGTCATTTCCAACTAACCATTTTATAGAGTCACTTTCTATGGTTTATTGAGATAGGATTACCACAGAGTCCTCAAACATATAACTGGTGGCAGCGGTGTGTAAAGTCTCACATTTAATGCAGATTTCAATTGGATTTAGATTAGCTACTAGGTGTTTGAGAGTTAAACAGTAGGAGAAGGAGTGCTTATACTCAGTGTTTCTGCTTCTTGCCAAGGTCTTGCTAGTGTGTTGTGTGTAGGATATACAGCTAAAGGAAGCTGTCAGGTCAACACATGTTGTCATATTCCATTAGTGTAGGACAGTAGACGTCAGGATCTTACCAGTTAGTCTTGTGTTCCTAGAACTAGCGCCATTGTTCTTTTAGCAGAAGAAGGGATAACATATAGTGACATATACAAGGATAAGAGATCTGATTATACAGAATACTAGGATTTATGTGATATAAGGATTACAATAGTGATTTTGAGTCTGATTTACAGAGGATAATCTCATCAGTTTCAACCAAAATAAATAAAGGATTTTAAAGTTACAGTTGGAGAAATATTCCATTCAAATGTTGAGAACGGATAAAATGGGTTCCATCTTGACATTACTACTGGTGCTAACTATGTGCCTAGGGTCCTTGGTAGACAATATTAGAAGGAAAATTAGTAAGGGATTCTCTTTGAGATTGTCTTTGAATTCGGATATTACATCAATGTTGCTATTAACAGTAACACAGAGACATATTGTGACGTATGTTTGTAGTCTGTAAAGAAAGGATGTAATAGAAACACACAATATCCTGTTTCACCACAGGCTGATCTTACATTAGATTTTGTTATTCATTCGATTGGAATTAATTGAATATCTCATTTTATGTTTCTTTTCTTTATGTTTTCAGAACCTGACTCGGAGCATCGTTTCCTTGGTAATACTACCGTCCCAGATTATTTCAAGATTTTATTGAGTGATGGTGATTCCTTGATCATAGGTGCAAGGTAAGATTCCCATTTGCGATATCTTCATGTTTTAAATACAGTGAAACCTGTCTTATTTGGACACCATCACCCTGTTTCAGGGAACACTCTGTCTCTAACAGACACCCTCCCTCTCCACATATTCTACTAATATCTGTATAAATTACCCTCTCTGTAGGTGAACACCCATCACAAAAGGTGTTCGTTGTACACATGTCTTACTGTATATGGGAAAGAGGGAGGGGGGGGGGTAAGAAAGGAATAAAGAACCCTGAGACTCTAGTAGTAATCACACCCTCTGAATAAGATGAAAATGATAATAGTAAATAGTGAGAACTTAAAAATATGTACAAATTCCAGATCAGAAAATATAAGACACTTATAACACAGAGAAAATATGTGTCAGCAATTAAACCTCATAAAATGATTCTCAGAAATATATGAAGTCAAAAAGCCTAGAGGAAATAATGATGTGATACGAAGCAGCAGTTTCAGTATGAATTTGGGGATTCATGTGGAAGTATAAATATATATCCTGACATGTCCTGGAAGGATTAGCTAAATGCCCTGGATGTGGGAGGAAACAGCCACAGGAACAGTGAAGCTTCCTTTGAGTCTAAACTAATAAAAAATATTATCTCATGATGATTTATATTTCAATAATTATTGAGATTTGAGCTCTAGATCAACACAAAGCTGGTTCTCTAAAATTAAGGAAATTATGAAATCCATTAATTCAGTGAAAGTTAGCATCTAGAACGATAACATTGAGGATAAGTTGAGAAAGTAATTTTTCCAAACACATATACATTTGAAAGAGCGTTTATCAAGGCATATGTTTATGGTCAATACAATCTGGCTTCTTTCTATTACAATTCCACATGACAGAATAAATGTAACCACTTCAGAAAAATTATTGTTATGATTTTTCACACATGGACTGTGAAGTCACTTTCTAGGGATTTTCTCACCAAAAAGTGAATGATTTCTGAAATTTCAATACAATAATAAGTGTTATTTTCATGTGTGTTTATTTTTTTGCTGATTTTATACTTAACTTTATCATGGTGAGAGGAACACAATGGTCCTTCAATAGTGGGGTCTAGACATCAATAACTTGGGACTAATTGTTTCAGAGACTGTATGCTGGACACTTCTTCAAGAAATTAACACTCAAAAGGCAGACACCCATATGCCTTATATAAGTATAGAAGGAGGTCAATGAGCATTCAAACCCCTGGAACTCATATAAAATGAAAAAGTCAACATTCTCTAGGAATTGAAAATGGTTTCTCCTTCAGGAGACGATGAGTCATTATGCAACTTCTTTATTGTTACATCATATTTTACATGCAAAATACTAATAAAGCCGATCCAATAAATAACTGATTGCTCTGATCTGTGAATTTTGGTTCAATATAAAAAATCTCTGTGGAAAATGATGATAAACCATGACATCGCATTTGATCAGTGATGAGATGTTGCTGAGTCACTAAATGGAAGTGCAGTATGTAACCTGTTTCTACCTTAGCTCAAGCATCATCTGAGGTACAGCTCCACTCTGATGTTTTACACCTGTTGAAAATACAGGTCAGTGTATGGTCAGTGGGTATAACCCTCACAGAAATGCACTCCCTAGTAGTCGGATCGGTTTCAAATTAAACCAAACTTGATTCTTAAATATAAATGTAACCAATCTGAAGTCTTTTAATGTTTTAGCACAGTATCCATGGTACTGTTTCAAAAGTTGAAACATTAATTTGAAAAATGATATTTTGTAAGGGGTTGTATTGGTAGTTTGGTCAATGGTAGAATCAGGGGTATAATCTGAATCCTCACCTCTCAAACTTCAAAGGTAACACTATTTATTGCAATATCATCAAAGTGTTTCATACCTCAAAGATTTCTTAATTTGAAATTTGAGATCGACCCTCTGTTCAAATGAAAGAAATTTTGCAAATTGATTACAGAGCTCAACACCTCTGAAATAAGCATATTATTACTGACCTCTCTCTGCTTGAATCAAAATTCCGCAATAAGGGAGAGGTTTACTACAGTAAAACCTGTGAAAGCCAAGACAATGCAATATAAAATTGATTTATCTCATAACATAGTGTTCATTTAAAAAGGTTTTTCTCTTCACTTGAATTACCAATAAGAATAGGGGCAGTAAAACACAACATCTCAAACTCATGTCAAAATTTTAAGTCAAAAGTCAGAAAACCCAAACACTTTTTCTCAGAACTTATTGAGCTTGAATATGTGCAATGTTATTTTAATGGTTCTATCTTCTCACTAAAACAACAATGAAATGTGACATCTCATAAGGCGCCAATATGTTCATAAACTTCAAGAGGATATCTTGACCTGTTTCCCCCAACTAAAGTCCATCAGTCATGTGGTCAACACAGGTCAAAGAAATTGTCAATGTCCCCCTTAATTATTTCTCTATTCATATTCCATGCATGTCTAAACATTTTATCCCTGAATAATTTTTATTGTTATTTTATTGTTATGGGCCGCAGGGTCCTAAATTTTAAGTAGCGTCAGGCAGTTGGTCACTGACATTTTTCATTTTTAGCTTTTGTTTTGAGGCTATGCTCCTGTTTTTGGATGTCAGTGTAATGGTTTAAAAATGATGGGCTAAGGATAAAACACTTTATGTTGCTGTCTTCTTTAGTTCAGGTCATGTGGATTCTTAAAAAATGATTTTATTGAGAGTGATGAAGATTTGGACAAAGCAGCAATGAAAGGTCATATCTATATAGTCTTGCTCTGCACATTTTAGCTCAACAAGTGGTGACATAGATGGGGGGGGGTGTTCAGAGACTTGTTGAAGGACACGATCACAGCAAGTTTGGCCCCTTTGCAAAAGACTGGGAACTGAAGTCATTCACTTCTATATTATAAAAACATACATCTATAAGAAAAAGTGAGATCTTTATCTCTGTGTTTCCATTCCATCAGATTGATATAAACAAAAGGAAATCCTGAAGATAGTATTTCCCTGGAGTTTTTAAGAAACATTACCAACAAGGAATGCTGATCTTGATTGATGGAACATGGGACTTGTCTATCAAAATCTGCATATTGCTGATTGTCTGGGTAGCTATTATGAATAAAACATTCATTTGGTAGAGATTTATGAGATACAGGAATATGATGTTCATATTTGGGAAACTTCATTTTCCAGCTCCTTTGCATTCTAATACTCATAGCATCTTTCTGTTTCACCTGAAACATCTCCGGGCTGAGGAGATTTGAGATGCCATGGTTTATCATGATGGCTCCTTTGTGCATCCGAGTAGTCTTTTAGTATATACCAAGGCTTGACTCCCTCATGTGGTTACACCAGTATCAATATATTTCTTCAGTCATTGATGGATTACAATGGCAGTCCATTCCAATTTCTTGATTAATGAAGCTTTGGAGACTTCACTGTTACATTCTATTCATCAACTGCCTTAGTGCTGCCATTCTTATAAGATATACGACTTGAGCTATTTGTTGAGAACATTGAAGGCCGATCAGAATCAATCAGTGGTTATGTTCACTGATCCACGGGGACAGTTAATCCGCAACATGAGCGTAATAATCGGGTTAATTTTCAAAATTGCAAGCGATTTGTCTATCTATCGCATACCCCTAGGGAAAGATCAGTAATTCTGTGATTTCTTTTAGGAAATGGTGTAAATAAGGTATTCCAAGCTTAGATCTCCTATAGTTTAAATGAGGCTATGTTTATTTGCAATTGATATTGTTCTCTATTAAAGAAAATCAAAGAAACTTATTTGAAAGGGTTAGAGGGGAGGGGGTAGGCTGGGAAAATTGGAATCACCAGAATCTGTTGAGAAGTAGATAATAATGCATTGTAGAAAGAACATTGAATTTTACATAATATCAAGTAATAAATCTTTCCCTTTCTTGTGATGAAATAAAGCACCGTCATTAATAACCCACAACAAATTACAAAACTTTCCCATGTAATTGTTCTTCTGAGAAACAACACAAGATTGAGAGGATTATAGCGGTATAACATGGGAACAATACATATGAGGTCAAAATTATGAAACAATACTTTGAATTTGAATTTGTTTTCCGATCATAAATCAATGAGTGAGTCCTTTTATAAGACACTTGATGGCTCTGGAGAATAGCAGTATTGACTTAAACATTCATCATCTAACCAAACCCCCTGAAAATTTAAACTTCATCTCAAGTTTTTAAGAATATCCATGCAAATACCACTTTAGTTTGTCATGATGGGTGTTGCGTCTATGTTTGTTGTTTATTCGTTTTGTATTTTGTATTTTTGATATAAAATATGTTGAGTTCAGTGTTTGTTCTATGAAAGGGCTGATGGCTGTGATATATTCCAGTCTCATTAATTAGCTTCTATTGATTGCCAGAAAACACTTATCTTAATAGAATTATAATCACCTAATACTTGTTCTCTTGGTTCAATCTCTCCAACATGATTTCATGTAATATAACAATTCTTCATGAATGTATAAGCACAAGTGTGCCAAAAATGTATAAGCACAAGTGTGCCAAAAATGTATAAGCACAAGTGTGCCAAAATGTATAAGCACAAGTGTGCCAAAAATGTATAAGCACAAGTGTGGCAAAAGGGGAGAGGCCGACGAGAATGACTCAACACAACAACAAAAAAGAAACACACATCAAAGAGAGTGACCAGTCATTGGGGAAAAAGCCCCAATATCCCAAACTATCAACAAATTTACCAGAATATACAGACCTCAGTTTGGATGATCTGAGATGTGCTCGAGACTGACATTTACCTTTTTAAATATATAATAGGATGATTTTCAAGAGTTCTTTTTCAAGATCATGGTTGCTAATTTCATTAGCATCATCAAGGTCATTAAACCATCATATACATAAATATTTTTGCATATTTTTGAGCTTTTTGTATATGATTGTTGCCCCACATCTGGGGATTCAAAGAGAGCTGTTGAAAGCTTGAACTTTTAAGTATAATATATGACTGTACTTTCCTCTTGATATCTATCTACTTGTTTTTATTTTTCATTTAATTTCACTCTCAAATGTCCATGAAATACCTGATTTTTGGGCCTTTCTTAACAAATTATTGTTTCCTAGTTCATTTCCGTAATAGATCTCACTATTTGTCAGATTCCCTCCAGTTTTCTGTATTTTATAAATTTTTAAAACATGAATGCTAGATATTATATCCACAGGTTAAGCTTGGTCATAATTCTGCAGGGAATTGCCCATAATGGTCAGTTATAGTGAAACTTTCTACTTTTCACAAGATTTACTACTGTTCCATACACCTGTTTGTACTTTAGAATTGTTGCTAAAAGGTTTCTTGTTCTTTGAACTTCTAGGCAACAACTCTGGGTTTGTCTAAGGGTAGATTGTGTAGCTTCAGGTCTAGAGTCATTACCAAAGTGTGCCATCAATTTAGAGTAGACTTCATTTAAAAGACAAAATTCTGCAAGAGCCAGATATCTTTGAAATTTGAATATATAATATGTGATATAACATGCTTTGAAATTTATGTAAAAATACTGAATTTGCGGAAAGTCCCATGATAGTTGTTCTGGGCAACTCTGGTAATACATTTCATATAAAAAGTAAATGTAAGAAATAAAATATAATGCACTTTTGGAGTACTTTGACATGCAATTTTAGGGCTATGAGTTTTAGTCATGCTGGGGTGAAGTATCTTTATCACCCACCGCTTGATGTAAGATGTATTTGTGTTTTCATATCTGAAGCAGATCTCTATATATATTCTGGTGTTCATATTTAATAATTCACGGTTTTCTTTATTTTCAGGAATGCTGTTCATAATATCTCCTTGACAAGTCTCAGAGAGAATAGGGTAAGTTCTTTTAGATATTTTCCCACCACCCTTTCGTACCCTTCTTCACTATGTTTTAGTTTTGTACAAAGAAAAGCCTTCAAATGGTTGTTTTTGGTTGATTCATTAAGTATTAAGTTTGCATGTTACACAAAAATTCAAAGCCCCCAAACCATACCAAAGCAATGCTAAGTATTGTGTCCACCACGAGATAATATAACATTTAGTTAGTCTAGTTGTATTTTGTGTGCCATAGTAATAGGAGATTCTGAAGACCCATTAATGTCTGTAACATTTTCAAGCTGAAATGTTGTTATATCATTTTCCTTTCTTTCTAATCCAGTTATGTCATTATCATTATTATCATTATCTAATCTGTACCACAATCAGAGACAACAGATAACTTACCAATAATTACTGGTAATTAGTTAGTAAACAGTGACTTGTGGTAATTAACATTATTCTGGGGTTACCCATTGATCAGGCGGCTCTACAAAATTTGCTAAACCAAATAAAGTGTATAACACATTTGTACTGGGTTGTTTTTCAAATATGGTTTAAATTGAATTGACTTTTTCTAGCTTCACTGTTTTTGCTGCTTTTTTTACTGTATGGGATTTCCTCTCCAAGGTAGTTTCACTCCAGATGTCTAGTTTCTGTGATAACTCACTCTGATTGGTCAATTCAGGTCATGTGATATATCCCCAAGGTACCTGGGAGATATCCCTCCTTGCTGATCTTATCTGATCAATGTAATCTGATAATTTAAAGGACTATGACTCATAGATGCCTGGATCAGTTATATTTATTTATTTGTATTTATATTTATTTATTTATTTTAGAACAAATATTTATAAGCATCACCTAAATCAAATGACATTTTTATTTCCATAAATACTTCCACATGGAAATGCAACCAGTAAATTCTGGACCAATCAAAATGTGGATTTATTTACTTCATGGTTGGGTAGTGTCAAAGACAAAGATTGTTTGCCATGATAATGTCAAGTAACTTATCACTTCCAGTGTGCTATCCTTATGTTGCATTTTGTCATGCATACATGTATATATTTGAAACCTGTTTTTGCAGTAACTTCCAAGGCTCCCTAATTAATATTTAGTTAATTACAAGTCTAATCACTGAATAAATAGAGAAAGCTCAGGTGTGATGGATGGGTGTGTAATTAGTGAGGAGTTCTGTGAAAAATGGCAGTGGGGGAATGTTTTGAGGATTGATTATTTTCTAATGTTGTCAGCCCTGGAACCCTCTGTTCTGGTTTGTTTCTTGTCAGAGGGGGAGAAACACCAGGGTTCAAAGATGACATACGCTTATAATGTAAATCTGTATTGAGATGACATCGTCGCTGATTGGTCAAAAGTCGACAAACAAATGACGTCATCAATGGCGGTTTCAAAATTTTCGAAATACGCTTCGAATAATATTATGATCATTTCTGGCGTGTTAACCAATATCATAGCTTCTCATTTCACATCAAGATAAAGAAAGGTGTACGGAATATGCCTATATCAATTAAAACATCCCATCGAAGTGTAGTATTTGATAACTAGCCGATGAAAATTCGAACGAACGAAGGTGGTAAGCAAGAGAGGTAATTATGTCTGTCATCTTTAAACTCTGGGGCTTTCCCTCCTCTTTTTCTTGTAGAACTTTGTCTAGCACTATGACAACATTGTCCATCACTATGACAACATTGTCCATATGAACTGGACTTGCACTGAAATCATCAAATTGGAAAGGATATCCCCACAACTTAGGACCATACCATAATCCCATATCTAGGGGTCTCAATAGAATTTCTGATAATATATGAATTCAACGAAAAACATGCAGGCAAAATCATATTGGAAATGATAATTTTAGGATGGAAACTTACAAATTTTGGGAAAAAACTACCAGAAAAAATTTCCTGCTGCTAATGAAACCCATGCCATACAAATGACATCAAAATGACATCATCTGACATCAAATTGAGATTTGTATTTGGCAGAAGCATTTTGACAATGTATATAGAAAGGAAATTCTCCTGTATGAATAAGAAATACCTCCCTGAAGATGCAATTGCTCTATGAAGCTTTTAGATTATTCTCTTCTTTCATAATAATATTCTGTTTTTGGTATTCTATGTGAGGGATTTCATGTTCTGGTGTAATCGTGTATGACATTTTGGCATCTATGGTATATCTTCAGGGCTTGGATCAAACTGTTTCTACAAGATTAGAGTAACATTGATACATCATTTGAAGAATATTAGAATATTAGACCTGTTGGAGAGGGGGATGATCTAGGTTTAGATTTGTTGCTACTGGGTAATTTGTCACTTTGGTCTTTTTGTGTCACATAACATGTGGAAATTGTCAATTAGTAGGAAATGCTGGTTGGTATTACATGAGAAGTGCATATCCTAAAATGTGAATCAAGGCTATAAGGTTTAATGTTTTACTGATATTTGATAGAGAAAGCGCTGTGAAAAGCATCAATGACCAACATTGAGTTTAGAGCCAGAGATGACACATTATCAATATCAAAGACAAAACCAGAACTTAAAGTGTCACATCATCAGTGCTTCGTTTCTCTTTTAAAAATGAGAAATTCATTTTCTGGTTTATCTTTACAATTTAATGTGTTATCTCTCCTTGCATGTTCATATAATTCCTTGGTATTTCACATTTTTCCATTTTTTAATCAATTTAAAGATTGACTTTTATGAAATTTTATCCACAGGCCCAGTATTGATCTACATGTAAATCTATATACTGAACCATCAGTCAAGATAGTAATTCTAGACTCTCAGGGAGATTTCCTCCTTTTCATCTTATGCACCATTCATTTTTGAAATATTTAGCTGTATGTAGTCTGTTCCTTTTCCTCTGGAGCGATTATGTTGGTTTTTCATGGTGGCTTGTCCAGATTTCATGCCATTCTGCTTGTGATTTAGCCAATTTAATACTGGGTCATTATGAGAACATGTATTTCATTAATTTGACAGACCATATATACATGCTTATCATTTCAAAAATGTCAGTTTTGCAGACTTGTATTCACTTTCTGAAGGGTCCTTGTATAACTATACAATTATTTTGATGTTTTACTTCAAGATTAATTTCAACTGAAAGTCCATATTCATAATAGCCAACCAGGGATAATTTTCCAGTCAATTACATGCTGGACATATTCTTTCCTGCCAGTTGAGGAAGTCATACATCTTTGCTGATATCATGAAAGTCCATTATTAAGACATATGCAGACAGTCATTTTCCTTCCTTTTAGAGGTAGCTAAATGCACCTAGGTTCAGTCTATACTCCGACATTTTTGATAAAATCTATGTGATAATATTTGTAAATAAATCCTGAAAATGTATGATTGGTTTGCATATGTGAATTATAATTATTATGATTTTAATTGTTATTGTATGTTTATTTTGTAGAAAATCGTATGGCACTCCAGTGCGATGGACAAACATTCTTGTGGCAGCAAATCAAAATCATTGGTGAGTAAGAAACAGTGGTGACATCTTTGTGTAGTTTATAGCAATTTGACATATTTTAGCGAAATAGTTTATATTTAACCAAACTATGTATTAACAATGTCACTTTTTTCTCTTGGGTCAACATGATGAGCCATTTAACCTTCATAGTCATTTTCCTCATCTTCTTGTCTTTCATTTTCATCCCAGTCATAACATCATCCTAGTTACGTTACTAACTGTCACCATAGTTACCCACAATCACCCTAGTTACCCACTATCATCCTTGATACCCAAATCATCATAGTTACCCACAGTCACTTTCCTTACCAAGAATCACCCTAGTTACCTACAATCACCCTAGTTACCCACAATCACCCTAGTTAACCCAAATCACTCTAGTTGTCTACCTCATCTCCATTCTTTCACTTTGATTTAAAAATACAGGATTTATAGGAAATAATCCAGACAAACATTCCACGTCTCAAAATAAGAAAATATTTGTTCAGTACTTGTATAATTTATAGTATTAACATCCTTAGCCTGAGCTCAGACTGACTTGAAAGAAGAAGGAAATTGGAATAGTGTATTTCTTAGTCATATAAATCTATCTTTCCATCTGAAATGTCATGGTATTCTTAAACCTAAATTCCTCCTAAATAACATTGTAACAATTAAGATTGCTTCATACTTTTTATGAGCCTTTGGAACACATTAGGGTGCATATAAGCAGGAGTGAAACCCCATTCCTACAGTTACACATGAAATTTGTGGCCCAAATTCAGAAAGCCTTGTTCTCTAAATTTAAAGGCCTAAAACAAGTAAAATGTTCGCAGGGGGGAGGGGGGGGGGATTTATCAGGTTTATACCTTACTCTAAATATGTTCCTAATCAGACTAACCTAACCAATTTTTCATATGATTTCACCTTGTGAGTATTTCCACATGTTGAATTACCTGGTATCTAGGGGGATTCCAAGTGCATAAACCTGAATAATGCATTTCAAATGCCGCATAGCTTAATTTAAAGTACAAAATACAGTGAAAAATAGAGGAATCAGAAAGGAATAAAGGAAACAGACATGAAGTTAACACTTTAAATTATATAGAAATATCACAAAATTAGACATTTCATTCAGATCTACAGAGAAATGGCCTGATATGAAAATGGAATATTTCTAGTAGGGCCAAAAATTGCCCTTTTCCCTAGATTTCCATGTGCAATGTCATGTTCACCATGACCCGTTTCATAAGCACTGCTGTATTTTCAGTTATGAGAGCATAAATATCTCACTCAAAAACACTTATCTGCTATATAGCTCTTCTTAAAGTTTAATCAAGACGAATTCAGTTTTTGTCCATTGACATTGTAATAAATATTAAACAAATTAAATGCAAAGTCACAAAGCCTTATTTCAGTTCCTCGCTGTTATTTCTCTACAATTCATCTTTTCTTGAAGAATCCATGATCAATATCATACGCACTAACTATCAAGAAGGTGCACTTGGTAAATTGGTAAATTCCCCAAAGTCCAAAAAAGTAATTTAGTTTGGGTCAACATGCTTATTAAGATTTTTCTCGAGTATGAATTGTCTTATTTTAACGTTTCTATAAATTTGAAGAACGGAACTTGTCTATTTACTAGATTCCTCACAAAACACTTTTTTCATTCTGAGATCTATTGAGTATTTTTCATTATGACATTTTGCTTGGGGCGATCTCTTAGTACATTTGTAATCGCCTTTTGGTCTCTGCTGTGCATCTGAAGATGTTTTGAACCTGTTAATCTAATAATCACAACAAGAGGGAAAGGGAAACATCTTATATAACATTAAGCAGTGCCTCAAATATTCCATGAATTTCACCACAAGTATCTCTGATTGAGATCCATGCAGTCTTACACCATAATGTTATACCAGTGCATTCTTTTAGTCATGGAGAATACCATTTAGACTAATAGTGCTTCAACATGGTCTTGCACAGGGATAACTCTCAGTTATATAGAATACCATATTAGATCAAAATGGTTTTACACGCGGATAACTCTCAGTTAAATAGAATACCATGGGATATCAACATGGTTTTGCACAGGGATAACTCTCAGTTATATAGAATACCATGGGATATCAAGATGGTTTTGCACAGGGATACTTCCCCTTATATTTCCATGTGCTTAAAGCATGAAATATATAATGTCCCATTGTCTCCTGTGGGAGAAGCCGGTGAATACCATGATTCTGACTTGATGGAACTCTTTGTAAAGAATAAAAATTAGACTATTAAGGAAATTGCATGGTTTGAACAGGGTGTGACAGATTTAAGTGTCCCCCGGTGGTCAGTGTCCGTGGGACAGCCAACCCTAGGGATCGGGGTCCGTAGGACCCCGATCCCTAGGGTTGGCTGTCCATTGGAGGACATTGAAAACCAGGTTTTATTTCCTATATTAACAAGGGTAAAATGGGGAGACATTTATAACTGGGGAGACTCTCAGATCTGTCACACCAGTAACAGATTGTGATGTCCCCCGTTGATAGGATTTAATACTTTTAGTTACTAGGATCCGAGTTATAGTGTAGTCGAAATCGGATATCGGCATCTCTCCCACTGTGGCGTAACGGTATAAGCGTTGGCATAATGTGTATTAATTGTGTTTGTATTTATTAGGTTCCAGGTTCGAATCCTGCATTGATATATCATGTGTAAATATATTAACCGTCTGCACCGTTTATATTGTATCGTATGTTATATTGTTTCAATAGATTGTAATATTCCATATTGTAGCCTATTATTATTGGTGCCCATTTTTTTCATTTTCAAAGGATACCACCAGTTTTTATAGATATTCTTTATTTATTTTTTTATTCATTCCTCCTAACCACTTTTCTCCTACTTCTAGCTAGGTCTGAGATAACTCTTATATGCTTCTACTAAGGACCTGAGCTGCACTTGGCAGGGAGGGAATTTTTATCTAGGTCAAGGTCAAAGGCCAAATCTAGGTCAAATCAGAGTTTTTTTAAGTTTCTCAGATTTTGTCTTAATATTTCATGATTATTTCTTGCAATGAATTAAAATGTAACTAGATAAGCATTCTCTACAAATTGCTTACTATATGTTTGCGTTAAATTTTTACCGTTTTTGAGATAATTGACGTAAAAAAATTGGTCATATTGCTTCAAATTGACTAATTTATTTTTAAAAATCATCTACAAGTCCCCGGGAACTCAAATCTGATCTTTCTTTTGACCTTCTGGGTTCAAATTTAGGTTTATTTAATCACAAAAAGACCCACTGATGTCTAAGAAAGTCAAAGGATAAGTATCGATATGGTGAACTGAATTCAACAATGTTTTTCTCTTAAACCATTTATAGGAAACATTCTGTAAAAAACACGGTCCTTTATGTAATGTTGACTGATTGGCAACAATTTAATGCAAAAATAATGTATATATATTTTATATAACTGTTTTTGTTAACATTTTTTTTATGTAATTGTTTTTTTGTTCCTTTTTACGAATTCTTGAGAATGAAATAAAATGTCTTTCCGAACCTTGTTGGAACAAAATAGCATAAACAACATTTTCTTATACCTCTCAATATTATAGTTATACAAAGAAAATTTGGGTTGATTTAACAAAAAGTATCCAAAAACAAAACCCCTAAAATAGATAAAAATTAAGATAAACCTTTCATTTCATTAACAAGATACTTATTTAAAATCAACCAAACTTTCCTTTGTACAATTGCAATATTGAGAGAGCTAAACACGTTGTGTTTATATGTCGTTTTGTTCCAATGAGGTTCGGATAGATATTTCATTTCATTCCGAATATATGATACCAAGAACGAAAAAAGTGTCTGATGTGTTTTTCTAAAACAATATAGAGAAAAGTCCATATATATAATTCAAATTGTAATGTTACCATCCAAAATATGACCATTAAATGGACGATGTGTAAAATTTTCAGAATGTTTTGATGACTGGTTTAAGAGAAACGCGTTTTCAAAAAGTTCATCATATCGATACCACTCCTTTGCAAGGTCAAATGTTAAGGTCATCAAACTAAATCACAAACTGTGTTTTCTTAGTTTATCAAAGTTGATGATTACAAATCAATATTTTTTGATGAAAGACAGAATATATATTCCACTAAAGGTTTTACACATATAAGCTATTGACTATCCATTAAAATTGTGCGACAGTTTTGAGATATTAGACATCAAAAACTGAAAAAAGGTCAAATTTCGAAACTTTTCAAGACTAAATTTCAACTTGCTTCAAATTGACCAAACATTTTTTAAGATCATCAAAACTATTCGAACGACCCTTGTATTTAGGAGTACATATACGCAATAAAATGTGACCTATGTTCATTAGTAGTAGAGGACAGTGATGCAGAGTCATTACGGTTAATGTAGGCTCACTTGATGTCTATGCAAATAAAAGCAATAATATACTTACATTTTGTGAATTGTGTTATATTTGGTCTATATTTAACGTGACAGAGTAGTGCTCGATGATTTATTAATGATAAAACGCATTATTAGTTAATACATAAATAAAGGGGGGGGGGCATTAAAAACTAGCTTTCGAATGATGCTGGTTTTAAGTGTCCCCAAGGGGACATTCAAAACTTCAAGGGGGACACTTAAAACCTGGAGTTAACTGTCCGACGGACAAGCATCCCTAGGGTTGGCTGTCCCACGGACACTGGCCACTGGGGACACTTAGATCTATTACAAGGGCACTGTGTAAATTCAATTTAGTGGACATTTCTATGCATGGAATTGACTTCTATGTTATCTCAACACTAATTGTCTGGATTTTCTCTGATTTATTACCTCATTAGTATGACCTATCTCACATAGGTGAATCCCAGCTTGTTTATGATGGTTAGGCACCCATATAAGGGGATAAGTCCCTAGACCCTAAGTATTAGAAGATTGTACTATGATGATGAGCATGCAGTTTCAGAAAGCATGACTAAGCTGTATATCATCTCCAACACCAAAGGATTTGTTCCTTTGTATGCCCTAAATTTGATTGGTTGATGTAGTCACATGGGCTTGTTCCCCTGGTACATGGTAAGCACCTCCTTTGAGAATTTATGCCATATATATTGTTTCCTGGAAATGGACAGTGAATTGTTAATAAATATAGGGTGATTTATTACCAAGAGATTACCAAGGAATGATCTATAACTTGGGGATTAAGTAAATTAGATGAATATTTCGCCATTACTGTTGATAGTCGTGCTATTGGATTTGAATAATTGAATTAACTTCGTAGCAGGAAGCTTCCTTCATCCATCAACTAATGTTGGATGGTCCGTAGCCTTATTGGAAACTAACTAGAATTTCAGTGCTGTAATAGCACATCCTAGGTATGGGATATGCCTGGAAGGACTACATTTATCACATATGAGGGTGGGATATCGAATATGGAGGGAGGGGCAGCAGTGATATCCTCTGGGTAGACTCAATGTTTGTGCCATGACTAGCATCAGCCATAGCTAAACATAAAAAAGCATTTCATATACTTTGTGAATTATATACCATTATAAATCGCTTTTCTGACAGTTAGCTTTAGTTTTGTGAAAAGTAATTTGGAAAAGTGAAATAAGCTTTATTCCTCAGAGGGGAGCTGTACTGTATGCTTTTATGGATGCAATCTAATATTTGATATCCTAGATCTAGATTTGTCTGTCTATTACTCCATGGATTTGATAGACTATTTTGTCTTGGGGGTCTATCTGACTTATTGAAGTAAATCTTTATGTTACATCAAATGTTACATTATTTCTGATGAAAGTAGTTTTAATCTCTAATTTGAAAGCAGATAGAAATAGACTTTCTTGTATCATCTTAATCAATGTTACTGGATACATCCTTCTTTTTGAAAGTTGATAGAAAATGTATTTTGTGTAATGTCTTTATCATCGACCATTTCATGTCTTTATGGTAGGTTACGCTTCATAGCATAGAATGAGAATAAACTTGTTTTAAACTTGGACCTTTTATAACATTATCTACAGAAATGTCCAAAAATGACCTTACTCTTCTTTATCAACAACATTGTCACTCAGTATTAGCCTCACCTATTCATTTAGCACAATCAAATCACAATTTATTTCTACATTTAGGTATTTCATCAGATGGTTACATCCTTAAAGAACACTTAGTTTCATATTTTCCTCACATCCTATATCCTCCCACATGTACTTGCATCTTTTGTTTGTTCATTTTCATCAATTCATCAATGCATGAGGGGGTTGAGGGGATATTTTGAGAAAATCCTTTTTCACATTTTGAATAGATGTACTATTTAAAAAAATAACTGTTAGAAATGTCTAGACTGTCAATATGTATATTGTATTTAAATACTAACCCATCATTTCTTGAATGAAAGGGATAAGTGCACTTATGAATGGTACTCACTACTCAAGTACAACTTGAAATATAATATCCCATTGTCTCCTTAAGGAGAAACCTCTTGTATTGTGACCTAATGTTATTAATTATAATGTTTTATTTGTTTTCGCCTTCACAGAAAATGTTCCAGGTAATTTGGATTGGGTAGAATATATTTCTCAAATATTATTTATTTTATATTTATTATATATATATATATATATGTGTTCCCTTGTGATGTTACGGTGTTTAAGCTTTCGGTGTTCATCAAATTATTTTCTTTTAATCAATCACTTTTCTTACAAATTCTTTGATTTTAGAAACATTTACCAATCGTATGATCCGCATTCCCAATTGTTGTACATAGATTGTTACCATAACAACTTAACCCATTTGATTTCGTGAAGATGCTTTGAATTGTGGGAGATAAATCTTGATGGATGTATTGCGGAAGCGATCCAATGAGACATTAAAAGCATTAGCTAGATTAACAGGTTAAAGATTACGACGTGAAATAAATCAACGTCAAGATTGGATGAAGCGTCTATTGTATTCCAGTGTCTTACCTGAATATTAATTAGACGATTAAAGCACTAAAATTGCACTTTCGTTCATGGTAGTAATGAATCCCGCAGTTCAAGAGATTTAGACCAATCAACGATAACAGAATCAGCGGGAGAATTGTTCGATGATGCATGATTGAACTGTTTTTAAATGATTTTAGACTTTTAATTTTCTTATCACGTAGCTCAACATAATGAAAATAAGATTATTGTTTACTTCACACAAGTCCATTTTCACGTATACTGGGCTTCCTTGATTTAAATAAATAAATATCTAATTAAGTTTATAATTAGTGGTTTGATTTTTGATATTAGATAATCACTGAATAGTTTTTTGTTTGTTTATTATTTGATTTATCTGTAGATATTGTGTATGAGTCAGCTATTCTACCAATTTTAAGTTCATTAATTTGATTGATTTTGTTCTCGGAATGCTTGTACAGTCTGTAATGGGATAGGGAATTATTTACCAGTTTACCTACTGACTTTTACTATTTAGACAATTTTGTGGTTCACTTAGCACATTTTGGTATGTCTTAGTCACCTATTACTGTATTAGTATCTGTATTGTCTGCATATTAAGGTATAATGATATAACGCCCATGTTGTATTTCAGTTCAGACTCACTTATCTTCGTGCCAGTCTATAATTTATAATATTACAATCTTCCTTTGGTGAAAATGGGTAGTTGGTACATTTACATGATAATGCCTTTTACCATGTCTTTTTGATTTTATCATTTTCGGAAATAAATAGCAATATTGATTCAGAGTTCTATTAAACCAAATCTTTAATTAGATTTTCATGAAGTTCCAAATTTTCTTTTAGATATTATTTTTATAATAATTTTGCTAATCCAGTATTCTTTATGAGATTCTTTATTGGTGGAAATCAATACCCATCATCAAAGGAACCATATAACCATGGTTGGTCCACATATTAAATGTAATTAAGTGGGGTTTTATGATATTATCTCAAGTTTATGGAATCATTTACAGTCTCTACAGTTAATTCAATTCAAATACCAATGCATGAATAAAATATCAAAAAATGATTCCATTGATTTTTTTTGGATTCAGTTTTTTTCTAAACACCAAGATATTGAGTTGGATTCAGTTTTTTTCAAAGCACCAAGATATTGAGGATATTAACATGGTGTTTTTGTAGCTTTAAAAGTTGAAGTTTTTAACCAAGAAAATCACATTATCATCTTATATGATCTGTTTGCTTAACATTCGATTTCAGTAACGGATATCCTTTTTAAGATGTTGTTTTTTAGAACTTTTCACTTTGAGAATAAATCATTTCTTACTTAGAAGTAACTTAATATTTGTGATATATGATCATCATTATGAAACAAAAACTTTTCTTCCACTGCTAACTTCTATATGCTTTCAATAAAGTAGATGCGAGTAGGTAGTTACCAGTTTCACCACCAGGTGGCTCGTTCGGGTCAGATAGCATGGCGAGTATAGGAGAAAGTTCCCTTTAACTTAAATTACATCTGTTTTAGTGGTTCAATTTTCATATAACCCTTATGTATCTAATAGTTATGCAAATTAAAATATGTCCAGTAAAAGAAAATGTTATCTGTCCAATACAAGAAAAAATATTTCACTTTTTCTGATTTTGTAACATGGGCTCTATGGGGAATCAACCCGAACAAGAAGTCACATTTTCAAAAAAAAACAAAATTTCAAAGTTGATAAACAACTTTCGAAACCATATTTTTAGATGTACTTTTACATGTAGATTTCAAATATGACATCACTTTGACTGAATTTTGAATATTTATTGACGTAAATCAAGATTATTTCTACTCGCATCTAGTCTATTAAAAACACAATTAAAACTGAAACAAATCTTGTTATTTCATGAATCTGATGATATTCAATATTTCTGAGGAAGTAAGATATGCCAAGTTTACAAACGGCATACAATAAACTGTCAACATATTGCCCACACAGTGAAACACTTATCTTCGTTTAAAGTACATCTAAAGTATTTCTTACTTAGCTCAAGAATGGTAACACTTTATATCTCCTGTCACCTTTTGTATATATTCTGTTAGAATCAATCAGTCACGTCCTAATATGTCTTTTTAGCTGCAATCCTTTGGTAATTACGAAGATTCAAAATGTGTATCACTTTTCGATAATTTTTCCCAGGTTTTGCAAAATATGAATATACTGTGTGTAGCAAACAGATTCAGTAATGTTAAAATAATGAATTCCTCAAGATGTTTACTGAAATTTTGTTTTTGTATTTTAGGAAGAGTGCCAGAATTTTATTCGTGTCCTGGTTAAGAAAAATGACAATGAGTTGATTGTTTGCGGAACAAATGCATACAAGCCAAAGTGCCGAACTTACAGAACCTCTGGGGTATGTAACAACATTACAACAATACTGTTACTTATAAAACAAAATAACTCGTATGTACGATATTGTCTTAAGAATTAAACGTTTTTATAGCAAGATGAAAAAGATTTGTCAGTGTCACAAAGCTTATCCAATTCAAAAATTTATTTGGCAATATGGATAAATAAATAATGTGATGCTGTCAAATGATACAGGTACATAGATTAATAAATAACATAGAACAATCATATTTTATGTGTATACTGTATGGGGTTTCTTTACAGGAGTCAAGCTATGAGCAAGTTGGACCCGAGGAAAGTGGGGTAGCAAAGTGTCCATATGACCCAAAACACAACAATACCGCCATATATACTGGTAAGTACACTGTACTGTTATAACATAAAGGTGCTGAATTGTTGCTGTGCGCATATTTCAGTCTGGGCAATCAGCTATTTTCAGACTGTCTGGGGCAGAGAGGTGAAACAAAAACACCTGACACATAATGACTTCTCTCCATGACAATTTTTTATACTTCAGTGTTCTGGAGGTTGTGAGCATAATAAGCTGGATAACCCTTGTGATGCAGCATGGCTTAGTGTTTTGTTTCAAACTCTGTACAATTTCTCTTGATAATGACCCATCATGGGTTTACTTATTTTACTTATACCCAAAAGGCCATGATCATCTGGGCTTTTAGATTCGTCTGTTATGTAAAAGACCATATAAACCAAACATTGTGCTAACATATACCCTTGGTGCATATTATCTTTGTGTTCTACTATGTTACTACTCTCCCCTGAGCAAACTTTCAAAGAAGAGGAAATCTCATGTTCAATTTCCATCCAATATGATATTCAGCCATCTGGGTTTTTGCTGCATGCATATTAACTCCAGAATCTTCCAATGTTATTGATATTTTGGAAGGAAAATTTAAAACTTAAAACTGCATCTTGTTCCAGTTGTCAAGGCAAATGACAGTGAACGTACACATTGTGTTTCAAGTACACCCCCTGGTGAAAAAGTTTACTTTTGTTTTGCCTTTTTTTGCATTGATTTGCAAATATTTTGAGCTAGCATTTAATAACATAAAGCAGTTGAGTTTATATTAAGCCTCTGCTGCTTATATTTGAAAGCAGAATCTGGATTTTTTTTCTAAGTTTATTTATAATTTCAAAATTTTGAGTTTTCATTTCGGGAAATGTTTTGAAGGGGAATGTAAAAAACTGGTGAGTAAAAACTACAAAAAACAGCAAAGAAAAAAGATCCAGGGGCTTTGGTAACCAATTATAACACACTTGTGTTTTTCCTGTGCAGGCGATATCACGTCTGCTTACACTCATTTCACTTGTTTCTCTCTAAAAATTGAATAAAGTGTCTGATTTTCTTGGATTTCTTTATAATCCGGGGTGTCACCTTTATGCCTGCTTATTTTATTTCTCTCTCATTTCTCTCTGTTTCATGGTATTTGCATTTGTAAACATGGAATGATTTACGATGGTGCTCTCTTCTTGCACAACCCTTCTGTGATAAATCTAACCCCTTTCTTCTAGGGTTGTAAATCTGAAAACAACTTGGTCTTGAATTTGGACATACTTGTAAAAACTCTAGTAATGTAAAGTTGTCTTATTCTGTTATAGAGTTTCCCAATACTGAATTCTCGATCATCTCTTAAAAGCATAACTTTTAACCCACAACTATTTTTATTTTCTCTGGAGTAAGATTAGTTGATTAGTTGAGGTGATACATCTTGTAATCAGAACTCATTCATCTTTGGATCAGAGGCGATCCATCTTCTGATCAGGGATGATCAATTTTCTGATCAGGGTTGATCAATTTTTGGTTCATGTCTGATCCACTTTCTAATGAGGACTGAACTGACTGGTCTTCATGCCCTCCATTTGCAGCGATGATGTCATGCCACTCAAAATTAAGCATTAAAAATAACACAACAACAATTAAGGTGAACAAAGACTATATTTCAAGTATGACATCAGTCAGCAATCAGCAGGAATATGATCTTAATCAGCAGAGAAAATCTGACCCAGATAAACCCTGATGAAAAAAACATGAGACACTTTTCACCACTGGTATCTCTTGACTTAGAATTGTGAGGCCTTTGGGGCATATAGCTTTACTGACACCTCAAACTAAACATCCATATGGCAGAAATGTTCATCTGATCATACTAAAACATTACACAACTCTCTTAAAGATTTGAATGGACTGTATCATTTTTAGGCTCTCTATAATGTTTAGTGTTAACTTCATGTATGTTCATTTCACCCCTTGCCTGTTTCGCTCTATTTCTCTCTGTTTTACATTTTAAAACACCACCCAGTGATACTTTATCATTAGGAATCCATATGGTATATGATTGCTGGATCCCTCTAGTTTCAGCTTAATTTTAGGCCAATCATGTAATGGAAGCATGTGAAGACAAGGTTGATTTCATCATTCATCATGCAGTATCATTTTTCTATATTTTAGTAAATTGATTGGAAGGAGACCCCCCTCTTACTTGAATAACCTGGGATTAAAAAGGGAAAGAATCGAAGATATGAACATCTCATTATGTTTTTATTAAAACCAGTGAGCAACCACAGTACTAAATACTGTCAAATTCATAAATCAGTTATAAATAAAGGCAGAATTAATTTTTGAAGTACAGTTTCAACCAGTGATCCATGAGGCAACTTCTCCTTGACACGTGTCATTTTAAAACAACATCTCCAGGCTTCATTTCACATTTGTTTTCATTAGAACAAAAAGAAAACCAACTGGGATGTCAACATCCGTCTGCTCTCTCTTTTACCACTCCATTTCTCTCTAAAATTTGAATGAAGTGTCTGATTTTCTGGGATTTTCATACAATTTAGAGTATCTGCTTCATGCCCATGATATGCATTCCTTGGTTACTTCAGTGTTTTTTACAGTATTTTACATTTCAAAACATGACCGTTAAATTTTATCTCAAGGTTTGGAGGGACTAACATAACCTTCCAAGAGAACAAAGAGAGTCTGGTTTCAAGGGACAGTTGTTCTTACAGCTGATCAACAACAGGAAGTTTTTTAGACCCCTTTATTAAGACTCAGGATTTTCTTCATCTCAGTATCTTCATTAGCTTTGTTGATGTTACTTTCAACCTAAGGGGAGTGTGAGATGGCCAATGAGTTTAATCAGACAGTTGGAACATCAGATAATCCACAAGTTTTTTTCATGTTTTCAAAATGTTTGTTATGTGTCAAATGGGAAAACAGATATTTTGATAGTAAGGTCATCATTAGAAATTATAAGATTACAGGCTATCAAGAACTAAAGAAAATGTATCTATATAGTATATTTAAGACATTCAGTTTACTTTTTAATTTAGTTTTAAGTAAGGTTAGGATTACTGGTGTCTCCCAGATAAGATGTATGTATCTCAAAAATGATTAATTTTATAACACTCCTCCTTTTAGTGTTTCACTGTGAATAAGACTTTTCATAGACGATGTGTCATAATTTACAAAACAGCGGTACTTTGTATCGGTTATCTCAAAATCAGGTCATTTTTCACATCGAAACAAAACGTATATTCCCTCTGATGTGCCTCCTCTTAATAGAACTTTCTCATTCTTGTCATGACGAAATTGAATCAGAGGCTCCAATATAATCAATGGAAATTTTGAATTTACAAGTTTGATTGATATCTAGTACAATAAACAGTATATTTAACTGTACATGCATTGAGATATCTATTGTATACAATAAAATGAATAGATATTGTATGAAGATGAAGAGGCACAAACAAAGTAGCTGATGCTCAAACTGAGAAAACTTGATTTCTTTATCAACTGTATTTTCTTGGGTCACAGCACTGTCACTTTCCATTTACCATTCTTTGGAATTTATAAAATTCACACAACATTTTCTTTCCCATACAAAGCACTTATTATTTGATTAAAACATTAAAAAAAATAAAGTTTTATACTCTTGGATTCATTTGTTCAATACACAAGTCTTCATAAATTATTTTTGCCTACAATGCACCATTTATCCAATGACCAGCCAACCGTATTACGACTTGTAAAAAACTAATTTTCTTCTCTGGTCGAATACATGTTTTGTATAGAACAAGGATGACATTTTCGCTCCTGTGATTACTTACTTTAACCCATCCTTAATTTCATCAAAAAACATTAATCAAGTTTCATTTAAATTCTGTAGCTATTAGACTTTTAATGGGTGTATATAAATACTAAAAAAGGATATAGACTAATTTGCCCAACCAAGGTGTACGGGTATGAGTAGTGATTCTCCAATACAATAAAATGTTAAAATGACACGAGGGAAGCGTGTGCTAATGCTAGCCATGGGATATTTGGCACTTATTTGTGTTTCATCCAAACGGAGATAATTCACTATTTACCAAACATGTTAACGTTCAGATAGACTTAATTGACTCTCCACGATCCACAGTTTTTGTGTTTAGGACTGAAGCCAAAATTTGATAATTGCAGGTATACACACATCATTTTCTTTCTCAGTTGAGGTAATTCCCCATGTTACATCTTCGATTCACCCCCCTCTTTATCCAACTCTTGTGAGAGTACCTACTTTAAGTATCTCCCTTCAAGATAAAGAAGAGCCTGTTGAGTACACAATGGATGTAAATGGATAAGCCATTTTCAATAGCTGTGTCTTAGACTGCCTCGATCTTTGTAGTTAAGATGATTCCTCAACCTCTAAAGCTATCAGATTAAAATGACTCTGTAAAGTATCTGACATCACGTCAGCCTGTTACTTACATTATAGTTTATCATACCTTTTAGCTAATTGAAAGAAACAGCTAAACAATGGTGTGTCCCAGCATGCATCACTACTGGCCAGTGATGTTCCCTGGGTATTAGGGTATATATTCAATGTGTTTTAACTGTTAACAGAGAATGGGTCTTAATTGATTTTTTGGTTACTTTCCAAAGATGCAGCTTGTTCTTTCTTAATCTTTGTAAATTAGTATGGTATCATTTTTGTGGGGTTTTATGGGGTTTTATTATCTCCTCTGTTAAAGATGTATATTTTCCCAGTGCTGCCTTATCCTTGTGCTATTCATGAGTAATCATGCCCAACAAATCTATCTGGTCATGCCCATTTCTCTCAATGTCTCTGAAACTTCGAATGAAGTATCCAATTTTCTTGCATTTCTTTATAATATTGAGTCTTTACTACTTGTCTGTGTACTTTATTCCTTGCTAATTCCACTCTTTTCCACTCTTATTTTGAATTCAAAAGATGACCCATTTTCTTTTTTTCACTGGTAATCAGTTTACCATACTGACTTATCTCTGACAAAACACCTGGAAAGGTCAATTTATGCTAATCTGATAATCCCTTGTTAAACCTCTCTAATCTTAAATACATTCATTTTTTCTTTTATTTGGGATATTTTTTGTTCAGTATTTGTTTGGGAATTTATTTTACTCAGGTCTTTAATTTTAGAAAGTGAAATTACATCCTGCTTGATGCATTTGATACTTGAAATCTGTATGTACAGAAAATAATTGGGATGAACCCTGAAACTATAAAAAAAGTGAACATGCTTGATAAATTCAACATTAGGGATACATCTGTATCCTTAAACCTTTCATAAGGAGCAGTATCACTTATATATTGTGTAGTTTAAGTGAGCGTTCAACATGTATGTTACTTATTAGAGGGATGTGAGTATATAGGGATGTGAGTCATGTATTGTGGTTACTTGTACATAGTCTTGGGTCTAGACTGGGGAATATGGTATATCTCATACAGATTAGCCCCCCCCCCTTGTCTCATATATTTAATTCTTGAAAAGATAAGGCAAGAATATATATCTCAAATATTAAACAAGCTTATATTGTTAAGAAGCTTGTATTGTTTTTCGAGGCTTCATAAGGATATCTAGTGGTCATCTTTCCCTTTGGCCATTTGCAAGGACTAGCTATAGACCAACTGATGGACAGTGTAACTACCCTACCCCATTGTTTCACTTTGTGACCAAAAATACATTTTTTGTTAACATTGCACACTTGTTTGTATTAAACTTGATTCTGGTTAGAGAAACTTGTCACCATCTAAGTAAAATATTTAGAAGTTTTTTTTGCCGAACTACTAGTTTATTTTCTTTCTGTGGTCAAATCTATCAGCGGGGCATAAGTTCTGGAGTGATCCATCAATGTACTGTCAAATGTCCTCAGCATACCAAGCCAGCTTTAAAAAATGTCCCAACTTATGTTATAGGGTGTCTTTCATATGATTCAACTTAGTTTTTTGCATCCAAGCTTCTACTGGGTGTTCCATTGATTATTGGTGCATTTTGAGTTTTCTGATTGCTGCCAGTGTGTCTCACAATAAATTCTTATTTTTTCAACTGAAATATGTTTTGCTAAATATACAACATGTATATCTAACTTTGGATTGTTAGCTTATTAGGCCTTGTAAATGTCAATTAATAGATTGGAATATAACAATTTAGACAACTGTGGCTAATATTTATTTTCTTTGATTTCAGATGGGAAGCTTTATACAGGGACAGTGGTTGACTTCACAGCTAGAGAACCACTTGTATTCAGTGCCCCACTGCGTACAGAACAACATGACTCACAGGTGCTGAACGGTAAGTTACTGTACGCCATGAAAATATTGTATGATAGAGGATCATATAAACCAGAAATCACAAAATGAAGGAAAATATATGTCTATAGGCGACATTGGAATTAATTTCAAAGGAAGAATATAATGAAGTTTTAGATTACCATTCAATTGCAATTTTTATTTTACTAAGGACATGAATTTAATCTCAAGCACAATTTATATCAGTCAAAACTATTGTCATATTTCATAAGAATGTCATATTTTGAAGAGGTTGTCATATTCTCCAAATTGTTATTATGAGGTCACAACTTCAATAATAAGCTCTAAATTAAAATGACTCTTTTGAGCTCTCAGTATAATTCATATGGCTAATTTGAAAAAACAAGTTTGATTTAGCCTGTTGGGTTATCATAAGATATTAGAACATGTGCATAAGTTGTTACCATGGCAATGAAAAGAATGGAATTTGCAAGGAATAGAGTGACTTAAGATGAAGTTGTGAATCCTGGTAAAAATTTACAAAAAGCGGATGTCTTGATCCCTTTATAAAGCAATCCCCATAGCTATGGCAAAAGTGAGATTTCCTGAGCTGGAATATTGACTGAGCGTGTGCCGTGAAGTATCGGTATTTGTCTTCTAGAGTGACACGTGGGATTAGTTACAACTAAATGGATTATTATAGATTCCATCCCCTAGGCCTTATCGATAATGAAACCTTCTCAGTCGCAAGAAAGCAAATCGTTTCAACTGGGATAACGTCATGAGCTAGTAGTGCACACTGCACAGCTAGCTTGATAATTCAGTGATGATGAAACACTTGATGTATATTGTATGCAATATATTCATTGCAGACCATGCTCCAATTCATCAATGTGTATCCATGTTATTCTGTATGGGTCCAATAATTATAATGACATTCTTTATTATTGCGATGGTTCAATAGTGTCAAAATGTATTCAACTTTTATTGGTTCCAAAGCAAATATTAAATACTATTTCTTTACTGGTGTTCTTTTGCTAAATAAAGATGGATTGAGTTAATATTCATTACGGAACTTAACAATATTGTATCCTGTATAAAACTGATATAATAAGTCCTGTATGGGAAATAATGTTCTCTTAATACGGTATGATGAATGGTACTTCTTACCCCTGCACAATTACTTCAATAGGATTTCTGTCAGGCCGCAAATTAATTGTGTTATTTTGGCATATTAATATTTCCGAAGTAAATTTGATTGATATCGGTTGAGTTACATTTTTACAAACGCAAGCTCATTCGTAATATTTTCCCGGCTGTCGATTAGACGATTTTGCAATTAATAGAAGCAGTTATGGAAATTGAGTTTGAATTTTCATTGATGTTTTAATTTAACGTAATCTAAAGTTTTCTAAAGTTTCAAGCATATCGTAAATGTAGTCATGGTGATGTATTATGACTTCAGTTGGGAATCTTTTCACCTGGAACATTCCGGAATGCAAACATCTTATCCTTTACTCCAAGAATTGCCAAACAAGTTATTAATTTTACTTTCATTAGACCAGATGAGTCAAGCATTAGAAAGTAAGATGAGAAAATTGATGTATTTCTCAATCATGTCCAGGAATAAATTGTGGTCAGCATATATCTAATCAATTATGATGTAAAAGGGGGATTCAGGGTCAATATGCTGCTGACTTCATTTTTGATTACCCTTTCATATAAAAATTGGTACCATGGTAATTGTGAAATTTTCATTTTTTTCATTAATTGAAAATACACACAGGATGCAGATCAAATGATTCATAATTTCTGATTTATGACAAAAAATCCTGAAGAATTCTTCTGTTGGTTAAAAAAGCACACAAATGATAACTATCAAAACAAATCTGAAAAATATTGGGTGAGAGATTATCTCATGTTACATTAACTTAGTTAGAAAAACATGAAGATTTAAAGATAGTCCAGGAGTAAACTACTGAAACACATTTAATTCTCAGAAATTTAGCTGGCCATAAATATTGTGTCAATGACAGAACAGATTATCTTAATGTTTCAGTTTGAAATTCTATATCTCTGTTCATATGAGTATACTAGTAGATAGAATATCTGTATCAGCTATTTGAATGTGAAAGCAACTTTTAATATGTGTAGTTCAATGCAGAGTTTTTACATTTCAATTAGACCATAGGCATAGCCATGGGGGGGGGGTGCAATTGGTGATCGCACCCCCCCTCCCATAACCAATAAAATATAACCATGAGAAGAAAAGAGCTTTGGAATGCTTTTTATTTGAAGCTTCTAGCTCAATTTATTATGAAGGAAGTTGCATAAATTTTTGAAAAGATACAGTAAATCTTAATTATTGGCTTTTTATGCCACAATCGCATCCCCTGACTGAAAATAGAATTTTTTGGCGATCGCACCCCCCCCCCCCCTGCACTGACTGAAAGCTGGCTACGCCCCTGTAGACATTTCCATTCTTAAACTTCATATCCTGCAAATTCCTATATATTAGGCAATAAAATAAAATAAAGTTATATCTGCATAATATCACATTGTGATCTAAATAGATAACTAGCTTGACTGACTGGTATTCATTTGCCTTCATCATGTTATTTGGCTTACAATAGCCAGGATTTTGTGACTGGGAGGGGGTGGTTCATTTTTTAAATTCATGCAAAAATACTTCCCCACCCTCCCCCACACTCAAATTACCTCATCTTACATTAAGTAATAAAGGTATCATAATTTGATCATTGTGGAATTTATTTTATGAAAGTTTAAGATGCGAAATTGGTCATTGGTCTTTAATTGGTCTTTAAAAAATAAAAGTATCTTGTATCATTATGATTATGAAATAAAATCACAACCATTTTTTAGGGATAAACATGAAGTCCCATGCGCAAAAGTATTCAAAACATTTTCAAAGTCGTGAATTACTTATAACACATATCTAGACTTAGATACCCTTTGAGACAGTAATCCATTTAGGCTCATTCTATTTTCAAGATGACATCTGAATTCAACTTAGTTTTGAAGTGTGAACTAGGCATGAAGTATTAACTACCCTAATAAATTAATAATCTCATGTTTATTTGGTTTTAACAATGGCCATTGTCTCTATCAAAAAATATAATTATACCAAATGAAATTTGGTACTCCATATTCCATATTTTAGAATATTTAACTTGAAACTGGAGTAAATATTATATCTGTCTCTGGGTAGTATAGTACAATAAGTACATGTATTGTATACTAGTAACATCTTATTTAGTCTTGAATACTTCAAAGAACACCAGATATTTGCCTTTAAAAATACATTGAATCAGACTGCAATCTGTCTATGAGTGGAGGACAGTGAATTCACTCTAGACTAAAACCAAGAAGACAAACCCATAACTTACATCTTATCTAAATAATCTGTCAACTTAAACACTAACGAGTTTTCCAGAGCTGATCAGATTTGATCAGAACTTTGCAGTTATCTGGAGGACTAAAGATTAATTTAAACCTTAGTCTCTGAGGTCACTCTATGAGGATCTGATTTCTGGAGATGTAGGTCCGAGCATGTTTTTTGTAATTGTTCATGTTTACATCATTAAAATACAAGGATTGGTTTCGTGGTACAAATGTACTTTTTAGAGGAAAACCTGATTTAGCACTATAGAAAAGTAAACCCTAAGTAATCCTGCTAAAGACTGCTAATATATATTGAACATCTTTCAGATCTTACCCATTGGTTTCTGAAAATTATATAAAGTTCTTAATGAACCCATTGTTACAGAACAGGTATTATAGCCAATATCAGTTTCAGCCTAGAAGAAAAATGCTATCACGGTCATGTTTAAAATGTAAAATACAGTGAAAATAGTAAAACTAGCAAAAAATAAAATACATAGACATGTAGTGGACACTCTAAGTTGTACAGGAATGCCAAAAAATCAGACACTTCATTCAAATTTTAGAGAGAAATTGAGTGAAATAAGCATGAGCAGACGGACATTTGTAATGCATGTAAGTGCATATGATGTCATGAGTCAGGCAGTACAAGCGACAGAATGTCTAATATGTAGACAGCTTATTTGAAATACATTATTTGCGCACTTTAATGAAAACAGATGAGCCTTATTCTTATTATTATGCCATTCAATATGAACCTGAGCAATTGTATAATGATTGAATATGAAATAATGTAATAACTGATTAGCTTTATACAAATTGATGTATATTTATAAAGAGATTATTGAATCATTTGTAGATGTGTTTTTCAATTATGATGACTGGAAAATGTATATACCATTATTACCATTGTCCATATCTTCTGTGCAATGTTCAGTTTTGATATGAAAATTCAATGAAAAAAAACAATTTCTCAAATCAAGGTTCTTAATTTTGTCATTTATATTTTCAGATCCTGACTTTGTGAGTTCATACGACTATGGAGAAAATGTCTACTTTTTCTTCAGAGAAACTGCAGTGGAGCACATTAACTGTGGAAAGGTATGTCTTCAACTAGGAATTCTGGGACTTGGTCATCCCTCGCAGCATTCAATGGGTTGCCAATTAAACAAATTCAAAATCAAGTATCGTTATTATTAAAAGTTGTCATGCAACCAAACATTAATTAATTCTCTGAAGATGATGCTAAGAAACTAATCAGAATCACATAGCAACTGATTCCTTGAGATCTTAAGGTGGAGAGTCGCATTTGATCTCACAGTGTTTATCAAGCAGAGGCTAAAATATATAATTACTTTTGGCACCGCTGCAATTTGTAACACTTAACAGTAATGGAACGTATATTAGCTGCGACGCTTGAATTATGTCGTCATTGGTTCTTTATTGGATGATGTTTTAACACGCAATCTTCCTATTGTCTCTTATGGAAGAGAAATGTTCCTGTGCGTAACTCTTCTCTGCAGTTCTACCTATCATCATGTTCCATGCTATTTCATTTTGTAAGAACAATATCAATATGTAATTGTGTAACCAACCATGTTCAATGTATATTCTCGCAAGATATTTGTTCGAGAGATCTAAGTGGGTCTTTTGGGCACTGAGAAGGCACTAATAAGTACTCATGGTACTGCTGAATTGCCAATAATAGATTGGTACTATTTTGTCTTCTGTATGATCGCAATTTAGTTCTTTGAATTCTCTGTCTACAAAACAGGCATTTCATTACTCTGCAGTATATATATGTCACCCCAGGCAAACCAGGCACATTCTTCCTTGTGCAATTAAGATAACAATACACTTGGCACTATTGCATAAAACAATTGATGAAGCTTTAATCAAAGTTGAAACAACGGTCATGGAATTTATCCTTACCTAACAGAAATATTTGATTTGGCCTGCTTGATTGTTTGCTTGCTGGTGTTTAAGTAATTACCAGTATTTCAACAAGGTATATCCAGTAGACTACTGAAGGAGAATTTTTATAGTTATGAATATATTTTGGAGTACAATAACTATAAAATTGTACAATTTTGGAATCAGTTTGGCTCTGATCAATTTTTGTCTTGTCTGACCTTATCCCTATGCCCAATACTTTAACTTGGAATGGTACGAGACTTAACCACAGCTGGTTACCATGACTTTCTATCTATAATTGAAACGGAATAATTTGTGTAATGATATAGAGTCCCAATAGGAAACTTACTAAAATATCAAATATTTGAACTTTACGATTCTCAATTTGGGAATATCCCAAGAGAGATCAATGATAGATTCTATATTAGATATTGAGATATAACGGTAATGGGTATTATTGCATTATAGTAACTCATATAGACATTATCAAACAAGCTTAAAGTTAAATAATAAACTGCCTTATGTGTCTATGTGGATTTTTGGCATTCATTCTGTTAATGTTATCGGAATATGTGAGTATCACCTTTGTGGATTATTAACTGAGACAGGATTATATGCAGGTTTGACTGGAACGCTTGCCAAAAATGTCATCATTTGTTAGCACGTATGAATCTAGCGTGATCTCCATCTGAAAGACCTTATTCCTCTCTAATTCTCTCTAAAATATCATGAAACAGCAACATTGTTTGAGAGTCTACAATTTAGAGTATTAATTTCATGCTTGTTTATGTCATTACTTGCTGATTTCACTTGTCATTTTATGGTGGATTTAAAACCTGACCATTGTTACTTCAGGAAAGGAATTAAGGAAATGTTGTCAAATGTTGAATGTCATATAAAAGTCAACCCATATCTTTTACAACATGCGATGGAACATGTGATTGTGTAAGTGTTTTGTAACACAAGGAAATGTCATTGCTATCGGGGAAAGATCTACTAAGTTCCAAGAATCACTTTAATATCGTGTCAAGTAATGTCAGAGTGACCATCTTTGTTTTGTTATAAAATTGAAATTATCTATCTTCATCAGTAGCTTTTTGTGTTGAGGCCTTTCAGAGATCAGTTTTCTTTGTCCATCGTTAACCATCTTGAAAATCCCTTGATCATCGGCTCAAGCAACAAAATATGTCCATCAATTACTCCCCAACAATCCCACTGGCCTTCAAATACAGCGCATATAAGCATTGCATGCTGGGCTATATTTCTGTATTTAAAAGTATGCTACATGGATCATAATTGAATTTCTCGTATCTTTCTCGTATAATAGAATTACAGGGTTTACCATTGAGAATTCCTTCTTCGCTTAATATTCTCCCAAATAGAATTATAGATTTACGTAACCAAATACAGTGCTACAATTAGTTAAATGAACTCCTATTTTTAGCTAAGATTGACTTTATGTTTTTGGCGATTCATTATTGATTGGTTTCCTTTTAACTAGTTTTTCACACTTCATTTTGGTAGGATATTGGCAAATGTATGTTGTTACAATATTAAATTGACCCTGGATTTTTCTCACTTTCGCAGATTGGAAATTTTCCAGAACGTTGGATGACACGATATATGTAATAATCTTTAGATGAAGACTTTGATAATCATTTGTATCTTAGATGAATTCAGTGTAATGAATCAATACGAAGATCAAACCATCTGCAGACGACAGGAGCGTTCACTTACTTAACAATGTAATGTTGAAACAGGATCTTGAATCTTTTGATCATCCTTTAATAGGAAACCTTTACAAAGATGTTTTAGTAGAAAAACACATGTATGACAAGGAAAAAAACATATTTTTATGTTCAGAATTTATTACAGCTTTAATACTGTCGTGTATATGTTCTGTACCATACTTTACCAATAATATCTTCAAACTATACCTCTCTCAAAAACCATGCCATGTTATTCTAGCTTCTTTAAATCAATGTCACATTTTAATTTTTACATTTCTTTTTTTTGTCGTTTAACAATGTATTATCTCATTAATGTTTGTCATTTTTGCATTTCAGGCACGCTATTCCCGTGTTGCACGTGTGTGTAAGAATGACAGAGGTGGCGGTTCATTTCTGCGTCCTGACTCATTTACATCATTCTTCAAAACGAGGCTGAACTGTTCCATTCCGGGAGAATTCCCATTCTTCTTTGATGAAATTCGTAAGATTATTTTCTATATTTAAATGAGATTCCTTATTGCATTAACGTTTTGATATAAGATAATTACGATACATTAGTTTCAAAACACAGATAGAGATATCATTTTTACAATGTACCCGTTTCAAAATTGAAATGGTGGGTCATTAACAAATACACAGAGAAATAATAGAGAAGAACATTATATACTGTAGTCAAATGTCTATTGATTTCCAAACAATAATCTCATCTTCATTTTGCAGAATCCACATCAGAGCCTGGTCTAGGAGGCTACAAAGCATCACTGAACTACAATGAGCGTACAGACATGATATACGCTGTGTTCAGTACCCCACAAAACAGCATTACGGGCTCTGCAGTCTGCGCATTTAAGTTTTCTGATATTATTGACTCGTTCAATGGGCAATTTAAGGAACAAGCTAGTCCTATGTCCAACTGGCTACCTGTGGATTTAGCTGACACCCCAAGTCCACATCCTGCTAAGGTAAATCATTATACAATGTCAGGAATTGGGCATCCCAGAGAGTTAGCATTTCTATTAGTATTATAAGCTAGTATACATATAAGAGAGTGTCTGTATTTGTCTTAGAAATAGAAAATGATTACTTAATATTATTTTACTTCACTGTTTTTTTGTAAAACATTTGGTATCAATTACTGGATACAATTAAATTTTTGCACCTGTCTGTGATATATTTTGCAGTGTGTGAATGACTCCAAGCTGATATCAGACAGAACACTGAATTTCATCCGTCGTCATACCTTGATGGACAAGGCAGTACCAGCATATGGTGGAGGACCCCTTCTACTACAAACAAGTTTTGTGTAAGTCAATTTAAATGTGATATGAAATATAAAAACGCATTAGGGTATTATACAACAAACAATTTTTGAACAAAAAGTAATTTCGATTTTAAATAAATTGAAATAATTGGATAAAGTAATGGATTGAAGATGATGAAAGTATTTTCTAGTCTCGTTATATTTCGATCAATCAAAGAGTTTTTTATTGCATATAAATGATTCATGGATATACCTAGCCTTGGGTATCGTTTGATTGATTACCTTACAATAGTATATCCTGACCCAGGACATGATACCATATAGGTGTCACCCTATGACACATCATGACGTAAAACTTGCAATTTAATATTGTAACAATCTTGTGTACTATTTAACCTTCACCTTGGGGGGAATTAATCGAATCAACATAGACCACATCCTTCACCTTTAAGTCATTTGAATTCTAAATTCTAATCATGTGGTTTTGGTACAGAAGAACTATGAAATTGAAGCTCTCAAATTTACTTAAAGCGAAGATATTACTGTACTTATCTTGTTTAAGATACAATCAGAAATTTCTCTTGATTTATCATTGTTAGCTCAAGAAATGTTCTTCATAACTACAGTCCGATGCACATCCTTAGTAAAATAGTAAATATCCTAGATTTTGACTTGTGTAAATGATGGGCCAGCTTCAGCCTTTTCTTGTTACCTTGCATAAGACTGTATTATGAACATAGTGGACTTGGTAGCTTTCATTTGTAGAAACTCTACCCAACTTTAATGTAGCAAGCTCTAGTTTTAATTTGTTCCACCTTAATGAGGTTTCCACCTTACAGGTAAAATTACCTGAGGGCTAATTAGTAACTAACGAAGTGCATCATTAGAAAGTCAATTACACAATTTCTCTATTAAGATGCTTTAACAATAGTCAGGCAATCGTCTAATGGAGAGGAATAGACATCCGGGCCCTGTAATTTAAATAATTAGAATTGAAGAGATCCTGACACTGTGCCTCAAACTCAAGAGATCCGGGATGTGTTTTGCGAGTAACCCTTTTAAGACAGATTTGAACACAATTGTTGAAATATTGTTTATTTTGGAATTTAATATTTTTTATTTATCTTCTTTAAATGCAATCAGGTGTGGACACAGGTAAGCCCTATAAAATGTATAAAGTATTCATATTTTTTTGTTGTTGTTTGTTATTTGATATATATGTAATGCTTTAATATTTGTTGTAAAATTGCTTGCTTATGTACGTGACCCTTGAGGTCAATTACACCTGATTCTTGTGCTAAAGGTCATACAAATAAAATCTGAAATATTTAAATATGATGGCAGAAATCCAAAGTGTGTTAAATCAAATGCAAAGGACAAGTAGAGAAGTACACAAAGTTGTTTTTGTTTTCTTTTTACTAGTTTTTGGCAGAAAAAGTTGTTTTTGATTTCAGAAATTTTCTTTATTTCATATATGAGGTATACTCTAATGTGATCTTCACATAATCCGTGGTGGAAGGCATGTTTTGTTCATTGATAAAAGACCTCATTTAATAAATGTCCCCTCCTTGATTTGATGAGTCAAATTTGAATTTAATATTTAAAATATTTATCCTTATCAATGAATTGTGTACCACCTACTTAATATAAGTCAAAAGGAACTAAATTGTCTCATTTTATCTCGATTTTATAAAAAGTATAAATCATTGACTATTTTAGGGACACTGTAATATCCTTTACACAGCTGTATAATGTATATTGTATTATATTACATGTATCACTTAACTCAGGAATTCACACTTTGAAATCAAATACTCAAACTTATAATGTCTTCATTAATTTTACTCATAAGGACACACATTCTAATAGCTACTCAGATTCTTTCCTTCAAAAGGATTTTGACATTTTTGGCAGAAACCCCAAAATGATTACTACTATATTTTGTATATTATCATAATTTCCTGCTGGGTTGATGTGTCAAAATGGCCTGCATAGGGTCTCATAATTTATATTTATTAACAAATTATTTTATTATACAAATACCTTAAACATGTAGACACTTGATTATTATTACATAATGCAGCATATTTGGCTAAAATGTCACAATTATATGTTGTTCACTTTAGTCAGGAAGATAATATTGCTCAGAATTATAATGGTGATTTTGAGTTGTCATGACACAAATGTGTCATATTATTACATGTCCAGTTGAAATATGATTTCCTATCCCCAGGCTCATGTATCACATCACAGGTTCTCTGCCAACTCTAAGTGCAAACTTGGAATTATATGCCCTCATAATTAATCATATCAAAAATGCTTTTAATGTTTAAATACTAGTGGATATGTTTTGTTATGGATCAAAGAAACTATAAAATATGCACATATAAAGCTCGTAATATGTGTTGATACACATCATACTTTCTTTCAAATTAAAATACCTGTCACGTTTTAGTTGTACAATTTATAGTCATTGTGATGAATGTATATTGCAAGATATTTACACTTTTTTGTCGTCATGTCAACGGTATATTTGTGCCAATTCTTTACTATTTGTTGATGAAGATGTTTAGGGGATGAAATTGATTATTAATAATACTTGATTAAAAAATGTTTTCTGCTACTCTAAATAACTGTCTCCATCTATATCAAGTTGTCAACCCTAGGAAAAGAGATGATATCACATATCTTAATACTTTTATTCTGTACCTTCAGATCACGGTTTACCCAGATAGCCATAGACTGGCAGGTTCCTGCAGCCAGCGAAGACAACTTGAATAAAGTGAAATATTACGATGTCATGTTTGTTGGCACAGGTAAATACAGGATTTATTTTTTCGATCAAATGAATAACAGATAAATGAAAAATTATCATATTATAGCAGGTTACTCAATTTGAAAAATTCCATCATAAATATCTCTTTTTCTACCAAAAGCACTTGTTCTTATTGTATTGCCTTACATCTAATTATTCAACATTTTATTATTGTTTTGGCTTTTAATAACCTGTTACCCATTTCCAGATGATGGGAAAGTCCTCAAAGTGATCAATGTTGGGGACAAAGAGATCAAGCCTGTTATAATAGAAGAGATTCAAGTATTTGATTCCAAAACTACAATTGTCAATCTGAAAGTTTACCGCAAGCCAAGTGAGGGAATCGAAAAACTGGTAATTGTGGCGGAAGATGAGATTAAGACAATTCCTCTACATAGGTGTCACCTCAGGAAGACCTGCGGGTATGTAAATATACTCATCTAATAAATACTACTCTTAGGATTAGGACAATTGAATTTTTAAATTATTTATTGTATGATTTATACTTTGAGTGAGAATTAACTTTTTTAAGACCCTCCATTAAAATATCTCAATGTTTGCTTCTACCTGGTTTATACATCTCTATAAATCAGTCTCAAAACTCACACTATCATACCTAACACCTAGAAATGCATAAGATACTTTGTTTGTCTAATTGAATTGTTTAGTATATTTTTGAAAGTACCTTATCAACATCTAACTTTCAACCGATAAACCATTAATAAGGAACAGACACATAAAAACAAATATATAATCATTACTAATAAGCCAAATGGGTTGCTCATGAAAGCCAAATGTAAGGTATAGTAGTGTGAAACTTATTAAACATCATGAAAATATTTTACTTTTCAGAGAATGTGTAGCGCTTAGAGACCCTTATTGTTCATGGACTGAGAATAGATGTGAGAACTCAATGGAACACGCTCAGAATGTTGTGACAGGAAAACATCCCGCATGTGGAACTTCAGAGCCACCGATAGTTGTTGAAGGTAACTAAAAGGATATTAACAAAAAATCATTTTATATTTTTTCTCCATTGATATCATGTTTCTATATGAAGAAACATGATGTCAAATGAAATAAAAAACAATTAGGTTTTCTCGTTTTATATGGATAAGGTAGGCTGCTTGGTGTATGGGTGTGTTGACAACATTGTGAATGTGGCTTTTGATTATAAGATTCGTTCATTTCATGGATGTTTTGAATTTTTGGGCTTAATGTTCTGAGGTATCTGGAGTGAATTTAGGGCATGTCTTTCTGAAGAATTCAATGTTTTTCTTCTGTATGCGTGTCTTTCTAAGATATGTGTAGAGCACTGTCATGGTAACTGCATCACATGGTTGTTTTCATGAGAATGCTTATGGGTAGCATGTTTACTTCGAATCACACACATCCTGTGGCATCAGGGGTGCCCATTCAATGTCCAGTAAAGAATATTTTTTCCAGGTTATGTCTTCCCGAGGGCATTATTTTATCATTGAATCTGTGAGAGGATCATTCAGTTATATATTACAAATGTCTAATGAAATAATTTATTTTCTAGTTCCTCCAACAACAGAAAGCTCAGTGAAGCCCTGTCCGGAGTGTGTGCAATGTATATGCCCCGTACCTCCGGGCGAAACCAAGACTGTTCCACCAGTCAAACCAACTGGTTAGTTTCCACCATTTTGTGTTGTCATGGTAGCGTAGGTGGCGGACCAATCAGCTATTTTCTTATATTCAGTTCTTGATCACATGTACAGCTTAAGTGTGTCAACTATGGATTTATATGACCACTGGGCTGTATTTGTTGATCCCTTTTCTATCTTGGTTGGTGTCTTTTACTTTGGAATCTTTCTTTTACTAAAAATTTCTTGTTTCCTTAATTATGTTTATTTTCATACAAGTTATGTTTACTCTTTAAACAATTTGTTCTTTGTTTGTGAAAATTTTGTTTTGTGAGTTTGTCTCCCAAGTTTGTTGGATCTGATGTGGACTTGTATGAAAATGTGTGCATTTCTTACTAATTTTCTTTAATCCCAGCTGCTGGAGTGTCATGTGACCTGAATTGGCCAATTAGGAATGGCTTCACTGTATGGATGTGCAGTGAATCATGGGCTTGACATTACTAACTTTATCTTGAAAACTTCTCTGACTCTAACTGATTTTGGTTTGTAGGGTTTTTACTTTAGGGGTTACTCCTTGTAGTGGAATGTCTAAATGGCTGATGTTAGCTACTGATTTGAATGTTTTAACAGAATCACACCAATTTCATGTTTTCATTTTATTTTCTCAAAAATCCCTACATTTATTTTTCTATGGAGTATCCATCATAAATGAAAACATGAAATATTTGTAATTTTGAAAGAAGTAGATCTGTAACTTAGTAAAAATACATGGTGTTCAACTATAGTTGAGTAGGATATATCAGTAAATGATTGTAATGCTATTATTTTTGAGCACCCTGTAGATTGTGTTGTATTCTAACAAAGTAGTGCTGATTGAACTTCTTAAAAGACAAAAGAAGCGCTTTTACTTCTGTATGAATAATGTAATATTCGAGGACTGTTCAATAATATTAATGCAATAAATAAGATGGATATTTGTTGAACAGTCCCCTCCTGCATATAATAGTTGTAGAAATTATGATTTATGCATTATAGAAATTATTATATTAACATTAGAGCTTTGAATTAATTAAAAATATGTATAATTCAAATCAATTTCTTGCTTTGTTATGCTTCAGTTAATAATAATGAATTTTTCTTGATTAATTGCTTTTTAATAAATATCACATACTTAGATTTGATTTTAGGAAATGGAGCACTTAGAATTATTGGTGTGTTCATTTTAATTCATCATTCTAATTTATGTTAATTTATGTTAATTTATGCTCACGTAATCATTCATTCATGCTAATTTCTCTTCTTTAGAAGACAACATCCTCCCCACCCATATTCCCCGACAACCCGCTAATGTGGACCCCACCATACCAAACCATATTGATGCCGTGCCTCCTGTTGGTGGTAAGACTTGTTACTAGTGTCATACACAATGGCTAATATCTTATTGGTGAAGATCGACTTTGAAAAATATCAAAGGATTCAAATATTTTCGCAGTTTAAGAAAATCAGTCGTATTTCATTGAAGAAAGTTGATCCCCGTATATTTTGTCAAATTTCGTTCTTCAAATATTGAGTAGTTTTGTGTTTGTATTGAAATATTTTTGAAATGCATTTTTTTAACTTGCACATTTAGAACATTGCACCATTAGTCTCTTATTAGTTCATCTATCTACACTGGATTTTGAATTTTTCTTTCACACATAGAAAACATCATTTTGTTTGTTTACATATTCATCTAGTTAATTTTTGCTAAAAAGTTTTTTTTATTATTATTTTATAATTGTGTCTTCTTGAATAAAATCACTTTGTTTTCAATGGCACAAAGCTTTTATTTCTTATTTTTATTTCTTATTCTTATATTCATATATTCATATATCATAACATCCTTTTAGAACTAACACACACAATACTCTGTTATTAACACTTCATAGTTTACTTTTGGTTATATCCTTCTATAAAGCTTCCGTTGCTATGGTAACACTGGCTACTTTCGGTACTTATTGTCTTCACAGATGCTATGCCACATTTCAATTTTTAATTGTTATCAATATTTAAGTTGCTATGGATACCAAAGTCAATTGCTATGGTAACCATAATCAATTCCTATGTTATAATATCAATTGCTTCATATACCAATTCAGTTGCTATGGTTACCAGTACAATTAAGTTGTGATGTCATAGAATGTTACTATAGTAGTGAAGAAGCTACAAGGAGTTCTATTCGGTGTTAGTATAGCCATTGTGATTTTTACCAGTTAATTTTCCAAATAAAAACACTTCAAAAGGAGTGTAACACGTTGTTACTTTTTGTGAATATTGACTGGTACATTTCTCACCTGTAACAATCTTTCCTGTGTATATAACCCTAAAACCCCCTATACCCCTCTATACAATGTACATTGAACCAAAATGCATACTCTTATTTTTCTCAAGCTTTCATTGAACTTCTCGGGACATATTTTTGATAAAGAATAACTACTATCATAACTTTTAGTATCAAGTGAAACATTTGTGTGGATGGATATAAAATACATTGATACATTCAGATGTATTCATGAACATGAGAAATCCATGATATGCTTGAGAAAATATTTTTACTCTACTGGGATTGCCCCAAAACAATTTGGGGCTATTACCAGAAGCTTACGCATTTAAGACTTTTTTGTAACCATGGAAACCATGATGCCATACTTTCATCAAATTCTTGATTCTATTAAAGCTTCTAGTAATGACCTCCTAAAATGTTAACCCATTTGGTTCTAGGTAGACAACCCAGTAGTGTGAGGGTTAATGTTGCACTACGAAATGTATATATACTGTTCATACCCCATTCATTCATTCTTTACTTTAATGTTTTATGCTGCTTTTAAAACTTTTATGGATGCTTCTCAAAATATTGTAAATATTGTAAATTAGTCAAAACTTTAAAATCAAACTGTACTTCGTGTCAATATTTTGAGAACTATTTTTGCTTGAATAACATTAAATGCTTAAATGAATGCTTTAATCATTTTCTTTTTTGTGATGGTAATGTATACTGTCATTGTCATGGATACATTATGGCCTATCTCAATCTATCTGCTTGTTCTACGCCCTGACAACACAAGGAAACAACCGCATGTTGCCATGGAGATGTATTTATTTATTTACTACTATGGTATTGCTGTCATGGAGATGTATTTAATAACTACTATAATTATTGTTTGTTTTATTTGAATGCCAAACTGTATTATTTGTTATTACCAAAAGACAATTAACATGAAGTAGAAAGAATTAAAAACCACAAAATTTGAATCTTAAAATTATTTGGAAATGACATCAAATCATTAGGAATGGGTTGAATGAGAAAGCCAAGTGCTAAGAGTTTTAATCGTGATTTATATGTTTAGTTATTGTATGAACAATGCATGGTGTATTTTCATTTGGTGTTTGGTATACTTCAATTGCACTATAGTTATGTAATGTTTCTTTAACATGCACTTCAATACATGTAATATTATCATTTATCCCAATATTCAAGGCATTAACATTTTTTTCTTAAAATACTTTTTTCTGTCATTTGAATATCTAATGCAACTTTTTTGCAATATTATAGATCTAAAGGCATTACTTTTTTCTTTTTTATTCTATATTTGATTATTCACCTCCATACCTATATTTACATCTTTATCCAGTTAATCCTTTTCTTTATTTAATCATTCACCCCTCTATATTTTCAGGGCCTTTAACTGGAGCATCTCAATCGGCACCATGCAGCAAACAATATTCAGTAGCAGAAATGGCGGCAGCGACAGTCGTCTGCATAGTACTCTCCATTGTGATTGGCTTCTTCATAGGCTATCGTGCATCTTTATGGCGGAATAAACGGTCGAACGATCCTCCTACATATGCGATGGACAAGTGTCTAGGGACCCCAAAAATGCAAAATCGTTACAATACAGACCCCCAATTAAATAGTGAAACCCAACATTATTTTTCTCCAGAAGTCCAAAAACAGTTAAACGTTGTGTTGAATTTAACGCCAAAAACTCAAAATTTACCGAATGGTGGCGTGGAATCAAAAGTCCATAAAGTGAAAAAAGTTTATTTATAGTGAATGTTTTAATTGTAAATAGTTTTAACAGTGTACATAGTGTAAATATGTACATATTTGATCTCAATGCCGTAATGATATTCGAAGCATTTTAGCCTATCGTGGGAGTGAAGCCGTCTCAGTTTGCATAAAAATCAAAACAGTACATCAGCAAAATTACAAGGGAAGATCCAGTTGGAGAAATCATATTGAAATCAAGTACATTTTAGAATAATACTCTCATTTGTGAAGCTGTGCAAATCAAAGGATGAACAATGGAGAGTTTTGTGAACAAATGAGATGAACAAAGGAGATTTGTAAACAAAGGAGATTTGCAAACAAAGGAGATTTGTAAACAAAGGAGATTTGCAAACAAAGGAGATTTGTAAACAAAGGATAATGTGCAATTTGAGAGTACGACCAAAGTGTTCAAGACCCTTTGAAAGTGCTTTTCTGCTTTACTTATTTTTTTAGTTTTGCGTGATTGTCTCATAGATTTATATCATAATTTTGTGCTTTAAAGCACATAAAATATAAACAGATTATTGCCAAACAGCACCATAAATGGGTATTTCAAATCAACCTCATTTTTCGAGCAAACTGTTACAAAATGTAAAATTTGCCTTGCATTCATTTGTGGGAGTTTGAAGTACATGTTAAGTTGTAATGAAAATTAGTTTTAAGTATGTGTTGGATCGATGAAACGGCCATGTGTAGTCATATTAACTGCTGAGTTTGTGAAACATAGTACATAAGTGCCCAGAACATTATACAGATCAAAGATACCTTTAGTTGAGCAGTCAACTTTGAGGAGACCTTCATGTCCTTAAAAGCCAAGATTTGATAGAATGGAGACAAAATGACTGATAATCTGATCATATCAGACTGTAGTATTAATGCCAATAAGAATACGGACAGGAAGTTCTCTCTTTCACATCAAATCATACAGGAGTGCAAAATTCACCAAATATTTCAGTCTTAAGACAGACAGCTATTCCATAGTCTCAATTTACTCAACATTTTTATCACCTTCTAGTGCAGGGTGCATATTTTAGGCCAAATTGTCATTTTAAACAGCAGATCAGTTGTCATGGTGATCTTCCCAGTATGGAGACAAATGGCTGCACCCTCTTATGATTACGAAAATCACATTTTCATCAACTTGAGAAGGAATCCTGGGGAGAACACTGTCTGAACCCTCGTAAGATTCACTGCTTGTACACTGCCAATAAGCTGGTACTCTGCTTTTTAAACAAATCATTGATTGGGATGTGAAGATTATTTAGTACTTCTGTGATAAATTGTTTAGGAGCTGAGGTTATATGAAAGATTAAGACAAAATATATCTTATGGTTCTTAAACATGGTTTTATACCCTCCCTCCCAACTAAAGTTACCAGCCTATTTTGAGTGTCACGGCGCACCCTGTAATAGTTCATAATTGTGAAAACATTCCAGAATGAAACGAAATATGTTTTTGATCAGAATTTTGAACAATTTTGTATCTGTAGGGGCTATCTGAGATGTAAATATTGAATATGTGCACAAATATTGAATATTTGTTGTGCCACGTGTGTTCATTACTGACTCGTATGTTCCTGTATGTACACATGTATAACATGTTATATTTCACAACTGAAGATTAGCGTGTTAATTTATTGGTGCTAGTAGAGTTATGTTCAGTGTCAGGGCTTTAACATTGAGCTGTATGTTAATGCCAGGGCATTATTATTGTGGTTTAATTAATATTCAGCGCAAATGCAAGGGCATTAATGTTTACTGTCAGTGTCAGGGCATTAATATTAAGTTAAAACTTAAAGCTGATGTGATTAAAGTGTATAAAAATATTTGTGTATATTCTGTTTGTCTTTCAGCAAACATAGCATTCAAAAATTAATTATATTTGATTGTTATGTGTTCTTTTCAATATTTAGAATGTAATTTTGTAGTTTTAAAAATTGTAAAAACACCTTGTCCAAACTGTACATGTGTTTACATCAAAAATCATTTTATACAAGGAATAATTATTCAGAAAATAAGAACATTTTGTCAGAACTTTTTACAAAGAGAAACAAATCAAGTATGAAATTGTTTATATAAACCAAAATGATTTTTAACGCAAAAACGCAAAAAGATAATTTTTGCTATGTATAAATGTAAATAGAAGAATATATTGATATAGATAAACAGCTTTAGGGCCACATACAATACACCACTTGTCAGAACATGTATACTTCTTACTTATACAGATTATATATTTTTATACTATTGTATCCATGTTTTATATATACATCATAATAAATATCATTATCATTTTAGTTATACATCAAAATCATATCATGATAATTTCCTTTAATTTTAGTAGCATAATCATATCGCTAGAACACAAAACGTCACAAAATGACTAAACAAAATCAAATGATTAATTTTATAATGGAATCTAACAATCCTCGTTTTTGACTCCCTTGAAAATATGACATCAAGGCAAAGAAGGTAGTTGTAGAAACTTTTCTTTTAACACAATTACCTATTTTTCCAAATTTTACTTCTTGTCTCTAATTACATTGTAGCGATGCATCATAGATGTTTATATTATATTTTTTGAACATGAATTAAGGATACAGACCTGTTGTAGCTTTAAGCAGTTTTAGATGTGAATTCAATAATGACACAGTCTGCATCTTTAGTTTTTGTTTCCATATGTGCACCAGTTAAGGTACACCCTGTGCAACAAACTTTGGACATAAAGGATATTTACAAAATTTACTTTTTTGTTCAGTTTGGAATACCTTAATTCTTCATATTTCCTTAGATATTCATGTTGTATAATTTTTATTTTAGTTATTGAGCTATTCATTACACTAACAGTGTATTATATTGTACATTTTATATATTTTACGATTGTACAGGGGGTGTATTGTATGGCTGTTGAATCTGTACACATAAGCTATTACATAAAATGTACTCCCTCCCTGAAATAATGTGGATGTCGTGCATATTAGTATTGGAGTAAGCCTGGAAATGAGAAAACTTGATTTTTCTGAAAGTTCAACCTGAATGGTTTAGGATTAAAAGGAAATGAACTTAATTATATCATTTTATGTGGCGTGTTTCTGATTCTTTCTTTTTCCTCAATTTTAGCTTACCTCAATATAGATATAGCACAACGAGTTATTTTCGGGATGGTTCATGCTCTGATACATCGGGGAATGGCACAACATTTTCATCAGCATGTCTCAAAGTTTTAAATGATTTACAACGAACTTAGGCACTTTTGAACTAAATGTGTAACAATTAAAGTTAGCTTTTAAGTTAAGCATTCATTTGCGAAGTAATTTACTCATTATTTTAGAAACATTGTTTTTATGGCGATACTCTTTAAATTGTTAATTATTTTAACTTTAAAAGAACAATGATTGTAGTTGAATTAATCTTTTGCTGAAATGTTTGATCCTTTCAGTTAAATATTTTCAGCTTGAAAAATAAGTAAGTTAATAAACTCATATTTCATATCTCATTTGTAGATATTCATGTCACTGCATATGTCATATCAACATTTGATATTATCATATGTCACAAATATATAATAAACATAAAAGTAAAAAATAAACAAGCATTTTTGTTGATTTATCTTATTTAAATACATTGTACAGAAGCATGCGTGTGGTTAGCAATGAATCAGGGAAGGCTACGTTCCCTCTCCAAAACTTTATAATTAACATGTTTCGTTTTGACTTAAAACTGTGTAAATTATTCCACATAGTCTGATTACATCCTCTGGGTTTTGTCTCATCTATTTGAATTTCCCTCACCTATTTGAGTTTGCCTCACCTATTTGAATTTTCCTCACCTATTTGAGTTTGCCTCAACTAATTGAATTTGCCTCTCCTTTTTGAGTCTGCCTCACCTATTTGAGTTTGCTTCAACTATTTGAATTTGCCTCACCTATTTGAATTTGCCTTGCCAATATTTGAGTCCTGGCTGCATCCCGTGCACTGAGAATATGTCATTATTTTATATTTGCTCAAACATCATGTCATGTTTACATACATTCATTTAAATGAAGCTCCTCCTGACATAATGTTTATTTTACTACAAGGTGTCCAGGGATTACTTAGAGACAGAGTGTCTTAACTACAGAGTATCTCCAATGTACTGCAATAAACTATTTTTTCCTTCATCTTCTGTCAGATAAAAATGGCCACCCTGTATGAGTTTTGTACTTGTCTCTCCAGTTGTCAAATCAGACCATTCTGAAAAATACATGCATGTATGTGATAATTTCTTTGAGAGGAAAGTGCGATGTAGACACCCATCAAAAACTGCAATTAAACTTAACTTTTATTGGCAATGTACTGTCAGATTTGTTCATGTCTTTGCCCATGCAAGTCCTATTTGAAGTTTTGATTTCAAAAAATATTTGATAACAAGTCCTTAAGTATTATGCTTAGGAGAACCAAGCTCTCTATTTAATGGGAACATCCAGTCGCCTTTATGAACGAGGATGGGTCATATACCTATAGGCTATTAATAAATACCTTTTTTGTTACCTGTATAACCCACAATTTCTGATGAGATTATGTTAGCCAAGATTCTGTAACAGATCTCATATAAATACACAAATACCCACCTGAATGATCATAATTGTCACTTGTGCCATCTATAGCATAGATGGGGCATGGTAAACGTTTAGATGCCCCTACATCAGGTCTGTAATAATTGAAACGTATATTGTTTAAAACACATTTCATAATTATTGATTGACTGCTTACAAATACAATGCCATTAGTTTTCATATATTTATGTATCAAAAACGGTTATGTCAGCTACATGGTGTCCACAAAAGTTCATTAACTGTAGAAATTATTATTCCGACCCATCATTAAAGAATGGACTGCAAATTATACTGAGGTTGCAGTATTTTACCAATAAAAGCTTACTCATATGTTTCATAGCATTTGGAGTCTGCTCTGAATGTTGGTAAGAAGACCTCCATGAGATCTCTATTGTCTAAGACTTCACTTGGTGTTCCACCTACAATGTAACAGTAAGACATCAATGAACGCATCTCATGTAATGCCAAGTTTCTAAAAAGCATCTAAAATTGCATATGATCCAAATGAATTCACCTTTTCCAGGGTTTGGAAATCTCAGATTATAAATTCCAGTTTAGATAAAAATGCTTAAAAACGTGTATCTTAACCTCACTTGATTAAAATGTTTCGTCTATTATACTTGCCTAGTCTTCGGAGGAACTCAATAAACTGATCATCATCCATATTTTCTGTAGATTCTACATTTGAGCGATATTTCTCAGACTGAAATAAATAATGACCTTTAAACATCCCGAAGAGATATGCAATTCTAACTCACACACAGGTGAGAATAATTGTCATTAGTAATAATTTTCCTCAAAAATTCTGTTCAGTGTAAAAGTAAGTATGGCCCCGGGAGAATGTGAGTCCGTTGGTCTTAGTCATACCATAATTCAAGCATATTGTTCGACCAAAATCCCAAGAAAAAACGGTCCTAAGATATTTTAAAGAAGTTGTGACTATTTTCCCGAGTAATAATGATCCAGGAAAAACAACCCTAGTTCGATAGGACCAGAAATACCCTTACACTGGCATTTGGTTGGTACCACTATAATGTTAACACTTCGACTAGACAATCTGTTTGTGATCCTAGTGATTTAAATCTCTAGAACAGAAAATGGCCCTTAATTAGTATTACAAAATCGGCCATGGAGTTAAATCCAAATATGATAAGTCTAGAAGTAGGGTGACTTACGTGAGGTGAGAACTGTCCAGACACAAACAGTTTGGTTGGCGGTAATTCATGCGCGCCCTGTAGTACTCTAGCTGTTTCGAACGCCATCCACGCACCCATACTTTTCAAATACAAAAGTAAATGATCCTTTTATTGACATGGAAATATAATTTGGGTCAAATAAAGATGAATTAACAATAGTTGGTCGGAACAGTTGAAGCCTATATGGAAGTATATTTAATACCAGGAAAAGATACACCATTGTCTAAAACCGACAAGTTATCAGGCAGGTTTATTTTTAAAACTAAGTATATAAAACTAAGTTTTGAAGTAAAAAGTTAGTTCAAGGATGGAAAAAAGTAGTACTCTGACTAAAAAATCAAATGTACTATGAGTAATCCCTATTTGATAGCGAGTACAACTCACAAAATGTTGATATCTCAATTTTTAAAATTTTACAATTCTAAAATGAATATGTTAAAACCATCAACTATACACAGGCTTTAACATGTTGACCAAAAGAGAACCCCTGATTGCCAAACCTTTGGAGGGGAGTGTAGCGTCTGGCATGCACTTAGTCTAGCTACAAGCCTCAATGAGCCCCTCCCTTACTTAACTAAACACCTCACACTTGTGTGCAAGGTCTAGCTAGACTAGCATGCACTCACCAATGACCAAATAAGGCGAATGGTTTGTCTGAAAAGTTGTCCTTGATGCACTTTGCTGTTTCTGCTGCAATCTTCTCTGCGGACGTGAACGCTGGTTCCATAAACCTACTCTCCCTCCCAGGTGTTATAACTCCATATACTGGAAAATTAAAAACGTATTCATCTCTCAAAATCCAAAGATCCATACATAATTTACAATTGTAAGTACCTAAGTGTGATCGACCAAATTGGTGCCATTTCAGCTGGGATACAAACGAAATTGTTCACCTCTCTAGCTGTAAACAGGCAAATATTCATTCTACAGTAAGTCTTCCAACAATTCAAGACCAATTATCCACCTACCTTCGACACTGTCCGTCATATTGGCGCCCCACCCTGCATAGAATTCAGAGCCACCTCCAGCCCAATGAAAACAAAATAGTCTGTATGTTGCATTAGGCTTCTTATGCCTACAGTTCATGATGCTACTACTCATTTTTAGAAATATTTAGTTTCGAAAAATAAGCTATTCCAAATCTGAATATGATTTCCTGTTAGTGCCGGTGTATGGATTCTGTTAGTGTCGATTCCGATTGTTACACTTCCCATTGATGAAATAGATGACTAGTATGGCTTCAGTAAAATCAGTTTGTGTAAACTTTTATGATAAAGAGAGCAATATCCAAAGCTGTATATTTTCTATGTTCCTTTAATAACAGCGATAGTTCTCGATACAAAATGGCGAATCTACCTGGTCAGATACTTCTTATGACCACAAGTCCTCTATATGTTTTTTGGGCGTCCTCCCACTCTAAAGACATGGTATGGGACATGCTTATAATCTTTTTAACGCCCATAGAGTGCTGTAATTCTATAAATTTAACAGTCAATATGACTTTAGTTCTCTCCATTAACTTTCCTCGTTCTCCATCTTGTTACGAGAACTGTCATCTTCCATACCTTCCGGTGCACAGTCAATGTGTAAAGCGTACTAACGTAGTTTATCAGTGTTAGATAAGTATTCAACAGGGTTATATGAAATATTAACTTGAATCTAAAAAGTTGCAGAATGTGTCTAGGATTCAGAACTACAAGTGTTCATTGGCATACTAGTCTATCTGGCACATCGGCAAATGAACTACATGTAATTTGATTGCAAATACAATCATTATTCCATTAGGAAAATTAGACAAGAACACAAATGTGTACAAAATGTCCCCACCAATGGGTGATCCTGTCAAATGGTTATCCTGAAAATGAGTAGACAAGACTTTACCAACACAATTTGAGGACGGAAAATCCAAAATGGCCACCTTAAAATTTACCCAGAATGCCAAAATTTAAGTCAGTTCTAGATTTTCAAACTATGAACCACTCCTGAAAATTTTAAATTGATCTGTCACACAGTTTAACCAGAAAACATGTAAACAAGACTTTACAGACAAGATTTTAGGATGGAAAAACCAAAATGGCTGCCTTGACATTTACCGAGAATGTCAAAAAATTAATCTGTTTCTAGATTTTCATACTAAGAATAATTCCTGAAAATATAACATTGATCTACCAAATGGTTCACCTGAAAACGGGTAGACAAGATTTTAGGACAGAAAATCCCAAATGGCTGCCTTGACATTGACGCAGAATGCCAAAAAACTAATCAGATGTAGATTTTCATACTAAGAATCATCCCTGAAAATTTGAAATTGATCTACCAAACGGTTCACCTAAAAACGCGTAGACAAGACTTTACAGGCAAGATTTTAAGACGGAAAATCCAAAATGGCTGCCTTGACATTTATTCAGAATGCCAAAAAACTAATCAGATCTAGATTTTCATACTAAGAATCATCCCTGAAAATTTGAAATTGATCTACAGAACGGTTCACCTGGAAATGCGTAGACAAGACTTTACAGACAAGATTTTAGGACGGAAAATCCAAAATGGCTGCTTTGACATTTACCCAGAATGCCAAGAAACTAATCAGTTCTACATTTTTATACTAAGAAACATCCCTGAAAATTTGAAATTGATCTACCAAACTATTCACCTGAAAAGACGTAGACAAGACTTTACAGACAAGATTTTAGGACGGAAAATCCAAAATGGCTGCCTTGACATTTACCCAGAATGCCAAAAAACTAATCAGATCTAGATTTTTATACTAAGAATCATCCCTGAAAATTTGAAATTGATCCACCAAAACGGTTCACCTGAAAACACGTAGACAAGACTTCACAGACAAGATTTTAGGACGGAAAAATCCAAAATGGCCGACACTATGGCCCCACACTATGTGGTGGGGACATAAAAACGGATTCAATTTTGAAGTCTTCATTCGGCAAAAACAGGATGGGCCAAAAAACGCATTTTTTTCAAAATGCTACAACTTTTTTAATTTTTGATACAAAATCATAATTTGCATACCAAATGAAACTTGAGGATGCTATCTAGCCATGGATTATGAATTGTACACTTTTACTTGAATAAAAATATGTCACCAGCGTCTCACTTAAACATGTGGTGCGCCATGAGAAATAAACATAATTTGCAAAATGTTCCTGAACTGATACAGACTGATGACCACTAAGCTAATTCTCCTTATGCAATCCCCAGTGAGTAGAGGGTATGGGGAGGTCTCCAGGAGGTGGTATGAAGGAACCCGATCTAAAAAATTGCCCAATTAAAGCTGGCAATTAAGACAGGTTGAAAGAAACTTAGCCAACATTTCACTGATACTGCCATATCAGCAAGGCAACTAAAGCTAAAAGCTATCATCAAAGAGGGTGGCGGACCAATTGAACTCCTCTTTTACATCAACTATAATCCAAGTTGAAGGACTTGTTACATTATATTATTCATAACAACCCCTGGTATTATATAACTGCAATATTTGGGGAATACAGGTTGGAAAATAAAAAAGTTATAGTGTCTTGAAAAAAGTGGCGTTTTTGGCCCACCCTGTATAAAATTTTATTTTAAATAGCTATACATTATAATAACCATTAAACCGCTTACAAGAATGCAAAGAAGTGTATTCAATGTTTTCAAATGTTTTGGGATCATAACTGAAATAGGTACATCGAATATATTTTACATTCATATCCTTCATTTAAAAAATTCATTTAAATTCTGTCATGTTGTATTTGTATTTTAAAACTATCAATATTGTATTTTGTATTTTATATTTTGTCGCGGTGTATTTTACAGGTAACTAGTATTTTTATTCAACAGTTCGTTTATATAAGTCTTAGTTCAGTTTTGTATATATAGTTTGTAGTGACTAATACGAATTCCAATGGATCAGAGAGTCAATATACGATAGATAGTTCAGTAAGATATGGGCAAAACGACAATTGGTATTTTCAAAATCAGTTGTTCTACTAAAGCCTGCAACATGTGTGTTGATACCAGCGACATTTGATAAGTGCTATTTTAAAGTCATATCAACTGGTTATCATAATCATGCGATGAATACTGAAAATATTGCTTATTATTTCTCAAAAACAGCTTAAATTATGATTTTTTGTCAAAAAACAAAATTTTGTTTTGTTTGTGGGGATACATATAGAGCATCGATTGCGTTGATATTTTTTCAAACTCAATAAAAAGTATGTTTGACATCAGCTCTTAAAAGGGCGATGTTAGATGTGTGTTAGCCATGCAATGAACTACTTTTTCTATGCATTATACCATTTGTCTAATATTTTAAATTGAGAAAAACAAGATCCTCTTTTTAGAAAATAAGCCTTACATTTTTTAAAAAGTGTCAAGGTGAGGTCCTAATCCATAATTTTTCAGAGAGTTGGATTGATATTTTACTATCATGGGGACTTCACTTGAAAAAACAAATATTGTTTAAATAAAAGCAACTGTATTTATGGCCAGAAAGTACTCATGGTGAAAGATATGACTGTCTAAAATCACTTGCCATACTGCACGTGGTCTTTTGCCCATATACGAGATTGGACAATAACGCAGATGCGAGTAGTAGTTACCAGTTCCACCACCAGGTGGCTCGTTCGGATCAGATAGCATGGCGGGTATTAGTATATGTAGAAAGTTCCCTTTAACTAAAATTACATCAAGTTTAGTGGTTCACTTTTCATATAGCCTTTGTGTAGCTAATAGTTACACAAATACTGTAGATGACATGGTATTAGTAGAAAGTTCCCTTTTACTAAAATTACATCTATTTTAGTGGTTCACTTTTCATATAACCTTTGTGTAGCTAATAGTTACACAAATACTTATACAAATCAACCCGAACTAGAAGTCTCATTTTCAAGGAAAATTACATTTTGAAAGTTGATAAACTCTTTTCAAAACAACATTTCTAGATGTACTTTTACATGTAGATGACATCACTTGACTGAATTTTGAATATAAATAAATAAATATAAATCAAGATTATTTCTACGTGCATCTAGTCTATTTTTATGATCTGGCCATCGTCTTCCGTTTTTATAAAGTGTAATCGTAATCACACAAATGTGATGTAAATAACTGATAACCCTCTATAATTTTGATCAACCATTCCACAAAGATCCTTTTGTGATATCCAACTCAAACTTAAGAAAGAATCTTTAGAAGCCTGTATTCGCAACGCCTGTCGACTACCGGATAAACCTGATATTTTATGGGCAACTCGTTTAAATATGAATAGTATCTGTATGAATAGTACCACTATTTCATTCATATTTAAATGAGTTGGCCATGAAAAATCAACCTTGTATTCGCGAATGCTACTAAGGCCCGTCGGCTTCCGGATTAACTTACTATTTTATTGGCAACTCATTTAAATATGAATACACGGGGTACCATCGAATAATTTTGGCAACGTACCGGAGAACGACATTTTACTAAGAAATGGCAATAATTTAGCACAATATATTTTTTAACTAGAGTTCTACTTTGATTTTGACAAAAGTAAGTATTCCATGCAATGGCTATTTCATTCATGAGTTTGTAGGAATTCTGTTGGAACCCAGTTCTGATCAAGTACGAAGTTATTGAAATCGGCGCAGTCGGACTTTACTCCGAAAGATGGTTTTTCGATTATAACTTTTTACAACATTTAAGTATAGACTTTTGAAAAAAGTACAGAATAGTCCTTATACTATTGAATAATTCTGCTATTTCTGATTCACACGACTCTGATTTGTTTAATTAAAAAAAAAGTTTTAGAAATATTACTTAGGAACGTAACCGGAGCTGGGAACGTAACCGGAGCAGATCAGTTGAATTATATAATTTAAAAAAATAAAATATATGATTTAAAGCATATATATTTATAAATGCGCATTCGAACAATCCCGTATGTTTTTAAATTAGTATATGTGCTTTAAATCATATATTTTAATTTTTTGATTAAATAATTCAACTGATCTGCTCCGGTTACGTTCCCAGCTCCGGTTACGTTCCTAAGTAATATTTTTAAAACTTTTTTTTTAATTAAACAAATCAGAGTCGTGTGAATCAGAAATAACAGAATAATTCAAAAGTATAAGGACTATTCTGTACTTTTTTCAAAAGTCTACACTTAAATGTTGTGAAAAGTTATAATCGAAAAACCATCTTTCGGAGTAAAGTCCGTCTGCGCCGATTTCAATAACTTCGTACTTGATCAGAACTGGGTTCCAACAGAATTCCTACAAACTCATGAATGAAATAGCCATTGCATGGAATACTTACTTTTGTCAAAATCAAAGTAGAACTCTCGTTAAAAATTATATTGTGCTAAATTATTGCCATTTCTTAGTAAAATGTCGTTCTCCGGTACGTTGCCAAAATTATTCGATGGTACCCCGTGGAATAGTATCTGTATGAATAGAAACACTATTTCATTCATATTTAAATGAGTTGGTAATACGATAGTATGTTAATCCGGTAGCCGCTATTTGCATTCGAGAATACAAGCTAGGTTAATCCGGTAGCCGACAGGCGTTAGTTGCAATCGCGAATACAAGCGACTACTTGTTTACTTCTATATAATGACAGATCGCATATAAGGCTTATATCGGACAAGACATCTATCAAATGTATCGGTCAACATGCAAATATTTGTCCAATACCAATATACAATTGTTAATATCCACGACATAAATCAAACTTCATGAAATAAAAATAGTTTATGGGTTTTGAGTATATACAGGGAGGCCACCCTAATTGATTAACTTGACGTAACTTGAGGAGCCATTTTTGAGAATTTCTTTTCGAATTACACCAGTAAAACCTCATTTGCTCCATGGCGACCGTGCATCGACCGCAGTTCCTTGAAATCGGCAAAAATCTATGGTTGCCTCACGGTCGTACGGCGTATTTTGATTTTGTGGCGACAGAAAAACTACGGTTGACGCACGGTCAACGCAGGGCTTCCTTATGGCGAGCATTGTATTTAATTGCGGCTTGCAAAGGTCAATTGTAACCAACAATACAAGTCAACCTTAAGTTTTATTTACCAGGTTTTTATTTGAATATTTCTCTCTAACGTTTTAATAATCAGCCAATAGAAAGATTTCGCCACTCGCTTATAGCGTGTTTAACATTCCCGTATATTCTTATGTAGAGTTTGATTACGTCATCATTTATTGCGTAGCTCTAAACGTCCATAAGTGTGATATTCTTATAAATCGTCATCTGTACGTAGGAATATCACAAGTTTATGAACACGTACAGCTGCGCAATAAATGATGATGTAAGCAGACGTTTCACAAGTTATATGTTATACGGGAATAATGAACATCCAAAAAGTAAGTTGTGAAATCTCTCTAATAATTTTTTAAGGTTTATCAGGTTCAGTTATCGAGGCCCCCGGTGGAAAGAATATAACTGAGGCTACTTTGAAGTAGTTTGGAGATGTTACTACACTTAAACCAATTTGTTCACCCACTCCACATTTGCGTGAAAACATATCGCAGACAAAGGGTCCAAATCCATTTTCAGCTCTTTGGTCCATGCTGCATGTGAAGGTGATCACCTCTGGCTTCTTGCTAAACCCACATTCTTTACTGGTGTCAATTATGTACACTCCCATGAACAGGGTAGCGCCTTCTTGGATGATCTCTCTACGATTGCCTGGAAAATGAACAAAACGGAGATAGCTTGACACCGCATTATTTCACATAAAGCTTGGGGGGAGAGTCATCATATATCTCTTATGAGTATTAATAACTGGCGTGAAATTACCCCTAATATTGAAAAGGAAATACCTGCTCCACCCTAACAGAATTAGAATACAGAAACATAGATATATTTTGTGTAAATCTCATTCAAATAATAAAATCTCAAGAAACAAGAAAATAAGTGCATTTGATAAGAAACTTTCTGACCGAGCATCGTCACGAGTTTTGTTTCTGTTTCATCATATTCGTCATACGCGTCATAAAGCCAAGTGATATGATCATACCTGAGCTATTAAATGACTTCTTGGCGATTAAGACGAACGCTGCATCTCTAACTTGTGTATTCCTATAATACGTCATTTTCGTCTTAGTTGTTTCCGAAATAACTCTATACGTTTTATCAGGCATATAAGGAGTATAGACAAATTCCCCTAAGTCCACTTCCTCTCCATTTGTTAGCTGTTCATCTGTGAGAGCAGTAGCATTGAAACCATACTCTTCATTAGCCCACTTGATGAATTTTCTTCCTAAATTTAGAATATATAATCATTCTTGCTATTTAATATGTCAAGTGAAAATGAAGGTGAAAATTATGAATTGTCACCCAAAGTTTCCTAACTATGAAAATTGTTTTGATAAAAGCTAGAAAATATATCTCAATATTGTTAATCAAAACTTCTCTAACCTTCCGGGGATATTTTCACACAGGTTCGACACATTTTGTCGGAGGGGGATCAATGTAAAGAAGGATGCTAACGAGGAATTTATTTATAGCATAGAGAATACGCAACTCACTTATAGCATGTTTATTATTCCCGTATAACGTATAACTTATGAAGCTTTGATTACGTCATCATTTATTGCGCACCTCTATACGTCCGTCCGAACGTGTGATATTCTTATGTATAGATGACGATTTATAAGAATAATAAACATCCTATGAGTTGCGAAATCTCTCTAATATGTTCAATGTTTAGCATACATTTTCTAGTGGTATATTCAACCCCATTGAAAAATAGCATCATTCTTTTGACCCTGTTTGCACAAATGGCATGTTCATTCATTTCACATTCATTATAAATATATTTTGTTGCTTTACATACCAAATTTTACTGTTGACGATCCAGCGTCATTCCAAAAGTTCTGCCACGTGTCTGGCCATGGAGCTTTCTTGAGTGAAACTCGTACGCCATCGGCGATTATAGTTAGAGTTCTTTTGTACACAGTAAAATTTGTTGGCGTTCTATTTCGCGGTCCCCTCTTTGAACACGACTCCATCATTATGTTGGAGATAAGCACAATGCATATCCAGAAACTCAAAAGAAAGCATTTTAAAATTTCCATTTTGAATTATATGATTTTTTCACAAGCGGTCAAGCACTAAGTGCGGAAATGCAGTAATGTTTCAAATGAAATTATTAGTTTACTGACCAAACACCATTTCACGCTTGTCCGAGTCCTGATATATATCTACGTCAATACACTGACTGTAGAGACTATTATTACATGTAGTAGCCCGGTCATGATTGATCAAGATTCACACTTTGAAGTTTCTGATTTAGTTTTGCCAGAAAGCAATTCTTTAGAATTGAAATTAGACTTTGCAATCCCTGGCCAATTTCTGACTTGCTCATACATGATTTGAGCAGCAAGAAACATTACAGCTTCAAGAGCCGATGGCCAAATTCTAATCACTTGTGCTTAAATCCCTTTTATTCAATTTTACAAGCTGACCCAAAATGAATGCAACCCATGTGATCGTTATGTCTATAGGCCTAATTGATACGATGTGCGCTGTGCACTGGGTTGATAACAAAGAAAAATTTTGGGTTCTGTGATATATGATATTTTTGAATAACTAAAGAAAGTATTTGATTCACGTATTACAATTACAGCATTTATTGATTGTTTAATTAGTTATTTTGTTGTAATGGTGTTGCTATACAAATCAGGCCCAATTTGAAGCCTCTTTGATAATACGCACCTGTCCGCAAGTCAGCATTTACGACCGCTGCAGCTATAAAGGAACTAGGTATTGAGGTCTTAGATGATGGATATGTTCTTCTGATCATGCAATATCTAATTTTACTTGTATGGAGAACGAAATGCTAATCAGCGGAGTTGGACCTTTATAGATGAGAATGACCTTCTTCAAATTCAGCCTGTCAAATTATACAATCGACCCTGCGTGACATGTTCTCAAATGGGTTCACTCGTTTGTTTGAGTCATAAGGATCCAGCATGCTACACTTGTACTGACCAAAGAAAATCCCACTTTTCAAAGAAGAGGATACACATATAGATATCAAATGATATTAGGCAAATGCAGTTCCCACCAGTTATTGCATTTCAACTCTGATGTATGAGATGTCCAAATAACCTAAGTCTCTATACCATTCTGCGTGGAATGTTGCCCCGGGTATCGAAAAGCCATGTCACCATAACAACCATAACTCTACTCAAGTTTCTTAATTTTTGAAGATAATTTGCAATCTAAGTAACAATACTCAAAAGTGCATTATCTAAAGTTTTAAAGACGATTGGAGCATACTTAACAACATATCAGCACCTGTCCTATTATTTTTGGAACAGCGTGTAGTAATCTATTATTTTTTTCATCATGGTTAATCGAGAACTACATGTAGACCTGCCTACGTTGGGCTTACAATTCAACAACTGCATTTTATAGCTGCAGGTTTAGAAAATCTATGCGAGCTGATTTGGATAAAGAGGGCAGCTCTACTTACTGTAAATCTTACATCATTCAAGAAAATGCTCGCTTGGTCCAATATGCAATGTTATCCACGATATAAATCAAACTTCATAAACTAAAAACAGTTTATGGGTTTTGAGTATATACAGGGTGGCCCAAATACAAAACCACCCTAATTATTGTCAAATTCCTAGGAGAACCGTACACAAACTACGGTTGCCTCACGGTCTTCGTATGGCGCATCCAGTTTTTTACAGGCAGATTCGCCAAAATTATAATTCGGACTTAAGAAGTTACATTTGCTACTGTAGCCGTACGGCGTAGTTTGGTTTTGTGGCGACAGAAAAACTACGGCTAGCGCAAGGTCAACGCAGGGCTTCCCTATGGCGAGCAGTTTTTGACAAATACCAAGGCAGATGCAAGGCGGTCACAGGGGAATCCTACGGTCGCATCGATTGTAATTGCCGCTTGCAAAGGTCAATTGTAACCGACAACACAAGTCAACAGTAATTTTTATTGTACCAGGTTCTTATTTGAATAATTCACTCTAACGTTTTAATAATCAGCCAATAGAGAGATTCCACCACTCACTTATATCATGTTTCTTATTCCCGTATAACGTATACCTTAGATAACGAGTTTGATTACGTCATCATTTATTGCGCTGCTCTAAACGTCCATAAGTGTGATAATCTTATAAATCGTCGTCTTATACGTAAGAATATCACAAGTTAATGGACGTATAGGACCAGGGGTATAGAACTGCACGATAAATGATGACGTAATCAGACGCTTCATAAGTTATATGTTATGCGGGAATTATGAACATCCTACCAGCAAGTTGTGAAATCTCCCTTACAAAAGTTTAAGGTTTATCAAGTCCAGTTATCGAGGCCGCCGGTGGAAAGAACATAACTGAGGCTACTTTGAAGTAGTTTGGAGATGTTACTACACTTAAACCAATTTGTTCGCCCACTCCGTATTTGCGTGAAAACATATCGCAGACAAAAGGTCCAAATCCATTATCAGTTCTTGGGTCCATATTGCACGTGAAGCTGATCACCTCTGGCTTCTTGCTTAACCCACATTCTTTACTGGTGTCAATTATGTACACTCCCATGAACAGGATAGCGCCTTCTTGAATGGTCTCTCTAAGATTGCCTGAAAATTGAACAAAACGGAGATACCTTGACACCGCATTTTGATGACTCGGTCCATAAGGTATGATTCTAAAACCTTTCTTCACAAGATGGCAAATGTAAATGAATTTTAAAAATGTTGTAATAACTATTTGTCACATGAGGCGAAAAGGCCTCTCCGTGAATTGAGATTTGAGGACAATGATTGAAGTTTTCAAAGCAGGCTCTACAAAATATTTGATTCGAAACGAAAACCTTCTTCATGTTTTCAAAAATTGTGTAAATAGATACAGGAAGGTTATCTCCTCCAGAAGAGATTATTTTGAAGGCACATAAAGCTTGGGGGAGAGTCATCATATATCCCTTATGAGTATTAATGATAATGAATGGCGTGAAACCCCTAATATTGAAAGTGAGACACCTGCTCAACCCTACCAGAATTAGAATACAGAAACATAGATATATTTTATGTAAATCTCATTCAAATAATAAAATCTCAAGAAACAAGAAAATGTGAGCATTTATTAAGAAACTTTCTGATAGGGCATCGTACGACAACGTTCGTCACGAGTGTTGTTTGATGAAATTTCATAATATTCGTCATACGCGTCATAAAGCCAGTTGATATGATCATACCCGAGCTGTTAAATGACTTTTTGGCGATTAAGACGAACGCTGCATCTCTAACTTGTGTATTCCTATAATACGTCATTTTCGTCTTAGTTGTTTCCGAAATAACTCTATACGTTATATCAGGCATATAAGGAGTATAGATAAATTCCCCCAAATCCACTTCGTCTCCATTTGTTAGCTGTTCATCTGTGAGAGCAGTAGCATTGAAACCATACTCTTCATCAGCCCACTTGATGAATTTTCTTCCTAAATTTAGAATATATAATCATTCTTGCTATTCAATATGTCAAGTGAAAATGTTAGTGAAAATTATGAATTGTCACCCAAAAGATATAAAAGTATGTTAAGTTTCAAAACTACGAAAATTGTTTTGATAAAAGCTAGAAAATATATCTCAATATTGTTAATCATAACTTCTCTAACCTTCCAAGGATATTTTCACACAGGTTCAACACATTGTGTCGGAGGGGGAGGGGTGGGGGGGTTAATGTAAAGAACGACGCTTATGATGAATTTATTTATAGCATAGAGAATACGCAACTCACTTATAGCATGTTTATTATTCCCGTATAACTTATGAAGCTTTTGATAACTGACGTCATCATTTATTGCACATGTCTATACGTCCGTTCGTACGTGTGATATTCTTACGCATAGATGACGATTTATAAGAATAATAAACATGCTATAAGTAAGTTGCGAAGTCTCTCTAATATGTACAATGTTTAGCATACATTTTCTAGTGGTATATTCAACCCCATTGAAGAATAGCATCATTATTTTGACCCTGTTTGTACAACTGGCATGTTCATTCATTTCACATTCATTATAAATATATTTTATTGCTTTACATACCAAATTTTACTGTTGACGATCCAGCGTCATTCCAGAAGTTCTCCCACGTGTCTGGCCATGGAGCTTTCTTGAGTGAAACTCGTACGCCATCGGCGATTATAGTTAGAGTTCTTTTGTACACAGTAAAATTTGTTGGCGTTCTATTTTGCGGTCCCCTCTTTGAACACGACTCCATCATTATGTTGGATATAAGCACAGTGCATATCCATATACTCAAAAGAATGCATTTTAAAATTTCCATTTTGAATTTTATGATTTTTTCACAAGCAGTCAAGCACTAAGTGCGGAAATGCAGTAATAGTTTCTAATTAAATTATTAGTTTACTCCCCAAACACCATTTCATGCTTGCCTGAGTCCTGATATTTTTTATTACCTCTATGTACATATCTACGCCAATACAATGAATGTAAAGACTATTACCAATAGTGCATGTAGTAGCCCAGCCATGATTGGTCAAGATTCGCACTTTCTGATTTATTTTTGCCAGAAAGCAATTCTTTCGAATTGAAATTAGACTGTGCAATTTCTGACTTGCAGTCATACATGATTCGAGCCTCAATAAACATTATAGCAGCTTCAAGAGCCGATGGCCAAATTCTAATCACTAAGTGCTAAAATCCCCTTTATTCAATATTACCTGGGTGGCCAAAAATGAATGCAACCAATGTGCTTGTCATGTTAATAGGCCTAATTGATAAGATGTGCGGTGTGCGCTGGGTTGATAACAAAGCAAACTTTGGGGTTCTGTGATATATAATATTTTTGAATAACTAAAAAAAGTGTTTAATTCACGTATTACAATACAGTATTTCTTGATTTATTAGTTCTTTTATTGTAATGGTGTTGCTATACAAGTCAGGCCCAATTTGAAGCCAACCATCTACCTTATTAATAACGTACCTGTCCGCAAGTCAGCATTTAAGACCACTGCAGCTATAAAGTAGCCAGGTCTTGAGGTCTAAGATGACTGATATGTTCTCATGGTCATGCAATATCTAATTTCACTTGTATCAGGAGAACGAAATGCTAATCAGCGCAGTTAGACCTTTATAGATGAGAATGACCTTCTCCAAGTTGTCCAATCGACCCTGCGTGACATGTCCTCAAATGGGTTTACTCGTTTGTTTAAGTCATCCAGATCCAGCATGCTACACTTGTACTGACCAAGGAAAAGCCCACTTTTCAAAGAAGAGGATACATATAGATATCAAATGATGTTAAGCAAATGGAATTCAAACCAGTTATTGCATTTCAACTTTGATGTATGAGATGTCCAAATAACTCAAGTTAAAAATGATCAAAGGAAATGTGAAAAACCCAACATTTTCCAACCGATCAATTTTCGTGGGTAGAGTTTAGTTTAGTTTAGTTTATTATTTATTAAAGTGTCACAGGCCTATTATGTTACATAATTATACGTTCAATTATTCAAAAGCCCCAAGCCAACAATGGCTTATGAGACACTGTCCATCTCAGAAATATTGCTAATAAAATTATTGATTTTGAATGAAAAAATATTAAAGACCGACAATCAGTCAATAACTAGAATGTCGAATAATCCACTCATGCTAAGAAGGCTTATTTATGATACATGTAGGCAATGAGAGTCCAAGTATTAGTAGTATTAATGTCCATGACATTTTACCACAAGTATATCAACTCAGCCGGCTATTGTTTGTTGATGGCCCATGAAACCAAATAAATTCATGTAATCCTGGAGCCCCTGGCCTCAATGTTATTGCTCTGGTGTGGCCAGAATTTACTGAATCTCTGCATATTCCTCAAAGTATATTCCAATTCTAGCTGTTTCCTGGTCTTTTGCTGCTCCACAAATACGTTGTTGTATTCCTTAGAGTATTTTAATTTCGCTTTTGACTTCAATATACGTGCTTTGTCCTCGGGAGATTTCAACGTAACCAGTACAATACCAGCATTATCATGCCTTTTTGGTAGTCTTTTGACATCAGTGGGGCACACATCTATCGGGTTATCATCACATACAATTTCGGACAGTACTTTGTTTACCATGGTAGAATCCAATATTTCTGAAGATTCCGGCAGATTCTTTATGACAATTACAAGTTCATTTACTGAACTTTCATTCGAGGTATAACAAGGTTTCTCAAATCCATCAATACGGTATTTCAATTTCTTGATTTCAGCAGATACTGCATTAACATGTTGTAATATTTCAGCTTTTTGTTGTTCCAATTTAGTCTCAAAATAACTCACCAACTCAGCTCGTTGAAGATCAATCTGTTTGAGGACTCCAATATTCTGATCCATGATTCGGTTCATTTGTTGTTGTAATGTTTGGATCGTAGCACCCAATGCCATTATTGATGCTGAAGTATTTGAATCCATTTTAGGTCCGTCTGTATTAAATCCAAATCGTTTTCCAATGTCAGCCATGTTTGATTTTTCAGTGTTTTCCTTTGTACCAGCTGAACTTTCTGAAGTCTGTTTTTGACTGTCCTGTTTACACTTTTGCGATTTCTTGAGCTTACCCATTCTCTTTGTATATTCCAATTGAACGCTGATACAGTTATAAATCCATAAAGTTTACAAAAACATCAAAATTGCACAAAATAGTGGCACAGAATTATTCACGTGTCATAGCATCTACTAAAAAATCGAGCTCTATTCGAAAATCTTTTAACGTTATTAGAAAGTTAAATGTCTTCCTAAACGAATACAACAAAAATCAAACATGAAATCCTTAATGCCTTCCTCAGATTATTTTTTTAAAACCTACATCAAACCTACATCATTGTCTTTGCTTCAAATACTTTTTACAACGTAAAGCGCGAACGGGAAGGCGCGCGCAGGTTTTTCTCAGGATGTGACGTCTTATTGTTCTACGTATACGTATTTCCCCGTTTACGTACATCCAAACGTGAAAAATCAAAGTCTATGTAGGTCGTTCCGTAACGGATTTTTCGTACTTCATCAAGTTCGATTGATATAAATATGATGTAGGTCGAATGCATAAATATGTTTGACACAAATCTGTGTATATATCGAGATTATTTGTGTCCAATCTAATCAAATATAACTTGAATATGGAGCCACCCATTTCTGTGTAAAATATGATAAGATTACATGCATGGCAATTGCCCACATGTCAACTCATCTTAATTCTACTATACATATTGTGACACAATAGTAATAAAACTATGAATGCTTAAAAGACATTTCAAATATTATTGCGTCCTGTTGTATTTTGTAAGATTCAACATGTCATAGAACACAGCCAGGCTGTGAAACATCTCCTTTGTTAACACTTTCATCAATTTGTCAATAAAGTAATATTTATCTTTTACGTTTAAAGTATACGTTTAAAGTAGAAAATAAAACGAAAGGCCGCTAAGAAAAACAAAAGATAATAATTTTGAGGTTTGCGTTTACGTTACGTCTAAAGTGCTCAGCTTAAAGCAGTTTTGTTCATAGTACGTAAACGGAACGTAAAGGTCTACGTTTGTGGTTCACGTCATAAAAAATCGTCTTGCTTAACCTCTCAATAATCTTTATTTTCTGTATGCATAGGAAAAGCGAACGTAAATCGAATTCCCTTTTTAAGATCTGGACCGGTGGATACAGGCTGTATCCATCCCGCCCCGCTACTCAGTGATAGATCCCTAGATACAGTATATATTCCCGCTCGTTATTTACCTAGAACCTTGGTAGGTGTGGAAATTCAAACTTCATAAAATAGAGAGTTTATGGGTTTTGAGTATATAAAGGGTGGCCCAAATACATAACCACCCTAATTATTGTCTCGATAATGATTAACTTCAGGTAACTTGAGGAGCCATTTTTGAGTCTTTTTTCGAATTAAACCAATAAAACCTAATTTGCTCCATGGTGACCATGCGTCGACCGTAGTTCATTGAAATCGGTAAATTCCTAGGGCAGCCGTACAAAATCTACGGTTGCCTCACGGTCTTCGTATGGCGTATTCAGTTTTTCACAGGCAATAGAGTCGCAAAAATAATAACTCTTTAGCAGTTACATTTGCTACTTTAACGGTTAACGTTGACGCACGGTCAACGTAGGGCGTCCTTATGGCGAGCGGTTTTTGACAAATACCAAGGCGGATGCAAGGCGGCCGCAGGGGGATCCTACGGTCGCGTCGATTGCACTTGTGGCTTGCAAAGGTCAATTGTAACCAACAAAACAAGTTAAACGTACGTTTTATTGTACCAGGTTCTTATTTGAATATTTCCCTCTAACTCATAACATGTAATGTTTATCATTCTCGTACTTGTAACTTATGATGAGTTTGATTTCGTCATCATTTATTGCGCAGCTCTAAACATCCATAAGTGTGATATTCTTATAAATCGTCATCTATACGAAAGAATTTATGGACGTATATTGCTGTGCAATAAATGATGACGTAATAAGACGCTTCATAAGTTATATGTTATACGGGAAAAATAAACATCCTAAAAGTAAGTTGTGAAATCTCACTAACAGAATTGTTTTAAGGTTTATTAGGTTCAGTTATCAAGGCGGCCGGTGGAAAGAAAATAACCGAGGCTGCTTTGTAGTAGTTTGGAGATGTTACTACACTTAAACCAATTTGTTCGCCCACTCCGTATTTTCGTGAAAACATATCGCAGACAAAGGGTCCAAATCCATTTTCAGCTCTTGGGTCCATGTTGCATGTGATGCTGATCACCTCTGGCTTCTTGCTAAACCCGCATTCTTTACTGGTGTCAATTATGTACGCTCCCATGAACAGGATAGCGCCTTTCACTGTGCAAAAAAGGCTATATAGTAATAGAATATCCTGTTAACTATGCTCTAATATCAACTGTCATAGTGTGAAATATCTCCCGTATATCCCGTGTTGTATAGACACAAGCTATATCCAGATAGTTGGCGGACAACTAGTATAGTTAGTACTATTTGCCACTCTAGTAAATATGAACTAATATAAGCTGTGTTATATATCAAGGCTAACATATAGTTTGTCTACCACTCTATCATATCTACAGAAAGGATATACTAGCTGATTCTATGAACAACAGCTTCTTCTAGCATATATCAGGATATACTATTAAATCAGAGTTCCAAAAACAAGAGATACGCTAACTATACGAAATGACGTCATCACATCTTATTTCTGTAACTTATCTGGCTTATTAATGATTGATGACTTGTTTACATTGATAATTAATCCGTTTGTTAGAGTGAATGGATTAATTTTCTACAACCGAGGGTCCTTATTTCCTTAAAAATAATTTTTGAGTTCATTTTTTTATATACATTTAATTGCATAATGTCCCTAATGCTATCATTAACATTGTGCTAAATTTTGAATCTAATTGATCAACTCCATGGAAAGTTATTTTTTAATTATTGAGTTTTCCTCTCGATCGGTTTTACTCTGCAGATTGTTGACCCCTGACAAGAAAAGCTATTTAATGTTAAAAACAGTTTAGTAATCTCAAACAATTTGTTTAAAATATCAGAGATAAACACTAGATTAGTCTTTGCGATAAACCTGTTTCTATTTAGAATATCACCATGACAAATTTACATTGATAATTAATCCGTTTGTTAGAGTTTATAACACATCTCATTGGCGCATTTAGAGATGCAAGTAAATTGCATGGAACTTAATACTTCATAATTCATGTTCTATGTTATCTAGATTATCTGAGATAAACATCAGATTGGTCTCAGTAATACATTTGTTTTTATTTTACACTGTAATATTGATCAGTAATTGGGAAATTCCATTAATGCATATTTTTGTAGAATGATGCATACCATTGTAAATGTCATTTTATACTGTAATATTGAGCAGTAATTGGGAAAATCAATTAATGCAAATTATTGTAGAATGATGCATACCATTAAAATGTCATTTTATGCAATAATATTGAGTAATAATTGGGATATTCAATCAATGCATACTATTGTTGAAATGATGCACACCATTGTAAATGTCAAGTAACACTGAATATTGAGAAGTAATTGGGATTCGGGATATTGAATCAATGCATACTATTGTAGAATGATGCATACCATTGTAAATGTCATATATTCTGTAATATTGAGCAGTAATCGGGAAATGATGTAAATAGCATCTTGAGACATGTCAGAGCAAAATGCTAAAATAAATGTTTAATCCCTAATTATTCAATTTCAGTGGAATGAGAAAAACTAATCCGTTGAAAACTAATCCGTTTACTTAAGTTAATGGATTAATTTCTACAACTGACGGTTCTAAGTTCCAATAAAAATAATTTGTTAATGAATTCTTTAAAATAAATTTGATGGCATAATGTCCCCAATGCTATGATAAACATTGTGTTAAATTTTGAAATTAATCCATCAACTCTGTGGAAAGTTACTGTTTTAATTTTAATAAGTTTTCCTCTCGGTTTGACATGTACTACATTGTTTCTCTTTCACATTGAGTTTTATATTAATCCATTTGTTAGAGTTTATGCATTAATTTAATGTCACATTAAGAGATACAAGAACAAGCGCATGAAACATAATACTTCATAATTCATGTTCTATGTTATCTAGATTATCTGAGATAAACATCAGATTGGTCTACATTTGTTTTTATTATACACTGTAATATTGATCAGTAATTGGGAAATTCCATTAATGCATATTATTGTAGAATGATGCATACCATTGTAAATGTCATTTTATACTGTAATATTGAGCAGTAATTGGGGAAATCAATTAATGCAAACTATTGTAGAATGATGCATACCATTAAAATGTCATTTTATACAATAATATTGAGTAATAATTGGGATATTCAATCAATGCATACTATTGTTGAAATGATGCACACCATTGTAAATGTCAAGTTACACTGAATATTGAGCAGTAATTGGGATTCGGGATTTTGAATCAATGCATATTATTGTAGAATGATGCATACCATTGTAAATGTCAAATATTCTGTAATATTGAGTAGTATTGGGAAATGATGTAAATAACATCTTGAGACATGTCAGAGCAAAATGCTAACATAAATGTTTAATCCCTAATTATTAAATTTCAGTGTAATGAGTTTTGAAAACTAATCCGTTTATTAAAGTTAATGGATTGGAACTTAGAACCATCATGACTGACGGTTCTAAGTTCCAATAAATATAATTTGCAAATGAATTCTTTTAAATAAATTTGATGGCATAATGTCCCCAACACTATGATAAACATTGTGTCAAATTTTGAATTAAATCCATCGATTCTGTGGAAAAATACTATTTTAATGAATGAGTTTTCCACTCGGTTTTACTACATTGTTTCACCTTCAGATTGAGTTTACATTAGAGAACAGAGGCTCCATATTACACAGATACAACCTACAATCTGTATGCCCTTTGTTAAACAACGTGTATTCTCTTATATTTCACAATTCATGTTTTCTGTTATCTATTATATCTGCTGTATTATAAGTGTTAAAAAACAATTTAGTTATCTCAAACAATGTGTTTATAAAATCTGAAAACCACCAGATTATAGTCCCTTTGATAAAGTAGTTTCTATTTAGAAATCCACGTGACAAGTTTACATTAATAGTTTGTTATAATTTATGGATTAATCTAATGGTACTTGTGTGGGGAACTATGATATAAAATTAAAAATTAAAGAAAACAGTTTTGAACAATGGAATGTAACTAATACTTATTAACTTTTGTACATACATTTTACCTCACTGAATGTTAAAATCACAAAGTTATTTATCTTATTGACAATTCACTTTATTAATAGACAACAGAGAAGGGATAAGCTTCTCCAATTTGTTTATCTAATAGCTTAAATATTTAAGTTGTGGTTAATAAGCTAGATAAGTGATTTTACTTTATTAGCGCTGCAAGCAATGAGACCTGATGACGTCATTTCGTATAGTTAGAGTATCTCCTGTTTTGGGGGTCTGATTTGGGAGTATCTCCTGATATAAGCTGAAATAAGCTGTCTCTAGCACAGAATAGGCTGCATATCTCCTGTTGTGTATATCCAGTACTGTATGAATAGTAAGATATAGTCAGTTTTTAAGAGTATAGACAGAAGATATTTAATATAGATTGCAAATCTCCTGATCATATCTCCATTTAAATTAGTATAATTTGGGACCTATTCCTTGACATACCATCAAATAATTTGATATAGGTGGTATGATACTCAACTATGTCCGTATTAAACATTTGATATCTGACTATATTTTAGGGGATTCTAAGGAGATTTGCAAACTATTTATGCAAATCTCTTGAAATAAAACAGGAGATATCGCACATTTTGCACAGTGTTTTTGAATGGTCTCTCTAAGATTGCCTGAAAATTGAACAGAGATACCTTGACACCGCATTTTGATGACTAAAACCTTTCTTCACAAGATGGCAAGTGTAAATGCATTTTAAAAATGATGTAATTACTATTTGTTACATGAGGCGAAATGGCCTTTCCGTGAATTGAGATTTGAGGACAATGAGTTGAAGTTTTCATGGCAGACTCTACAAAATATTTGATTCCAAACGAAAACCTTCTTCATGTTTTCAAAAATTGTGTAAATAGATAGAAGGGTATCTCCTTCAGAAAAGAATATTTTGAAGGCACATGAAGCTTGGGAGAGAGTCATCATATAGCCCGTATTAATGAATGGCGTGAAATTACCCCTAATATTGAAAGTGAGACACCTGCTCCACTCTACCAGAATTAGAATACAGAAACATAGATCTATTTTGTGTAAGTCTCATTCAAAAATAAAATCTCAAGAAACAAGAAAATGAGAGCATTTGATAAGAAACTTTCTGATCGGGCATCGTATCATTCGTCGCGAATGTTGTTTGATGAAATTTCATCATATTCGTCATACGCGTCATGTAGCCAATTGATATGATCATACCTGAACTATTAAATGACTTCTTAGCGATTAAGACGAACGCTGCATCTCTAACTTGTGTATTCCTATAATACGTCATTTTCGTCTTAGTTGTTTCCGAAATAACTCTATACGTTATATCAGGCATATGAGGTGTATAGAAGAATCCCCCCAAGTCCACTTCCTCTCCATTTGTTAGCTGTTCATCTGTGAGAGCAGTAGCATTGATGCCATACTCTTCATCAGCCCACTTGATGAATTTTCTTCCTAAATTTAGAATATATTATCATTCTTGCTATTGAATATGTCAAGTGAAAATGAAGGTGAAAATTATGGATTGTCACCCAAAAGATATAAAAGTATGTTAAGTTTCAAAACTACGAAAATTGTTTTGATAAAAGCTAGAAATATATCTCAATATTGTTAATCATAACTTCTCTAACCTTCCGAGGATATTTTCACACAGGTTCAACATATTTTTTCGGAGGGGGGGGGGGGGGGAGCGGGTAATGTAAAGAAGGACGCTTACGAGGAATTTATTCATAGCATAGAGAATACGCAACTCACTAATAGCATGTTTATTATTCCCGTATAACTTGTGAAGCTTTTGATTACGTCATCATTTATTGCGCAGCTCTATACGTCCGTCCGTACGTGTGCTATTCTTAGGAATAGATGACGATTTATAAGAATAATAAATATGCTATAAGTTCATTCGAATTCATTTCACATTCATGATAAATATATTTTTTATGTAGTTTTACATACCAAATTTTACTGTTGACGATCCAGCGTCATTCCAAAAGTTCTGCCACGTGTCTGGCCATGGAGCTTTCTTGCGTGAAACTCGTACGCCATCGGCGATTAAAGTTAGAGTTCTTTTGTACACAGTAAAATTTGTTGGCGTTCTATTTCGCGGTCCCCTCTTTGAACACGACTCCATCATTATGTTTGATATAAGCACAATGCATATACATATACTCGAAAGAATGCATTTTGAAATTTCCATTTTGAATTATATGATTTTTCACAAGCAGTCAAGCACTAAGTGCGGAAATGCAATAATAGTTTCAAATGAAATCATTAGTTTACTCCCCAAACACCATTTCACGCTTGTCTGAGTCCTGATATATTTATTACCTCTATGTACATATCTACGCAAATACAATGAATGTAAAGACTATTATTAATATTATTAACCTCTTGAATACCAGCCTCTAAAAAGGGTTTGAAACCAGAGCAATTTTTCATTTTCTGCTAGTTTTCTGGATATTTACATCTAAAAATACAACGTTTGATATTTGATTCCATAAGAATAGTAAACATAGAACCTTTACATACATTCTAAAATATGCACTCAACTTCATAAGTTTGGCAACCTTAGCTCCCCCAACTACTCTTTACCTTTGCATTTTTATTTACTCAACCTGCGATGAAAATACTTATACTATTGATGGAAACGTAATTTCCAATACCTCCAAATTTTCTCATTTTGTTCCTCAATTACAATGATCATGAACATGAGTGTATCTTTTAGATCCATTCATTATCTTCAAGAAAAGTATATATAATGATAATTAAGTAAATCAGACCTAAGTGATATTGAAGGGGCAATGGACTGATCAACATACTTTTTCAAAAATGTTTTTCACCAAAAATGTAACCTTTTATTATATTGTTGAATGCATAATCAGAATGTGCTTTGAGACATATTCGATTTCCTAAGAAGAAACGTTGATTGCTCCAGGGACTTTAAATATACTGAATTTGGATGACCAAAATGAACTGAAACCAATGGATAGCATGAGGTTTTTCAATGGAAAAAAACATGGGGAACTCTTATCTTAAAGCAATTAAATTTTTCTTTCAAGAAATATTTGGTACATTAAAATAAAGAATAGTAATGCATTTAACAATGTAAAAAATAATTGCAGTTTTGTCTAAAATGAGGTTAACATCTTTGAAAAGTGTGTGGAATTTAAGTTAAATATTTCCGAGTTTGTTTGACTTTATTATTACTGTATATTATTTTCTTTGATATAATCTATGGATCTAAAACATAAACCTGTCCTTATTATCAGAAAATAGTCATAAACCAAGATATAACCGTCTGAAATTGTTTGCGATAACGTACGTGCTCCTTTCAAAAAGAAAACATGTCAGTCAAATGGTCAAAATGTAACATTTCCTAAATAATTATTGTTTACAGCCAATAGTTTTGCTACTTGCTGTTACCATAGCAACAGTGTGAATTGGACACTGTCATTACATCTACTCACTTTTTTATGACCATACATGTATGAATGTAATAAACTAATGATAAACTAAAAGATATAAACTAATTACTTAGTTAAAATCATTACTAACCATTTTAAAGACAATAATTTCAAAGATTTATACATCATGATTAAAATAAAATACACAAAAACAAACAGTTATGATGTCATGATTAAGATGCAAATCACCCTATTTGCATATTTCTTTATACTGTATGATTGCTTTATCTATTACCTTTCATTTAGTGCCAATTTCATCTAAATCTGAGCAATAATGACGAAGATAGGGGCCAAACACTGAAAAGAGCCCTAAAAATGGGTATGGCATATTTACTTTGTTACCATAGCAACGCTGCCGCTGATTCAAAATTGCCAACTTAATACCTCCTGATTGCATGATCTATTACCTTCCATTTGGTGTGAATTTGATTGAAATCTGAGCAATAATGACGGAGATAGGGGCCAACCACTGAAAGGAGCCCCTAAAAGTGGGTGTGGCAAATTTGCTTGGTTACCATAGCAACGCCGTCGCGGATTCAGAATTGCCAACATAAATTTTCTTGAAACGACCCCCAGTATCACTTTTAGTTTATAAAAACATATGTCACTTAGCTCGCCTCTAAAAAGGACACGGAACCTCTTATTCGGTCTTTTGTTCCTAGACTAATAGAGGGCAGCTCTACTTACTGTAAATCTTACACCATTTCATAAGAGACACGAAAGAAATCATACGTTTTCGTCCTGAGTAATCAGTTTTTTTTCACCGAGAGAAGAAAATGCTGGCTTGCCGTCCGTTAGTTTCCACGTTCGTTTAATTATTATTTAGGTCAGTTTTCAGGGTTGTATGGGCGAAAAAAAGTCGCAAAAAAGTCGCAATGGTAAAATAGAAATCAAAACGACAGAAAGGGCAAAATGTGCAATTCTGATACGAAACCTTATCATTATAATAATAAATTGCAGGGGCGTAGTCAGCTTCCAGTCAGGGGGGGGGGGGTCGATTTTGGCATAAACAAGCCAAAAAATTAAGATTTATCTTGAATTTTACAAAAATTGATGTAGCTTCATTCGAGCTAGACGCTTCAAATAAATAGGATTTTAAAGCATTTCTTTGTTCATCTCATGTTTTTTCATTGATTCTGGGGGACCCATCGCACCCCCTGGCTACGCCTATGAATTCTATAATCATATAATATACGTTTAAAAAGGATTTTCAAGGAAACACGCTTGCTGTACCAATGAGAGTCCTCTCCAGTCGCCAGTTTTAATGACTCAGTAACCTAATAATCCATAATATAATGACGATTTTACCATTATTGTGTAACGTATCAAAGAACAATCAAATATCGATCTGATTAGCACTCTATTCTGGCGTGATGCAAATAATTTAGATAAGTGGCTTTTCCGTTTTGTTTTTGTGATTTGGATGGCCTGTCCAGTTATTGGTAATTTAAATGTAAATTGTTTCCTGTTTCGTTTACATAACTTCTGATCAATATGGTAAAGCTGAATCAACAATCTTATAGCCATCTCATAACACCACGTCATTATGCTGTACAAATACCAATTATTTAATCAATTAATTTATCATTCAAATTACATAACAATTCATTAACAATTGTTCTATTACTGATGACTGGTATTTCAACCTTACATGGAATTAATTTGCTAGTTTTTATCAAACTTGCCATTTTGAAGTGTTTGAAATTAAGGGCTCTTACAATATTGTATAATATTGTATTTCCATAACAACAAAAGTGAGTTCTAGTCGTTCATCATGGGAATTCCTGCTATTCAGATCAAAGTTTGACTAAGTTTGAGAAGAATGTCATATTTTGACCCTACTTGAAGGGTGTTTTTATTTGAACAACCTGTTCCCTAATACATGAATAACGCTCCTATTTATGACGCAAGTTAAATCCCTAAAATAATCAAGAAAATTGGTTTCTCGTGGGAAATGGGTTTCATTTGGACCATTCGCAAATGCATTTCAAACGTTGACACTGCCTCCGTGTTTAATATTTATAGTTATTTGATTATTATGAAAATTCTTGAAGTCCCCCCTCCCAATTCTAGCAAATGCATTGCTTAGATAAATTAAAACTCACACATGAACGAAAAAACCCGACGTTAACTTGCACTGACGAACGGGACCTGAGTCAAATACGTTCCCAACTTCCCGTGTACGTTATACATCGTTTGTGTGTTCGTAAGTGGAAGTATCTTTTGGAAAACCCTGGACAGCTTTGGAAGCAAGCGCAAAGTTGCACTCCGGTTCGCATATTCACGTTCTCACTTGCCAGAATTTGACAATTTACTTAATTTGCAACGCTGCGTTTAATGGACTCGTGAGAAGGTATTTTACTTGATAACACAACTCACGTATTGCTGTTACATACTTATTCTTTACTGCAATCTTACAAATACGTACTTACAAATACATCCAAAGGTTATAATCAATATTTTACTTACAAAATGATTCTCTTAATATACAAAAGTCAATTGAAAAATGTTCAAATGTTATTGGAACCTTGTCAATCTAACAAAATGTAGATTTAATCAAGTATATTGTGCAATAGTAATTGAAAAATAATGCCAGCCCTAAATCAATTCATTATCAGTTAAAACACTCAATCAAGTGACAAGTTTTCATAAAGCAAGAATTAATAACATATTCTTTCTCCCTTACAATCATTTCCTTTGTTGTAGAGTCTGTCATTTGGTACACAATTAGTCAAATGTTATGATGACGTTCTTTGATGGGGCAGCCAGTGATTTACATTCTCCTCAAAAAGTGTTGCAACACTAAACCTGCAATACCAAAAGTATAAACCAGTTTAAATGTATGGCGTTCAAAATCCATCAAATTGAGTTTCGAGTCATTGGGGAATTAACCTATTTCTGAGAGCAAATATTTTGCACGTCAATTTTCTCCCAAGATTGAAGGTGTCCATGTTTAATTCCTCTCTGGAGTTTGCTAGGACAAAATATCTCGAAATATCATTAAAATTGAAAAGAAAATCCACTTTTCCAGGGATTTGTCCAAGGCCTTGGCAACTGAACCAATTTAACCAATTTAATGCCATTTTTGTATAAAACTGAATTTTGACCTAAAAAAGGTGCCTTCTTCAATGTTTGTTCCTCTCATATTGGCCAGTTTCCATGGTTTGGATGCCCAAAACCAAAATGGACCGTGCTGCACATATCTACCCCAATTATTCAGAGTGAACCCCCATAGGTTTTAATCGGCTATCTAGATGTAAGTCAGTGTAATTATTAAACCTAATATGAGGAAAGTGTTTGCTTCAATTAATTGGCCCAGTCAGTTTGATTACGTTTAGTATTACAACACTAGTGCTAACACTAGTAATCTCCACATAAACAAAGATGACGACAATGAGGTTTCAGTATGTCTATGTCAATAATCTTCAAAAAGCTAATAGACCCATATAGAGCATACATATGTGGACATATAGGATGTATCATGTAAGTTTTATTTCATTATTTCCATGTTTCTGGCCGGTGGTGTACATATTCACGTGACACATACACTTATCGAATTCATATCAGAGTTATTTGTACCAAAATGCATTGACATATCAAACTGGAGCATATCGATCACTGGATAAAAGTAGAAATCAACTGAGACTGTTAGAGACGCTATTTGTCAAAAGACAGAGAAGACGCCTGGTGCGCTAATTATTGAAAAAAAGATTTTCTAGAGATGGAATCTAAAATAGAAGTTCTGATAACTTTGTTTCTTTTAATAAGGCTTTGTGCCCAAGTTGCTGAAGCAAATGTTAACACAGAATCCGAATCAAATGGAGATATAAATATCACTGCAGTGGCTGCAACGGACAATCCAACCACTACATTTGCGGCAGACGATGAACGATCAATGGAAAATGTGTCCGGTAATGACGATGAAAGACCACTGATGGAGGAAGAAAAACACTTTGACTATGGTGATTTCCTTGATTTCATCATAATACTAAGTAATGAAACAACTACAGTCATGTCACCAAGTAAAGCCGAAACCACACAAATTGCGATCCACCTAGATCCAATATTATTAGAGTATGAATTTGATGATATGGGACCATGTGATGCTGAATTCGATTTGGAACTGTTACAATTCATGACACCAAACTGTAGCATGGAAGAACCAAGCATGTATAGTTGTATGAATAGATGCGGAGAGAAGACACAAATTCCAGATGCTCCTCTCTGTTCATGTGATATATACTGTCAATCCAACAGAGACTGTTGTCTAGATTATAACAGCGCATGCCCTGCTGATGCAAAAGTAGCCAAGCAAATCCAGGAAAATATGACAACAAAAAATATCACGTTTGATTGCATTGATATAGATTATGACAAGACCTCTTCTGACTTTCGTCAAATTATAAATACATGCCCAAATATGGACACATGTGTCAACGCAGATGATGGAATCATGAACCTTATACCAGTTAATGATAACTCGAGTGATGTACACTACATCAATAGATATTGTGCGATATGTAATAACGTATCAGTTGAGAATATAATTCCATGGCCTAGTGATGTCGAATGCGAAGTCGAGGAAGAACTTGTTCAATCAATTGATGATCTGATGAAGTATATTGATGAAGGAAGATGCCGTATAAAACTCACAGCTCAAGCCAGACGTTGTTATTCATTGGTTACAGATGAATGCAGCGAAGACTGTGGCAGTGATGCCCTCAAGGCCATGTGCTATAACAGTCCTAGACAGATTGTCTCGAATCATGACACGAACTTCAAAAATGAATTCTGTGCTTTCTGTAATGACATTCCGACAGATCACTTCATGTGTAGCCTCATATACTTTAGCATTAATGGTGGTGGTACTAGTAACGGTTTGAAAAAGTTCTCATTCTCTCTTCTTCTCGATATTGATCCAAATAAGGGAACAAAAATTGGATTCAATGTCAATGGCGAAAGTTTAACATACAACTGTGAAAAGAATGGCTATTGCGACAATGTATGTGAGCGTGGTTATGAATACAGGAATGAAAAGTGTGTGCAAGTATATTCACGAGACACCTTTACTGCTAAGTGGATATACTCCTTTTCCCAACCATACACACAGGCTTTGGCGAGTGATATCAGTTTCATTGATGCTTTTCAGTCTTTTGTCGGGCGACCATTAAATAGAGCGAATTTGACACACGTTGTTCATTATGATGGTGAATCTCTAAATTGTACGTTGACTGCTGTATTTCTAATCAAGAAACCAGTGAACCAGACAGCATTGGAGCACAATACTCCATTCTATGAAGTTTTTGATGCGTTCAATGAGATTTACAACACATATTTCTTCGATTCCGATACCCTAAAACTGTGTGTTGAATCATATGACAATGTTACGTGTTTTGATATGATTCAACAAAACTTTGTTAATGATGATACTGTTGATGCTGCTCTTGGAGAAGTAATTGAGGAGTCGGATACTCTTGGCTCGAATTCATTGTTAGCAGACTCCGCTGACACAATGGGGCTAGTGACAATTATATGCTTGTCTATATCTATCATTTGCATGATTACGAGATTGATCCTTCAGATCTTTGTGCCAGTTTTCCATACCTTATCAGGAAAGATGCAGTTTTCACTTGTTCTTGCTTTGTGTCTTGCTAGTTCTCTCTATTTAGTCGGGCCAATGCTAGTTGGGATGATGGAGGCTTGCAAAACAGTTGGTGTTCTTATTCACTACTTTTATCTTGTCACGTTTGCCTGGATGGTCATCATTGCGCTCGATATGTACCTTGCATTCAGATCTACTCTTCAAGCAGCCTATAAAGGCTTCAAACGCTTTGTGGTATACTCTTTGATTGCCTGGGTTTCACCAGGGGCTATAGTAGGTGTGTCTGTAGCACTGGATAATGCAGACATACCTAGCTCTTATAAACCAATGTATGGAGATCCAGTTTGCTTGATTTCCAACACGTATGCTAATTTGGTATTCTTTGCTGGGCCCCTCGCACTCATGATTGTGTTCAACATTGTCTTTTACTCTCTTACTGTATGGAAACTTCGTCAAACTTGGCAACAGACCGCGAAGGTGAAATCAGGCTCTGAAAATCACCTGGACGTGTACATAAAACTATTTATTATCATGGGATTCACCTGGATTTTAGGATTTGTGGCACCATTTGTTGGAAGTGATTTTGTGTGGTATGTATTCATTCTTCTGAATGCTTTACAAGGTGCATTTATTTTTGTCGCATCTGTCTGTACAAAGAGAGTTCTTAAGTCACTGAAATGTTTGAAACAGTTGACGCGGAATCCAACTTCATCTTCTATCATTCGCACCACCAGTACCACCAAGAACCAATCCACCACCAAATTTTGATATTGACATTTCAAATATCGATATTTATCCCATGGTTGCAAGGATATATTTGATATGTGGATCAAGATATCATATTTTAGCAAAGAATTCCCAAAACCATCGAATATCACCTCTAAAAAGTGACATTCGATGGTTTCAAAAGTTGTATTCGATGGTTTCACAAATGATATTCGATATTTTGATTTTTCAAATTTTTAATTTTTTAATTATTTTTTTCTAATGAATTTCCATAAACGGACAATCCTTTTTAAAACGGGACACTCACATATACATGTATTATATTATTAAGGCTGCGTTTTTGAACTGCCCAACTGAGTTCCAACCGTGATGTCTTTCAAAAGAATAATGTGAGTGTAGGTGCGCTTGAATGAGCTGGTTTTGTTGAAAAACGGGTGACCATGTAATTTACACTAGGCTGGGGTTATTGTTATCTTTCGTGATACTTAGGGGGAAAACTTATTAAAGTTGTACTCAAACATTTTACTCGATTTAGAGATATTAATGCTATCTTACCGTATGAAAGCCACACTTTACAATGGTGAACCATCAACAACTCGAAAAATTCATTTTATCATGATATTGGGGATATAATGTCAGCACTAGTCTGTTTTCGCGGCAAAACTGATTTTATTTTCAGAGCAGAAATTTTACGTCACGTGACATGACGTGTGTGGTTGAAACAATTTGCCGCGAAATACGATTTTGTAGATAAAAATGAAACCCTGGCTTTCAAAATCGAGTTATTCACTCTTATGTTGAGCCAATTATTTCATGATTGAGGCTATTCTCATCAAGTTTGAAAAGGGTATAATATCACTTATTTATATAACAGTTAGTTATATAACAGCAAACATTGCCAGTGTTTGGGGATTAAAACTTTTCAACCCGAATGTAATGTTGTAAGGCCAAAATATAATTATTGGCTTAAAATTTTCAGTTTCAACAACTTTTCGATTTAGCGCCAGAATAACTTGGCACACGGTACGTCATGGTCAGGTGACCTCAGAAAGTGCGCAATAATAACAGCATTTCAGAGAGGTTGACATTCTTATCTTAATAAATGATGTTGTGTAGGGAAATATCACAAGCTTTGTAGTCAACATAACAAAAGTGATGCTATTTGTGCTAAGAAAAGATAATAGGAGATTCTTTCATTGGTTTTAGTACAATTTTAAATATTATACAACTGTACAACTGACTTGTGTCACGGACATTCAAAAACGCAGCCTTAGAGTATATATGAACCAAGTATATATTGAAAATAAGTAGATATAAATTCTATAGTGAATGTATACAACATTTAAACTTAATTTGATGTTTTTATAAATCTGATTGCTCTTCGCAAGACAGTAGTATGTTACCATTAATGACAGCTATCACGAATGCAGACAAAGGATTGGTATCGATATGGAGAACTGAATTGGAAAATAACATTTTGGTAAAAATTGCTATACCTGCACATGTTATTTTCTGGTACACTATAAAGTATGAAGGCATGTGTTAATTTCCTTGCTTTTTCAGGAAAGGATCATTACATTGTCTTCTTTTAGTATATCTGGTAAGAGGTCAATGGGAACTCCAGGAAATTCTGATATTTTACGCTTTCTATTTTTCTAAGTTTTCAGGTTTACTAAAAGTAGACAATGTAATGATACGTTCCTGAAAAAAGCAAGGAAATATACACATGCCTTCATAGTTAATTTTGTACCAGAAAATAACATGTGCAGGTAGAGTAATTTTTAACCAAAATGTTACTTTCCAGCTGAACCTTAAGGCCAGGGTGCATGTTGGGAAATTTTCTGCATTCCTCACTAGAGTCACATGTTATTTTTCAAACAAGAATCACTCCTTCCCAAAATGATCTACATCTTCCAGTTTTACAGTTTAAAACTTATATATAGGACATTTATGAAGCTAGAAAATGTAGATATCGAAGAAGCACGTGGCAGCCATCTTGAAAAATGGTGGACTTTACACGTTATTTTACGATCTTTGCTGTAACTTAAAAAGTAGTGGAGCAATTTTGTTTATATTTGGTATTATGAATACTATAAGCATGGTGTACTGTCTAATGACACCTTTGGTAGAAGCCACTCAAAATGGTTGCCACTGACACGTACGTTTGTGCTATTTAAAGTTTTATATGTGCCTACTTCACACTACCCTACCTCGATCGCACATGCGCGATTTTTTGGCTTTCAACCAGGTCACTTTTGAGTATATGGACTGCTTAGTCGAAAGGTTAATACGTTTGGTGCTCGGAGCGAGTCAATATTTCTATTCGCTGAACTTCAGTAGTGCAATAGTGAAGTCCATGTTCCAAGTTATATGATAGTTGAAGAAAGAAATGTAAATAATATCGTTTTAAATTTTAAAATATTTGATATGTCATAGTACACGGTACACAGTTGCAAAAGTTGATCAATACAGGGTACAAGGAATGTAAATTGTTCAATAGTGCAGGGAGCGAGAAAGTAAGCTGATTATACAGACATACATATACTATGTCCCAATCTCATGTACATTTACGTTACAAACAGTGAAAATAATGCTAAAAAGGCCGCCTGTTGATGCTTTGAGGTGTCATCAATTGTTATTTAATCCAAATAAAGTAAACATTATTTTGTAGATTTAGACACAGGCTTTCAGGTCGTATATGCATTTTAGTCATTAAATTAACAAGAACGCTAGATTAAACGTGTTACTAGGGTATAAAATTGAAATAAAATAACAAAATTAAATATGAACACGTTAATGATGAATAACTATCCGCTATCAGTATATATTAATGATTACGCTATTCAGAATAATTAAAATTGCCTGTACTACATGTGAAGAATCTTTCTATATACCCCTTGAACCCCTTGAATGGTCTAATTCAATACCGTCCTCAAAAACCGATCATTGAAAATATCTTGTTCAAAATACATGTACTATCGTGCCACGACTTGAGAGCATTTTGTTCTTCACGATTCGCTGTAGCGCTGATATGACGTCGTATTTCTCTATTATTGTAAAAAAAACTAATACCAGATCGATGTAGTCTTATATGACATGTTGAATGTCGAATGTACAAGGAATGTAAATTGTTCAATAGTACAGGGAGCGAGAAAGTAAGCTGATTACACAGACATACTACATGAGTAACGAACTCATTTACATGCATTTTGAGTTGAACTACAACTGTTAAAGGTGCAACAATTAGTGCAGGGGGCCATTCAACGATCATCGACGAATGTCAAAATATATTTAAGTTTTGGATATTTCATCAAGACGAACATATGTGTTTATTATCTTCAAAGAAACCCCCTGGATGAATATCATTTTAGCTAATATTTCTGTCCTCTTTAAACGTGGTGGATCTTAAAAATCTACAAGTGGGACTCCCTTTATAGAAGCTTTGAACTAAATTTACACTTTTTAATGAAGTTGAAATTGATAGTTTATCCATACATTCTAAGAAAATAGGTATGTCAAAGAAGATGTTCAGCCGAATATTGACCTGATAGCTCAGAAAAATAAAACATTTCGAAATTTTTTCTCTACAGTCCTTGTTGCCCCTTTATTACAATTCTTGACAAGACTACATACTAGTGTAGTTCCGTGTTATATCAGGCACTCAATCACAGCTTGCAATCATGCACAGTTAAGTGGTTTTTAAAAGAATATCCCTATTGGATTCTCCGTCTTGGAACAAGTCATCAGACACTTCAGGTTTTACTGTCGAGAACTGGTTGAAAATATCGAATCTTTGAGCCAATAGTCCTTTTTTAAACATCATCCGTGTAACGTAGGAGACTACTACAGTGGTCAAGATAGCGACGATCATACAAAGACTTCGAACAGGAAATATATCTCCCTCATTGTCATACGGCGGATATGGAACAAACGCGTATACATTAATCATAGGCTGGCCTTTTCCAAAGATGAGCACTAAAGCCAAACCAGAGCCTAACAAGGCCCCGTACCCGTTGGCAACTCCAATGTACATGCTACATATCAGCTGTGGAACTATTACAACCACAGCAACATCTGCAGACGCATAGTACAACCCAATGACAGTAGTTCCTCCAAATATAGCAATTAACGACGATGTAACGCCCATGACAACCAATGCTATTTGTCGTACCCAGGTTTGTTCTCGTAATGATGGCTGGAAGGAAAGTATGATGATATATCATGAAGTTAACCTCAACATTTTAGTTTTCAACTATATGTTTTTATTTGGTAATTTTCTTATTTAGAGAATTGTGAATGTATTAGGCGTTCAGCGCGAATGGGATGCGATGGAATAACGCATTATAACCAAGTGCGATTCATCCAAAAGAGCCTTTTTTGTACCTTTTTACGAATTACGACTCTGTAGACGTTTTGAGTAAACATTCCGCTTGCTCCTAATATGGCAGAGTCCATTGAAGACATAACAGCAGCTGTCACAGCGCAGAGTGCTGAATATACAAATACAAATTGAAGGACAAGAGAAGTATTCCATATGGAGAGGATGTTACGAATCGACAAACATAACTCACAGATATACTATAACTGATATTACTGAGGCATAGCCAGAAATTGGGCAATATCAACGATCAAAACAATAAAAAAATGAATTCCACCAAGACCATGAAACTTCGTCAAAACATCCAAAAAGACCATGAATATATGTGTCAAAAAATCAAAATATGAATTGAACCCTAACCTTAACCCTAACACTAAGACCGTGAATATGTGTGTCAAAAAATCAAAATATGAATTCCATAAATTCAATACACTTGTGATCCAAAAAAAGAATTTAACCTTACCAATCCTAACCCTAATCCTATTAAATCAGATTGGGTTTCAAATGATTGCCTAACCCTGACCTACTCCCTCCCCCCCGAGGACACGTACCAGACCCTAATGATACAGGGTCAAGTTGGCAGGAGCGGCGTTCGCGTAATGATACGGGAGTCTGATTCTGAAATTTTCCGTAAGTTTTGCCATAAATAATTTACAGCCAAGTGGACCCTGGAGTCCTACTCTGAACTTTTACGTAAATAATTTACGATAGGACAATTATACGAAAACATTTAAAATCGATTCTGAATTGTAAATAGTTTGGATAAATCCCCCAGATCTTTAAAAGGTACATGATAAAGGTAAAAAGGCTATAACAGGCTCAGTAATTGATGAAGTTCACTGAATAAACTTTTTTGTTACAAATAATGTCAAATCTGCTTTCTTTTGTTTGTACTGCATGTATGATGTCATGATTTATGATCTCCGCTGTTAATTACTTGCAAAGTATACCATAAGAGATCGTCCCAATATTTCCACATTGTTAAAACTATTAGTCACGTGATCAAAATTATGTATCTGATTGGCTCGGCTAACTACTCAAACGGATATGACAAGGTGGGCCTAATTATTTTCCTCATTTTGCACTTATAACAATGTGGCACTGGATATCTCCAGAAGGAGATGAGATCCATTGAAATTGAAAATGAAATCCTCGTCAAAAATTGAGAAAGATAGTATACTTGTCTCAAAACCTGTAAAAAGTGAGTTATAACAATGTGGAAATACAAATCGGGTAAAATATTGATCTTGTTCACAGTTTATACAAGTTGTGACCGACATGTTCGAATATTTATTATTTTATAGCCTATTTTGAATCTTTTTTATCCTATTATTGTTTTACCTATTATTGCAACAGGTTTTGGTGTGAGATGATACATCACTAATGGCAGTATCATACTTGCTTCATTGGCTTGTATGGGATCCGCTCCATAACTTGTATTGTTCCAGTCTATATAAAGAATATAAAATAGAATAATTGAGTGTCCAAATTCGTATATAATAAACAACACAAAACCATTTCAAAATTTTAAACCAGAACAACGGCAACGCCAAAGCGTGGCAAATCCCATCGAACAGAAATGGCTGGCAAAAAAACCAATACCCAACTTTAAATCTGACTGAAAATAGCTATGTTCGATATGATACATTGATTTATATATCATTTTAAAGGTAATCCATTTTCGAACAATTTGGTATATAACACTATGTCATGAAATCAATATTAAAGTTTTATTATGCTTATTTGGGAGGCCGGGTTGGTATTTAAGGTATCCAGATTTTAGGGAGAAAATAGTAAATCTGCGGAATAATGTTAATTTTTTATTTATAGAACATCATTTTGTTAGGTGAATAAATGCTTGTTTATTTGCATATTGTGTGACTAAACTTATTGTTTATGAAATTTAGTGTTGTTTATTATCAATAATTAGTACTCAAAGGGGGTCTGTTAAAAGACATTAAACGTATATGTGACGAGGATTTTATTTTCCAGCAACACATTGCCTCGTACCATAGATCTCAGGAGACATAAGCATTCCTTTGCAAACAAGGTGTCAATTTGATTGATCTCGATGCTTGGCCACCCAACAGCCCGATGCTACATGTTATGTGTTTGATTACCATACATGAAGCCATCTCGAGGAAATGGTACAATCAAAAGCATTCAATAAACAGCTTTGATGAGCTGAAACAGAATCCTAAAGTGCTGAAATGAATTGCAACAGATATCTCTCAATAAGGCTATTGATAGATTGCCCTACCACATGAAGCTTATTGTTGATGCATAGGGGAGGGGGTATATTGAGGAATTGTGAAAATTGTTTAAATAAGTAAAGTGTAAAATGTTATTAAACAACGCTGAAATTCATAAACAATAAATTTAGTCACACAATGATGCAAATATCAATATCCAAGCATGCATTCACCAAACAAAAGAATGATATTCTATAAATAAAAATTAACATAATTCCGCAGATTTACTATTTTCTCCCTAAAAATTGGAGACAAAATAAGTATAATAAAACTTTACTATTGATTTAATGACATAGTGTTATATACCAAATTGTTTGAGATTGTATAACCTTTAAAATGATATGTAAGTCAATGTACCATATTGAATGTAACTATTTTTATCCTGATTTGAAGTTGGGTATTGTTTTTTTTGGCCCACCCTGTATATAGCAAATATCATAAAATAACACCCATAAGAAAGGTAACCATTTTCAAAATGGTTGCTTACTAGTCCAGTTGTCATCAGAAGAAGTAATATGCTTTTAATTACATGTAGCCACATATAATTTTTTTTTAAATGGCACACACATACATGTAAATGCTGGCCATTTTTTAAAATGGCCGCCTACTACCCAAAATGTCATAAGACAGTATGCAATCCTTACGAGTATTCACATATCAAATATGAACAAAATCGCTCTATTACTTTTTGAATTAAAATAAAAATGTAAAATAACAAACATAAAAATGGTTGCAATTTTTTAAAATGGCTGACTACTCCCCAAAGTTTTATAAGACAATGTGCCATGCTTAAAGTATTCACATATCAAATATGAACAAAATCGCTTCAATACTTTTCAAGTTTTAGTAAAAAATGTACAAATGACAGCCATTTTTAAAAATGGCCACCTATTACACGAAGTGTGCAAGGCTCATACGTATTCACATATCAAATATGAGCAAAATCGCTCCACTACTTTTCAAGTTATAGGAAAGAACGTAAAGTGTCATTAGACATTGGGCCTTGATTAAAGTATTCACATACCAAATATGAACAAAATCGCTCTACTACTTTTTGCAGAAGTACTCGAAGGCAAAAACCGCTTTTACAAACTGGCTTCTTACGTACTACAGAAGCCGGCTTCTGGACTCACCAAGAAGCCGGCTTTTACAAACTGGCTTCTTACGTACTACAGAAGCCGGCTTTTAAAAACCGGCTTCTGAAGGACAACAGAAGCCGGCTTCTGGAGTCACCAAGAAGCCGGCTTTTAAAACTGGCTTCTTACTTACTGACGTACTGCAGAAGATGGCTTTTGAATATAGTTTATATTGTCATATTTTTGCAAAACTATGGGGGTAAATTGAATTCTAAGCATGGATATCGATGAATTTGATCACGTTCATCAATTCCAAAAATATTATGCATTGTATTTCTGTTTAATAAAAACGCACCGCTCATTTTTCAAAACTGGCTCCAATTTGGAGCCAGTTTTCAAATCAGCTCGCACCATTAAACACAAGCTATAAGCGGACAATCTAGCCACTGAGAATCACGAGATACTGTCTCCCGATCATTTTGATGTGGATAATGCATCTTATTCTCTTATAATCTGCATGAAAATAAGGAAAAACTGAAAAATATGTAAAATTATAACATAATTCAAGATTTTTTGCAAAAAGTCGTTTCAAGTCAAAACTATATGAGAAAATTGAAGTCTAAGTAAAAATATCGATGAATTAGATCATGTTCACTAAATCAGAACAGATTATGCATTGCATTTCCGTTTTATAAAAACGCACCGCTCATTTTTCAAAACTGGCTCCAACAGTTTACAAATCAGCTCGCTCCATCTTACACAAGCTATGTAGGGACAATCTAGCAACTGGGAATCACGGGATACTGTCTCACGATCATTTCTATGTGCATTATGCATCTTATTCTCGTATAATTTGCATGAAAATGAGAAAAAACTGAAAAATACGTAAAATTGTAACTTATTTCAAGATTGTTTGCAAAAAGTCATTTCAAGCCAAAACTATGAGAGAAAATTTATTTCTAAGTAAAAATATCGATGAATTAGATCACGTTCACTAAATCAGAACAGATTGTGCATTGCATTTCCGTTAAATAAAAACGCACCGCTCATTTTTCAAAACTGGCTCCAAGTAGGGACAATCAAGCAACTGGGAATCACGGGATACTGTCTCACGATCATTTCTATGTGCATTATGCATCTTATTCTCGTATAATTTGCATGAAAATGAGAAAAAACTGAAAAATACGTAAAATTGTAACTTATTTCAAGATTTTTTGCAAAAAGTCATTTCAAGCCAAAATTATGAGAGAAAATTTATTTCTAAGTAAAAATATCGATGAATTAGATCACGTTCACTAAATCAGAACAGATTATGCATTGCATTTCCGTTAAATAAAAACGCACCGCTCCTTTTTCAAAACTGGCTCCAACTTGGAGCCAGTTTACAAATCAGCTCGCTCCATCTTACACAAGCTATGTAGGGGCAATCTAGCAACTGGGAATCACGGGATACTGTCTCACGATTGTTTTTTATGTGAATTATGCATCTTATTCTCGTATAATTGGCCTGAAAAAATTTATTTCTAAATTTGCATGAAAATGAAAAATACGTAAAATTGTAACTTATTTCAAGATTTTTTGCAAAAAGTCATTTCAAGTCAAAACTATGAGAGAAAATTCATTTCTAAGTAAAAATATCGATGAATTAGATCACGTTCACTAAATCAGAACAGATTATGCATTGCATTTCCGTTTAATAAAAACGCATCGCTCATTTTTCAAAACTGGCTCCAACTTGGAGCCAGTTTACAAATCAGCTCGCTCCATCTTACACAAGCTATGTAGGGGCAATCTAGCAACTGGGAATCACGGGATACTGTCTCACGATTATTTGTATGTGAATTATGCATCTTATTCTCGTATATTCGGCCTGAAAATGAGAAAAAACTGAAAAATACGTTAAATTGTAACTTATTTCAAGATTTTTTGCAAAAAGTCATTTCAAGCCAAAACTATGAGAGAAAATTCATTTCTAAGTAAAAAATATCGATGATTTAGATCACGTTCGCTAAATCAGATCAGATTATGCATTGCATTTCCGTTTAATAAAAACGCACCGCTCATTTTTCAAAACTGGCTCCAAATTGGAGCCAGTTTACAAATCAGCTCGCTCCATCTTACACAAGCTATGTAGGGACAATCTAGCAGTTTTGGCTTGAAATGACTTTTTGCAAAAAATCTTGAAATAAGTTACAATTTTACGTATTTTTCAGTTTTTTCTCATTTTCATGCAAATTATACGAGAATAAGATGCATAATGCACATAGAAATGATCGTGAGACAGTATCCCGTGATTCCCAGTTGCTAGATTGCCCTTCATAGCTTGTGTAAGATGGAGCGAGCTGATTTGTAAACTGGCTCCAAGTTGGAGCCAGTTTTGTAAAATGAGCGGTGCGTTTTTATTAAACGGAAATGCAATGCATAATCTGTTCTGATTTAGTGAACGTGATCTAATTCATCGATATTTTTACTTAGAAATAAATTTTCTCTCATAATTTTGGCTTGACATGACTTTTTGCAAAAAATCTTGAAATAAGTTACAATTTTACGTATTTTTCACTGGAGCCAGTTTACAAATCAGCTCGCTCCATCTTACACAAGCTATGTAGGGACAATCTAGCAGTTTTGGCTTGAAATGACTTTTTGCAAAAAATCTTGAAATAAGTTACAATTTTACGTATTTTTCAGTTTTTTCTCATTTTCATGCAAATTATACGAGAATAAGATGCATAATGCACATAGAAATGATCGTGAGACAGTATCCCGTGATTCCCAGTTGCTAGATTGCCCTACATAGCTTGTGTAAGATGGAGCGAGCTGATTTGTAAACTGGCTCCAAGTTGGAGCCAGTTTTGTAAAATGAGCGATGCGTTTTTATTAAACGGAAATGCAATGCATAATCTGTTCTGATTTGGTGAACATGATCTAATTCATCGATATTTTTACTTAGAAATGAATTTTCTCTCATAGTTTTGGTTTGAAATGACTTTTTGTAAAAAATCTTGCAATATGTTACAATTTTACTTATTTTCATTTTTTCTCATTTCCATGCTAATTATACGAGAATAAGATGCATAATGCACAACAAAATGATTGAGAGAGAGAATCTGGCTTTTAAAACTGGTTTTTGGTAACTGCAGAAGCTGGCTTCTGTAAGTCATTCGAAGCCGGTTTTTAAAAGCCAGCTTCTTGGTGACGCCAGAAGCCGGCTTCTGATGTACTGTAGAAGCCGGCTTTGTATATTTGCCTTCGACTCTTTCTCACTTTTTGACTTAGAGTAAAAAATGTTAAATAACACACGTTAAAATGGCGGCCATTTTCAAAATGGCCGCCTTCTACCAAAAATGTCATAAGACATTGTGCCATGCTTAAAGTATTCACATACCAAATATGAACAAAATCGCTCCACTAGTTTTCAAGTTACAGCAAAAATCGTAAAATGACGTGCAAAGGCAGCCATTTTCAAGATGGCTGCCATGTATTTCCTCTGTATTTTTTGTAGACGAGACGAACGCACAATTTAACTCGATCTAAACTTGATACCAACGTACTGCAAACGGAATAAAGACGAGATGAACGTATTAAAAACTGCTTATGAACGAATTAACAAAAATAGCTATCACACCAGAACAAGTTGTCACTGCGTTCTTCAAAACGTTGCCGAATCGAAAACGTCGTAAAACGGGCTCAATCTGGCTGTGGTCGGGAAATATGTCTAAAATAATTAGCTACTTCGTTCATAAACAGTCTTCAATACGTCCATCTCATTCACAGTGCGTTCAGGTCGCACCACGTCGGTTTGCAACGTCGTATAACACGTCTCTTAGTCTAGAAAGTCATCATGACCTGATTACAGAACGGTATGGTCGCCATCGAATTTTGAATCGATTCAAAATTCTAAATCACATTTCCCGTCCGGGAAAGTCCATGAAGTTCGTAAACAGACCATAGAACGTTGTAGCTACGTTTATTCTGTTTGCACACAGTTTAAAACCGATTCGGCAACGTTTTGACGATCACCAGAAAATTTTGAGCATGCTCTAAGTTCTGGAGGACCTACTCGTTCTAGTAGTTTCATGAAGTTTGTAAATAGATCCCAAACGGTTCTTAGTGGGTTCTTAGTACGTCAAATCCGTTCGTGCACAGTTTAAGCCAGTTTTCGAGAACGTAGTGAGAACTAGTTTGGTGTGATAGTAGGGTTAGGGGAATCTCCCCGAGCTAGAAGTTTTCAAAGTTGATAAACTAATTTCAAAACCACATTTCTAGACGTAATTTTACATGTTGATTTTAAATATGACACCAGTTTGACTTAATTTTTAATGACGTTAATCAAAATCATTTCTACACGCATCTAGTGTATTGACATATGTATTATTGTATATTATATGTATTAAGTATATAATTGAAGGACAAAATAGATATTGTAATACCCGTCACAATTCCTATGATCCCAATAGATATCGGTGCCGCTCCAATGATAGCGACCATAATTCCTCCAAGAACTCCCATTATCTTTGCATCTCTAACAGATTTCGCTGATAAAAACCGTTGATAAAGACACTGCCATGGCAAAGCTCCTAGTATCTGGGAAATAATGCAAAATCCAAGAACAAGGAACTAGCAAAATAGTAACAAATCCTAAAATTAACCGATCTTGAGCTGAGGTGGCTTATAATGTGGCTAAAAAGTGATAATTCTCATTCAAGTTTGGTCAAATTATGATAGTATGAGACTTTTACATGTACCTTTTTTGGTAGGAATGTGTATTATACATAGTCGGAAAAATGAATTTGAAAAAATCTCAGCCCGATAAGATCAGTACACTAATTGATTTTCAATATTGAATTTAGCAGAAAACATTTTTAAGCATAAGTTGATTTGTGGTTAAAGTTACTTTCACAGACTTTAGAGGCTGAAATTTGGGATTTCAAAAAAGTCTTACCTTTCTATTAGGATAGGTTCAGGTGCCAAAAATAGCTGATCCATGAATATTATATCATTTTGAAAATTGGAAGCAAGAATTTTGTTTTGGAGGCCATGTTTTTTGACAGTCATGACAGGAAATATATTCTCAAAATGAAAACTGGATTAACAGCATTAATTCTGAATTGGCTTAGAACATTTGCTCAGATATGTATTCTAATATTATAACCATGATTATCACGGTGTTATAGCATGACGGTTACGACAAGGCGATTTGCAAAATTTTGCGGTAACGATAACAAAAAATGGCGGATGGGAAAGACAGCATGTCCTCTTTCTCGCATGTAGGCAAGATTCACAGATAAGATTTCCATTTTAACTAGTTCCATTCGGTGACGTATATATGGATGGTCATAAAGACTGGGTCAAATCTGCCAGGTGGTTTACTAGAAGCGAAATATAAGCTGTAAACGTACCGACTGAGATGTCCAAGTTCATGTTTTTTGTGATTTCTCAGTATATGTGCCTTGGAGCCACTCAAACTATTTACAGTGAGTTAACTGTGTATAAACAAGCCATAAAATGACAAATCCAGAACAGGAACGTGGTCATATTGTAAATAATAAAGTTTCAAACGCAATGTCGTTAGACGACTACGTATGAATTCTATGGACGGTAACGTATTGTATTAGATCTACATTAGATATTTAGCGGACGATTACGTGCATGTACATCTTTCAAGTTAAGGTTGCTAGTTCTGATAGCCTCTTTCCATGTAATTGTTAAATGGGTAAAAATGGAATATTGAATTGCTTATATTTGTTTTCAGGACTCGCAAGAGACGCTCTTGTTTGAGCCTCTATAGGGCAAGGAAAAAATTGTCTCTTGCTTTATTAATGAAACCAATTTAAGTCAAAAAGATAGCAATGAAGAGGCAAAAGAAGAATTAGCATCAAGTACTGATGAATATGACAAAATTAATAACAATGAATCTGGGATACATATTTGAACGAGGTTCGCGTAACCGTCAATCAATTCTTGGCGTAACCGCAAATTAAAAACACAATATTATGGCTTAAGTAGAACATATTAGGTGGTTCCCAATGCTCAATTGGCTTTTTATGATCGTATGTAGGTTACATCTATATACCCCGAGGTCGTTGGGCAATGTAGACCATGCCCTAACGACAAAAATAATTAAATTACTAAATTTTGTGTAGTTTTGAATTTCAAACTCAACAGTTTTTCGCTTATTTCATGTTATCCCCGGGCATCAATTTGCAAAGAATACGTTCAAAATAAACATTACTAAATGCATCACCGAATGCGATGTCTACAAAAATCGTTCATCCTTTCATGGATACACAGTAGAAGAAAATACTGCACCAACCTTAGTTTTCTGTTCCATCGCGGCCATTTTATCGGATAAACCAGTGATCGTACTCGTCTAATCTCGTTTTCAGAGGTGTCGTAACCGTCAATTGACTCTTTTTTAATAACTGTGGTGTAGTGGAAAAAAACTTTTTTTAAAATCAAGAATCAAAATTTAAAAATACATCTCAAAAGTCAAGGCGAAGCTATGGCAGAGTGGTTAGATCATCAGGCTTGTGTCCATGATTTTGCAGGTTCAAATCCCTGCCATGTCAAATCATTTCCTTTTTTATTTATTTCTGAGCCACGATATATTTTCTTTATCTCATTTCATATGACACAGTGTCATATTTATTACTTTTTGGGATTAAAAATATAGGTAAAATGTCGTGTGAGGCTTTAACGTGAATAAGACTAGCCACAAATCTATGCAACCTGAAAACAATCCTATACATATTTATCATGCAGACGGAGCCAGTGGAAATCAATAATATGAAAAATCTTTACATGGAAATGTCTTGACCAAACATGTACAAGAATTATCTCTGGAAAAAAGGTTATAAGCCACGTTAACAAAAAATATAGATGCAAACGGTAAAATCTTAAAAAAATTTCTAGGTCGCAAAACTAACGAACACAAGCTCTAGATTTGGTCCGAATGATTAGGTAAATCTTGAATAATTCAAATCTATTCCAATGTGATACATCCGAAAACAGAACTGGGGAGTTCATACAAATGAACTAATAGCTATTAATAATTATTATTAATAGCTATTCATCATATTGTGAACGGTAGAACTTCAATTCAATAATTTCTAAAAGTCCTAACAACAAAAGTTCAATGAATTGGTGCTATTTTTATTCCGAGAACAGTGTGTGCAAGAGTTATTTAAGAACAGTACTTGGAAATGTTACAGGGTTGATTAATTATTATGTGATACTAACCCAAACTGTAATAACTAAGTCTATATACGATGCAATCTGTATTGGTTTAATCGTACCAAGCCATCTATCTTGTGTTTCACTGAGGGAACTTAGGTTGACATTTTCATTTGATGCAGCAAATGGTATGGCGATACCCTGTAAACAGTACAAAAACAACATTCGAAGGAGTTACAAAGCCTTTTGATCAATGCACGTATTTCTCCAGATACTAGAGAGTTTAAGATTGCGATATTTTTCACAACGTTACCGTGAACACAAAGCCAATGAATCAATTATATTACGATAACGTCCTTTCGAAGGGCAATATAGTGAAATATTGGACCTTGGGCATTGAAGATATCAATTTTCGATGACCAAAATAATGCCGAAAACAATGGATAGCATGAGTTTCAATTTAATTAGAAGAAACTTTTGATATATTTAAATTGAGAAAAACAAGATCCTCTTTTTAGAAAATAAGCCTTATATTTATAAAAAGTGACAAGGTGAAGTCCTAATCCATAATTTTCAGAGAGTTGGATTGATATTTTACTATCATGGTGACTTCACTTGAAAGAAAACATATTGTTTTGATAAAAAAACATTGTATTTATACCCAGAAAGTAGATATGGAAAAATATATGACTGTCTAAAATCACTTGCCAAACTGCACATGGACCTTTCCAGCATAGTATTCAATAGACATGAGTATAATTATTCCCGTTGACATACCAACGCGAAATTGCGAATCTTCCGTTCTAAACACAGCTCTTAAGCTGATTGGGTGTTTGAAGTAGACTAAGGGTGCATTTTTTGTATGTCAGCGGGCGCAATCCACCCGCACAGCACTTAATGAGCCTTGTCAGCAGGCATCACGAAAAAGAACAAAAAAAGCTCCGCGATGCAAATTATATGCTCACATTGTTTTCAACAATAACAGCTCATGCAAGCGCACTTAAACCTTTTAATACCGCTATGCCAACGTTGACAGTTATGCTGGAGCACCACAGGGGTGCCATTGACACAAAGTTTGGTGTCTGTGTGCGCTTGAATGAGTCGTTTTCTGTTAAAAACATGTGACCAAGCAATTCAAACCGTGAGGTCCATTGATCGTTTTCATGATAAGGCTCATTAACTGCTGTGTGGGCGTATTGCACCTGCATGTATACGAAAATACAGCCTAAGTAGCGCCTGTTTTGAATGATTTGAAATGCAATACAAGATATATTCTGCTCGAGAAATTCTGTATTTGAACTCCACGAAGTCGAGTCCCGATACAGAATATCCAGAGCAGAATATATCCTGTATTGCACTTCAAATAATTCTATAACGTTTTTATCGTGTGATCTTAGGCCAATAAATTTTACTCGAGTGGTAATCCCTATGAAATATTCTGTATTCTCTGTATTGCTACTGAGATTGTCCCTCCGCACCAATATTTTCTGTATTTCTACGAGGATGATCAATGGGGACAATCTCAGTAGAAATACAGATTGGTAGGGCACAAGCACTGACCAATCAGAGGCTTCATTTTACAGATTATCGTATGATACTTAGGCTGTATTTTCGTATACACGCGGGTGCAATACACCCAAACAGCAGTTAATGAGCCTTATCATGAAAACGATCAATGGACCTCGTGATGTGAATTGCATGGTCGCATGTTTTTACAAAAAACGACTCATTCAAGCGCACACAGACACATATATGAAATATACAATTCATTAAGCCTAGGTAGAAATATACCAGACCATTAATGTTATTACTTACAAACCCGATAATAATGAACGCCAACTCCACTACGTCTGTGTAAGACACGGAAATCATCTGACCAATCATAGTGTAGCATACTGCTATCAAGGCTGATACGACAATGGATACCACCGAACTCAGTCCAAGTATAATGCTAAGACTTGAGCCTGTAGAAGGAAAATAAATGAGAGTAGATATTCAGAATGGAACGGTCTTAATTATAGCTTATTGTTAAGATCGATGAAACTCTATTTTATTGCTCTATGACCAGAGGGGGAGAAACACAAGGGTTCAAAGATGACATACGCTTATAATGTAAATCTGTATTGAGATGACATCGTCGCTGATTGGTCAAAAGTCGACAAACAAATTACGTCATCAATGGCGGTTTAAACATTTTCGAAATACGCTTCGAATAATGATATGTTCATTTCTGGCGTGTTAACCAATATCATAGCTTCTCATTTCACATCAAGATAAGGAAAATTGTACGGAATATGCGTATATCAATTAAAACATCCCATCGAAGTGTAGTATTAGATAATTAGCCGATGAAAATTCGAACGAACGAAGGTGGTAAGCAAGAGAGGTAATTATGTCTGTCATCTTTAAACTCTGGGGCTCTCCCTCCTCTTCTCTATGACTGACACACGTCACGCCATATTATATTTGCTGATTGGTCATATTTAATTTATTGATCGGTCGCTCAATGAACCAAAACGGCAGATTCAACATTTCATAAATTTGCTTTGAATGATATATTATACATATTCTCACCCAAGGCACTTAAAATAGAGGCAGTCCACAGTGTATCGGAAAAAAGTGCAACCAGAAACAAAATGGCCGTCACTTCTTTTCCGTATTTCTCATAAAAAGGATCCAACATGGTTAAATATTTCCTCCTGCGCATTTCACCTCCAAAGGCAAACGATGCTATAAGAAGAACATAAAAATAGCATTGTTAAATATCTCATCTTACGCATTTCACTTCCAAAGGCAAACTATCCTATAAAATGAACATCATTTTTTGAGATTAAGAATTTGTATACAATGAATATTTGCTGCATTGCACAAAACATGTTCTTGATATATTGGAATGCAAAATGAGCTTACATAGGAAATTTCCAATCATACCACCAACGGGTATTAACGTCCAGATTAACCCATACAGTGCAACGGATTCAGCATATCCATTAAGGAATCCACCTCCAACAGCGCTTGCTAAAATTATTTGTTAACTCCCTCAGTATATACATTTTAAAGTATATGGAGGATTTTATGTTTACTATGTTCACAATCTTCGGTTGCCTTGTGCGGCTTCTAGCCTTTTTGCAATAGTCGCGTACAATGCACAGCGTTCTAAACTCTATAAATATTCTTGTTCAAAAACTTATTGTAACATACATGGGTGTTATTTGATTTTACCCTAAGCACCATTAATGGTAAGTTTGTATTCATCAACGTTTTTGGACACAGCATTGTTAAACTGTTTAAGTGAACAAAAGGTGGCCTTTTTGTGGTAACATTCACCCTTAGGCTAGTCTTGCTCAAAGACTGTATCCACCCCCGGCCGTCACCTTCACTCTCTTTACCTGGTAATATACAGTCTTGTAACCACTGATTTTATGCAGGTGCTGCCACCTTCCTAAACGGATCCGGAAATCATAAATTATTAATGAGGTTGGAACTATTTGATATATCAATACACCAGACATGCTTTCTTGTAGTGAGTTTTTGTTAGTAATACTTTTTATTTTATGCTTTTAAACCTTTGTTAAGAGAAGGATTTAAGTTAAGAAAAGTATTTATATACACAACAAGATAAAATCATGGAAATATAAGTGCAAGTAAGAGGAACTATTTTCTGGGCAGTGAAGAGGCAATTTTTACTAACATACCCATGTGCTGTTCTAAGAACAAAACAGAATCTGATTGGCTGATCAAAAGGTGTTAAAAGATAACCATCTAGCATGAATAATTCATATCAGTGTCAACTTACTGCTGGTGGTTACAATACCCTAGAGAGAAGGATAAGGGGGGGGGGGAGTACAAGACAGGGTCTTTTAAGCAAGACTACATTCACCCGACCATAACTAAGTCTTACCTGCACTTACGGGTTATATGCCACTTATTTTACAAATATAGTCACATTTGCACATGTACAGTTGCGTAATATTAATCAAATTGATAAACCATGTTTTGTACGTACGCGTACGTATATTAAAGATTTTAATGAAACTTGAATTGCTGGTGAAGCCGTGAAAACGGAGCATTTTGATATTATGTACAATTAATAATTTTAAAACGACTCTTACGTCGCCTATATTACTAAAATCTCTATATAAAAATATAATTAGGTTAAGTTAAGTATAAAAATATCAAATCCTCTACAGTTTATAGTCCATGAATGCATGAATAAACATAAAAAGATTTGTGTCGGGCACTGTATAACCCACGAGAGTATTTATGACCAAAAAATAGAAAATAACAACTAAATGTCGAACCTGTCATAGAAATTATGCCGACACAGAGATTCAGCTGCCTTCCAGCTACCAATGAACGTTCCGTCTCGGATGCCCCCTCTGTCTTAGTGTATTTTGCTGCCAGTATTCCAACCACTAGAATTATGACGTAAAATACAATAAGGACAACAACTCCTGCAACATCTACCATTTTTGATATTTAGAGTAATACTTGCTTATGTATGTAATTTTTATTGTTATGTGTACGCGTTAACTTCTAACCCTGATATAAAAACCGGAATGTCAAACGATATATACTGCTTAATCATGGAAGGAACTAACATATGGAACAACATGTGAATATGCAAATTGCAAATGCGGGTGCGCTCTACTTGTTATTCATCTTATACTTTGCTATCATTTCATATAAAGCGACATCAAAATTTAATATGGCTCTGGGATGACAGGAAAATTGTGGAGAAATATATGGACGTACCAGAGGGGCTGGTTGTCATGATTGCGACATGATCTATTTGGAGGTAAACGGCATTGACCTGCTCAGTTCGTGTCGGAATATACTTACTTATTTTGTCACGTTTTAAGCGAATGTTAAGAAAGTTTGATCACAAAGATCGGAAGTTCATTCAATTCAATTTAGAATGCAATATACACTCCCATCCATACGTTTGGCAACCTTAGCTCCCCATTGAACTACGTGTTAAAGCATCATTACGTTTGAATTTTTATTTACTTAACCGGCGATATAAATACTTATGATATTGATGGAAACATTACTTGACTTTATTTCTAATACCTCCAAATTTTCTCAATTTATTTCTTCAATTACAATAGGTCGAAAATTGATGATAAATTAGATGAATTTTTGAAGATCGTCATTCCCATGTAATCCAATGGCACTGCGTGAAATATGGGATTCCAACTCTTGACACGTCTAGAAACTGGTCTTTACACGCCGGGTTTCTAGACGTGCCAATTATTTACACCTCTTGACACGCGATGAATTCAACTCTTTACACCTCTTTGCACTTCTTGACACACGCAGTGCAAAGACGTGTAAAGACCATGTCAAAAAGTCTTTACACGCCCTGTGACAATTAATGGAATCTCTTGACACGCTCTTGGCACACTGAACAACATAATTATGTGTAAACAACTAACCTAATTACCAATAGCAGTACATACAGTATTTTAACGATTGCAAGTATTTTCTCTGATACTTTTAATTGATATATTTTTAATCATTCTTTCGCAGACTGTTTGGAACAAGTACATGTAGCAAATATTAAACAGACTATTTTGTATGTACGCTGACACATTGACTTATTTAAACATTTTGGCAATTTCATGGCGCCTTTTGAAAATATAAATCAGTTACAGGCAATGCTAATCGACGCATTGATCCTAACTGAAGGAAATACATATCATGATAAGAAAAAGAAAGGCGTTTCAAGGATAAAACGTGCAATAAACTTTGAAAACACTGATACATCAGGCCTATTTATATATTTATTTTGTATTAGCTTAATATAAAGATAACCTTACTTTTCGATGAGTATTTGGATTTCGGAGTAATTTGTTTCAAGTTAAGTCAATACAAATTATCGCCGACTTAACTTGTAATATATGATAAATGAGGGGCATTTTAATACACAATTGGGCAAAACAAGCATATTCAATCGAATGTACCATTCTCTCTGCTGTTCTTTCCCAGCCTATCCATAAACAGACAGGTACAAGTTCCCATAGTTTTCGCAACATCTAATTCTATGATCAATTGCTAGACACAGCAAATATACTAATTAATTGTCTGATTGTGATTCGGGAACGTAGGGTTTTTACATAAACAGGATACTTGGCTGTACATAGCCTGAGAACACCGGATTGACCCCCCCCCCAATCGACGCCTAGGCGCTGCTTATGTTTTAATAAGAAACATTCCCTTGTAAAGAATTATCGGGATATAAATTGATACAAGGTCAAGTATTCTGCCCCTTTTGTGTGATAAAAATATGTATTTAATTGGTGCTTTAACTTTTTGAACAAAGAAATGAAATAATCGCACTGAATGTCTCAACATAAATCAGTGATGTTTAATTAATAAATGACACTATTATGTCAGTCTACGCACTTCATGGACATGGACGGGGGGGGGGGGGTTACCCATTCTAAAATGGTTAAATTTTGTATTAAAGAGTAATCAATAGGTCGTGAACTCCGATTGATAACCAACTGTAGCATACTACTTAATTTGTTTGACTATTGATATTAAAAAGGAGTGAATTTATGATATTCATAGAGGTACATTGTATTGGTATTAATATAATAATGATATTGGGGACCATAAACCACTTTGTTTCGCAAGTAGCTTTAGGATCGCGGTTTTATCTTCACATGTTGCCCTTTGTGCAATTCGAAAATGAAATATTTTAATCTATAATTTATATATCATTTGCAAAATAAAAGAGACATGGGGGAGGGGGGGGGGGGGGTTAACGGCCAGAATTTGGAATGAATTTGGGAATTTCAAGGATTGATTCACTTAATGTTGTTCACTGGAGTCGATACACACACCTGCATAACAATCGGAGACAAAACTGACTTAATCTGATATGAGAACAAAAGATTAATAACTTAGTCTATGTTTTTGTTTTTATAATTGCGGAAGTGTACCAAAACCACCTTGATTACAGAAGATATCGTCTAGGCTTTAGATTTAATGAATAGATTTTTTGCCCTAGTCTCATTTAATAAAACAGGCTATTTGCGTATTTAATTAATATTTGTGACAAAATATTTCAGTTAGACTCAAAATCAAAACGAATTTCTCCATTATAGCCCCCCTTGCAACTGTCCCGAGTCTGCATCTGTTTTTCATGCTTCCGATCCACCTTTGGGATAGAGAGAATAGATGTAGATTTGTAATTTGGGGGGGGGGGTGGCATTAAATGTGTTCTCATATAAACTAAAATAAACCCCAAAAAGCCATATCAAATGTCCAAACACAAGACCAATGCCATGTCAAACATCCAAATATAGAACCAATGCCATACCCCGGGTACCATATATCCAGAATATAAGACCAAGACCATTCGAAATATCGAATGCCCCGAGAAGAAGGCAGATCTTTGAGTAAAATGGTCATAAACAACCTCAAATGAAGGATATGTGTAACAACTAGACCAATGCCCCGGGACCAATGCCGTACCACAATTGAGGGGTAACATATTTTCCACACCGATTCTTATACCAGAAAATGGAAAAATCTGTCTTAAAATGTGGGTCCATTGGCTTGACATACCAAATGTAAAAAAGGTACCCCACCTGAGCCGAGTGTGAATCCCCGGGGTGAATGGTGAACACACGGGGCAAGGAATTCTTCGATTTTGATTCAAGTAATTTTTTTTATAAAATTCATACTCATGTTAATAGCGGACGCCTTGGCCAAATAATCGTTCAAATCATGCACTTTCCAAGTGATTTTGTAGCAAAATTGTGATAATATATGAACCCTTGGAATTATTCAAAGACGGACCCCCGCCAGCCCATCCCCCATTCTTACCTATGCTAAACACTAAGATAAACATATAGAATGGTATCTTACACTTTTTTCTAAAAACATATCTTTTTGGTTTATCAACACATACCGCTCACAATATAACAAGTATACAGATTGTAACATAGGTAAGCGAATTGGGGAAAATTACAATCCCTTTGATCAAATTATTATAAGATTTAATCTCCAGCTGAGGTGCAATCAAAATGTTGATACACATAATTAGCAGTCAGAAAGATGCTCTTACCACTGTAGTTTTCAATATTCCCTTTGTTGTAACATCTTATTTCAAAAGAATGGATATTGATGGTTGTATGGAAGTATTCATATCAAACATTCACATTATAGTTTACAGTGGAATTCCCTCCATAAATGCAACATATTTACCATTTAAGATTTCATATTCACTGGGGAGTATCGTGATGCAACAACACCGTGTTGTTGCATCAAGATGGCCAGACTTCCGGTGATAGATTTTCGTACGATATGTTGTTTCCCCAATTTAAACCCATTTATAGGACGAGTTTCTCAATAAACATACACGTGAAGTTAGCGCTCGATCTATATTTTAAGAAACTGTCATTAGTATACATGTAGCATCATCAAGAAGCAAGAAGTTCACTGTTTTAGTTCCTCACTATTGATGCAACAACACCAAACCGAAGATGCAACAACACTCCTCTAGATTTGAGCAATGATGCAACAACACCAATTAATAGTATAATTTCAGAAGACCATAAATCTCGAGAGGAACAGATTTTTAAATGCTACTATTGCAACACCGGGCCAGTACCCATTTGCGTTCTTCTCAGGCATTCAAAATACACGTCCTGCGGGCGAAGATTCTTTATATGTATTTTTAAAAATTTATACTTTTAAATATCATAATGTACTGGAAGTTGTTTTATAACATAGTTCAATCGCCTTTAACATTGCAAGCTATAGTAACCCAATCTATTATCATAAACCCCTGTTCCATAGCTTGATGACCCTGATACCAGTTAGTATCATTCAAAATGGTGGACAAACATCTTCGTTCTCGGTAAACACGACAAGCTATTGGAAATCTTGCACAGCGCACATGTAGAAGTATTGTTCTCTTTGGATTCGTTCTCCCCGATTGAGTAAAAAGGTAGGTAATAGGATTTAGGTCCCGAAAAGGTAAATTGATAGGGGTACAGTAATCCCAGATTCCCCCTGGGCCCTCGGGAAATATCATAATGTGTCCCGAAATAAAACCAATATTGAATCCCTCTCAGTAAATAACCTCTATATAATAACATTGTATAACTGCACTATCATTAAACCAACACTCATCGGAAGTTATGGCGTTTTGAAAACTCAAAATCGCTAAATTTGGTGCCCAATGTTAAGTCAATGGGAAAAAAGTTTTTTTGAAGTGTAAAATACGACATATATACGACCGAGTACAGCTTAATTTAATGAAAGCCTTTAAATGAAGGGTACCTCAAAAGCAATCTAGCTTCAAAATTTGGACACAAAAATGTGTAGGTCAAAATCTAGGTCAAATTCAAAGTTTTCCTTATTTTTGTGATTCTGACACTACACTTCAATCATATTCTTCGAAATTGTGTATACATGTAGCCAAGAGTGTACTAATAGTTTAACCCACTTTT